ACAAGATAACAAAACACAACAAGAAAAACAGTAACCACAAAAAATTCTTAAAACTAAAATGAAACATACAAAATTTGTTTTTGCTATGCCTACAGCAGGATCGCGCTGTAGGCTGGGTACCACCACCAAGGCAGTTCGCTCAACGCAAGCGTGGGTGGAAGCCGGTGGCTGATTCTTCTTGTCTGCTTGAACTTGTTGATGATCTGGGTGACGTAAGCCACCCGTAGGTGGCATAGATGCGGTCGACCGCAGCCCTCCAATCGAAGCCCTTCGCCATCAACCGAATCACACAGTCCCACACATGCTTGCGGCGGCAGAACTTGTCCTTGACGCGGCCGCGCTCACGAGCAGTGAACTCGCAAGCCGCCTTGTTGCCATTCAGCCCTTGATCCACTCGTCCCACAGCTCGTAGAGGTTGAAAGGCTTCTTCGAAAGCTGGGCTGGCAGGGTAGCGGGTGTAGGGGCCCTTGCGGCAGGAGGACGGGCCAAACGCCCAGGACTCGGCGGTGGTGGTGTGGTGGTGGGGGAAGTCCTCCGCCCGCCGCAGCAGCCCACCGACGCCAGCTCCCGCAGCAGCACCACGACGCCAGCTCCACCGGCCGCACCAGGAAGAGGAAGCCTTGAGCACATTGCCACCACCCCTCGCGATCAACTGGAAGTGGTTGATCCTCCCAATATTCTTGTTCACGATGGCAATGTTGGTCGAGACATAGCCCCTCACGGAGCTGATGTCCTGTGCAAGAATCTGCTGGGCCTCCTCGATCGCCTGCTGAGTCCTATGTTGGAGAGCAAGCAATTGGTTGAGCTGTTCCATGTTGATACCACCAGGAGCACCTCCAACCAAGGCTCAGCACCAGCTTGGACCTGCGCGGTGGGAGCCATCTCAGTAATGTGCAAAGCATTGGCTACCTTGTAGATTGTGAGAGGGATCTTGGCCACCGGGTTGTAGTCGGCCCCAGGATCCTCATCCAAAGTGTTCGAAGCTGGGCATACTCAGTCTGGATGCGGTTGCGAATGTCTGCTGGCATCATATGCTCCAAGCCAGGCTCCATCGCGGCCCAAAGCAAGCGGGACCAAGTACCATCGGAAGGTGTTGGATGGGTCGTCAGCAAAGAAGTCACAAATCTTCGGACAGACATGCTCGCCAATGAACCCATGGTCAACACCGCTGTCAATCTTGATCGAGTACTTGACGGGGCCTCCAATTGCAAGAGTTCCCGCAACCTTGGCGTCGGTTGGCAACTGTTCCAGCCCAATGTAGACATGGACAATATGGCCGTTCTTCTCGCCCTTCCAGCGACCACGAGTCTCATTCTCGGCTTGGGTGATGCCACACTCGGCTGCATAGGTTGGAGGCAGCTTGCGAAGACTGTGGGTACCGAGGCTACCCTGGACTTGCTTGGCCAGCTCCACAAACTCAGATCCTTCCAAGCCTTCTTCAAGACGCGTTGTACCAGGCGTTGACTCGATCTGGCTCCGTCTCGATGTTGGTCTCGATGAGCTCTTCGTCGTTGTCCAGAGCCTCGATGGCAGCAAGGAATGCTTCTTCATCGTCAACACGGTAGTGCCCAAACAAAAACTTGGGATCTCCATGTCCCCTCTCAAGCCGAGTCTCGATCCAAATAGCAAGGAAACCAGAGTGCAGAAATCCGGGTCGCGGCACCCAAGATAATCTGGTCAGGACAATTGCGCTCCTCCTGGACGTCTTGCTCCAGGATACCTTGGTTTGGAGAGCGAAGTTTGGAAACTTGGAGTGGCTGCGGAAGTCCATAGTCTCCATGTTGGTCAGATCGTCAGTGCGACCAATCATGTGGAACTGAAGCTTCATCATGGTGGGAGTCTTGATCGTGAGGTCAATGTTGGCACCTCCATCACGCTCCAGGATCCGAATGTCTTGCGGAATTCTCGAAGCTTGAGATCCCTCTTGGCATTGGAAGGAACGCCCTGCTTCCTGACCTCGCCTTCTTCACGCTTTGATCACTTCTTGACTTCGTGGAGCGAGTTGGATTCCCAACATTGGGACCAACCGCCCATGGTGCGTGCTTGTTGGGATGGAAGTAGCTGATGGCTTTCTTGTACTGATCAAGAGTGGAGGATCTCCTGTGGGTGGGACGATCATTGGGACCAGGATTGGTCTTTCCATAGGCAAGGAAGTTGAGGAACTGGGCGACATCAGTGGGTGTAATGGCAAGGAACTGGTTCTGAAGAACAAAAAATGAAGAAGATGGACCATGGGTGAGTTACCGATCAGCGAAAGGAGGATCGGCGAAATGACAGATTTGGCGAGAACATACCTGCGTGAAACCTTGCTGCCCGTCGTAATGGCAGCGATGCTTCCATGACATGAACCTGGCGACCATAGGCCGTAGGTTTGTGTGAGGGTCTTGCGGGCCCTCGCCATTGTGGTGAGCGATAACAAACAAAAGAGCAAGAGTAACAAAATAGCGAGCAATTTCAGCATAGCTATCGCTGTTAAAGTGCTGTATCGGAATTTATGAGAGATTTGGAGAGGAAATGAAGAGCCCACTCACTCCGACAAGAGGAAAATCCAACGGCCAACTCGGATCGTATGCCGTGATACGTCGGTTGAAATGAGAGGATGTTGCGCAGTTTACCCTCTCTCAGTGCTAAGAGAGGCATTCCAGACCCTTAAGTCTTTGAGTTTCGCGGAACGTTTGTGTGTGACTAGTTGTTCTTCGTACGATTGAGGTTGTATTTTGGTAAAGATACTTAGGCGAAATGTTGTATTTTGGGGTTGCCGATGCAACTACCAATGCGATTCTGAGTAGTATGGATACCCTCAAATGACTGGTTTTCCCCGAGAAAATACTCTCAAAGTCTTTTATGTATTACCATACCCCAATAAAGCATAACCATACATAGCACTGATTGGGGGGAACCGGTCACTGCCGGCGCTAGTAAGACCTAGTAAGAGTACTCCCCAAGTCCCACCAGTCGATACAACTCCCCCTTTGCACATACCCTCTACTATGCTAGTAGGGTTGTATATTGGTAATACGGTCCACGTATAGCAGATTGCACCGTGCAAGAAAATGAGATGCCAGTATTAGCCAATAACCTTGAAAATGAGTCGAGTCAGTCCGTAATTTATTTATAGTAATCAATTAATGCTATGGTACCGGTATGATATCATACTTGTACGAGTGCCGGTACTACCGGTACAAGGGACAAGGGCATATTTGGGTGGATGCACAGTCGAAGTTGAGATTTAAGAAGATACCAGAGTCACTCTTATTTTTAGAAACGATGTCACGATGGCCAGCCGGAGACCAATGGGGCACATGTGTACACACAGACGTCCTTAAGTAGCTGGCTCGTTGGAAGAAGATCAAACTCTTTCTTCTTGGCAGCGCTTTGGCAGGCTCCGTGCAGATCAAATTCTCACTCACGGCTCACAATTCCAAAGCCCAACCACTTCAAAACAGAAGGAACGAACGAACAACTCAACAACAACTACTACCATCAAGCTCACCACCATGTTCACCAAGCTATCTCTCATTGCTGTTGGCCTCCTAGGCAGCCTGTCTCCCACAAGGGCTACTACACCTGTTATGTACGCTACACCTGTTACGTACACTTCGGATGCTGACAACAGTAACTTACCAATTCCACAACACCACTTTGCATCCCAAGGATCAACTGTCTCCAACATTTTCGTGGATGCATCCTTTACAATCTGCGACGTTGATGTTGCAGTGGACATCACCCACGCTAAAATGGGTGACTTGGAGCTTGATCTCACCTTTGATGTTGATGTGATTCGACTTCACCATCATGATTGTAATCACGTCAATGATCTTGTTGTTATTTTTGATGACTCAAGTCAAAACAGTATTGATGGTGTTGATGGGTATGGGCTTGATGATGACGCCTATTACCTTTGTCCTCAAGATGGAATACATGTTCGACCAGAGCAGGCTCTTTCTACTTTCAATGGCCACCAAGCAACAGGTTACTGGACTCTTGATATCAATGATGATGGCTTTGGTGGGACAGGAGTACTTAATTCTTGGTCTGTGATCCTCACTCCTTGTGAACCAGACACTGATCGTAATGGAGCTGGCACACCCACTGACCCAGAACCAACTGACCCGGAACCAACTGACCCAGAACCAACCGAACCTATCACTGATGGAGCTGGACCAATCACTGATGGTGCTGGCACTGGTGACCCTCACTTCAAGTCCTGGGCTGGCAAGTGGTTTGATTTCCATGGAGAATGTGACTTGGTCTTTATCGACAGCCCCAAGTTTGGACATGGAACTGGATTGGTGATCCACATTCGAACCAAGGCTCGCTACCAGTACTCTTTCATTGAGTCTGCTGCTGTTCAAGTTGGAGACAGTGTCTTGGAGGTTGGTGAATATGGTAGCTACATGTTGGACAGCATCTCCAATACAGAGCTGGACACAATGGCTGACAAGTACCCTGTCACCCACAAGAAGATCAACTCCAAGCAAAACATTTTCACTATTGAGCTTGGAGATGGAAACCAGATTGTTATTCAATCTTTCAAGGACCTTGTCAGTGTCAAGACTGTGGGTGCCAGCTTTGAAGAGTACATTGACAGCCAGGGTCTCTTGGGAGAGTTTGGAACTGGCATGTGGCTTTCCCGCAATGGCACTGTCATGACAGATGCTGATGCCTTTGGCAATGAATGGCAAGTCCTTGAAACAGAACCCAAGCTCTTCCAGACAAACAGATTCCCCCAGCACCCAGTGAAATGCAGTATGCCTGGCCCTGAAAGAGAAGGACGCCGCCGTCTTGGTGGATCCACCATTTCCATGGAAGCTGCAGAGAAAGTCTGTGAACACTGGGTCGCGTTGAAGGACCAGTGTGTCTTTGATGTTATGGCTGCTGAGGATTTGGAGCTTGCCGAAGCTGGAGCGTTCTAGGGAACAATCCAGCTTTATTGGAATACATGAACTGTACTGCTGAGAGTGGTTTCTTCGCCGGCCCTGCTGGTGCTGTTGGAAACCACCTTGTTGTGAAGAGGCCAGAGCTTCCCCTTGAGTTTTCTTTTAAAGTTAGCACATTTATTTAGAACAATAAGACTACAACGGTATTATTATTCGTCATCGTCCATGTAGGGCGACCATGTCCACAGGTTGATGAGCCACTTTTCTCCTTTTGTCGGTGGAGCGGCGGAATGCTGCGAATAGTCATCAAAGTTTCCATCGGGTAGCTGTGAGTAAAAGAGGACCGCCTTTCCCGCCTGCGGCTTGACCTTGAGAGGCAGAAATGTTTCGGCATTTCTCCACCGGGGAAACGTGGTCTCTCCAGCTTCGAGACCTTCATGGTTCAGATACAGCAGGAGCGTTGAGAATCGGGCCTTTTGGTTCTTCTTCAAGTCTACGGTAGACATCATTGAAGGCGAGGCAAGGTAATGAAAGGAAAGTGTGTGATTGCAAACACAAATGAGTGATTGCAAACACAAATGAGTGATAGTCAGGACAAGGACGCCGTCACATAGATCTAATCAGGTTGTGCCATCCGATCTCGACGACGTACCTCTGTAGCCAAAATCTGTGCATGGGAAGTGCATGGGAAGTGCATGGGAAATGAAAGAACGAAAGAAGCGCGTCCATCAGTGACAACGACCATGTTAGCTCCATCTTTAGATCATTGTCTCTTTCTCCAAAGCCACTACTAGTACGGTACATACCATGATGAGCCGTATATTCTTGTCCGGGATCATAATGCACCAATTGCAATTGTTCTGCCAATGACTTTTTCTTTTTCAACTCATCATTACTATCTGTATGTTCCCGAAAGAGGGCTTCGTCAATGCGCATCAGATCCGCTGCTCGTCGATAAATGGCATCAATGACGGGCGATTTCTCCCGTTTGAGCCATGAATTGAAACTGGTCCGGGTATCCGTCTTGACTTCGGCCGCTTGTCGCTTTTGGAGGTCTTTTTCGGAATTTCCCACGGTGGATCGTGACAATTCCATGCCCGTGGCAATTTGTAAAATGTGTTGGATTTCGGTGGCCGACAAGAAATTGGGAATTTCCAAAACGCGAGGGGCCACGGACAAGACAGTCAATGTCATATTCAATTGGCTATCACGATCACGGTAATCGGTCAAGACGGGATTTTGGTGACGTGCCGTGTCGTCTGTTGTCACGGGATTGAGCAACTGGGCGGGTGGTAATTGGGTAAAGTGTGTTTCCGGAGTGGTCACCCAGAATTGCTGTCCAAAATGGGTGACGGGCCAAATGAAATGTCGTGGTGGATCTCGCAAATAATTGGCGAGATAGGATCGTCCTGTGAATTGTTGATATTGTTCATGGAATAGCAGGGTATCTCGCAATTGATCATATTGTTGGCGTTCGTGTGGCGCAAGTACTTGTTGCAAGGTTCGTTCAGTGGCGACGGGATCTTCCGGCCCTTCGACTCGATAGGGGTCATAGACCTGCAAATTTGCTTCGGCGGGTGAATCTCCAATGACGAATCGATGATACTCCGTGTCGTATTCGTCCGTGAGAATAAAGTTGTGACCGGGAAAAGAGGCAGTGCCGGCTTCGTGAAAGGGCAGCATGACACTCATTTGAACGGGTGGTTGGTTTTTGTCAAAGGGTACCCACTTGAGTATGAGCCGTTTGTTGCTCATGTTGATGAATTTGACCGAAAAACCGTTGAATTTGGGAAACTCCACCTTGGTGGAAGCAGGAGGGTTTCCATTGTACATGGTATTAACGTCGGGTTCCACATAGGCCCAAAAGGAACCTTGAGTGCCGCTGATATTGTACTGCATTTCTTGCAGACAGGGATCTCGTCGCTGGTGGGCATCCCGATTTTGTTGGTCCAAAGAACATGTCGTTGTTGTCGACTCGGCATCCAGGCAGGGAGCCAACGATAGCACCAGGAGTAAAACTGTCACATGCAGGAACATGGTACTCTGAGTAGCCCACAAGCTAAGAGAGGGTTGTTGCTCAAGGGTGGTTGTAATAAGGTTCCAGTTTGTGCTCTTTGCACTTTGGCACTTGGCACCCACGATACCGGTATCTATGAGAACTCCTGAGACCGGGAAAGATCCGAAATTGGATCTCTTTGACACTTAACCCTTTTAGTCCATGATTGTAGATGAGAATTAAGGAGTTTCGGAACCTACCCAACACCCAACACCCAAACCAAACCACCACACTTACCTTCGTGCTGCTGTTTGCTGTTGGTACAATCTCTGATGACATTATAAGCTACCAAGATGGCCTCCACCACATTAAAACTATGCTATCGGTATAGTCCGTATATACTGTTATGGCTCTTCTTTCTGATTTTTCAAGTGATCCTCTTTGGCCGGCCTTCAGAGAAAGAGCCATCAAGACATGATACCCCGGCTGCAGCTGATACCACTAATACTGGAACCAATGACATGCGGTATCTCAAGGATAATGCTGATCCTAACAACAACAACAACAACAACCTGACACGACCAAAGTCAGCAGACGCCCGGTTCAACAATGTAGATGTCTACTACCAAGAGGCTTCCACTCTTAAGACTCTGCCAGTGTCAGATTACCATTGCGTGGGAAGAACCACAGCATCAATCAATAATAAGCAGGAACAAGCACTCTACGAAACCAACTACTCCTGGATGTTTCGATCCTGCCATTTTCAAAACCTATGTCTGGATACCCAAACGAAGGAGTTTCTTCTCATTGACGACTCCACTGATACTACGAATGAGACTATTACCACGCCACCACAAGCAGTGGCCATGGGATCCATCAATCCTCGTTGGAGTGGACGAGGATACAACAAGGGATTTCACAAAGTCAAATGGTCCCCCACCAAAATCACCACGGCCCAAATGCGACAAGCGTACAAGGGATACTATGCATTACCCGACCATGTCGTTCTCATTCCCTTTCATTCCATGGCCGCACACAATGTCGGACATTTGATTTGGGATGACTTTTATCCCATTTTTACAGTCCTGCAACTCTTTGGATTGCTGTCCAACAATACTACTAATATAAGGCAAAAAATCTTGCCCATTCGATGGATAGTTCCCGACGACAATAATAATAACAAGAATCAGCTCTATGCCACTTGCGAAATGCAAAAGAAAAAGAGTCGACAATGTCAGGAAAACTATCAACGCTTTCTCCAGCCACTTCTGGGAGTCGATCCCCAAACATTTTCCACCACCAAGAATCTGCAATTGCAGCCAGTCGACAACGGTATGCTCTTGCAGTCCTCCCTGGTCTGCGCCAAACATGCCGTAGCAGGGATTGGAATGCTGTCGGATCATGGATTGAGAGATCATGGTAAGTACAGCCGTACTGCTCAATTAACTAATTGCATTGCAGGCTTGACCCGGACTAATCAGCAACTTTCTCGTTCTCATTCATTTATTCATAGGCTGGCTACTGGGAGATCCCCAAGCAGTACCTCACAACATTGGTCGAGGCTCCGTCTTTCGGGACTTTCGCGATTTCATGGTTCGCAACGTCCTCCAACAGACTCCACCACAACAATCTGCCACCTCAAACAACAACAACAACAACAACGACGACGACGACCCAGCCAATAATAATAACGACAACAACAAGAATACTGACTCGATCAACAGCCACAAACCACGCAAAATTACCTTTTCCACGCACTCGTCAAAAGGGTTCGAACGAAGTCTGGGATTTGAAAATCAAACGGCGGCTGTCCAACGAGCACTCCTACATCATGTATCAGCCAATCATACTGCTAGTAATGAGATTGTGGTTCAGAATTTCACCATGAGAGACTTGACTATTGAAGAGCAGGTACAAGTGGCATTGGAGTCGGCCATTTTCGTCACAGTGTCGGGAGGAGGGGCCGTCACGGCCACCTTTTTGCCACCGGGATCCACCTTGATTGTATACTACCTGGAAGACGGTGGATTCGACTATTGGAATACCAGCTACACGTATACACCGGCACGGCTCGATTGGGATTTGCTCAACACTGCGGCTCACTTCCGAGTGCACTGGTTGCCCATGAAAACCATGAATCAGCCAGGAGACGTGAAACTCTTGGAGCAATTGGTCATGCATGAACTAGAGATTATGGGGCTTTTGGGACAATGAGGTCAGGACGCGACGAGCAATACCCAACCGTAAGTTTAGATCTTTGTATCTTTTCACGGTCATTGCCTCCTCGTCTCGGATAGACCTGGGCTCCGTCTTTGTTCGATGATTGCCACTGTCTTTGTTCCGGGGAAGCGCAGAAGCAAGTTTGCAGAACAGAGCAGGAAACGAAAGCTACTGAAGAAACAAGGAATCCAAAAGTCTTTCAACATCATTGCAACAACAACAAACATTTTTGATCCCGCAGCTCTAGAACACCATGTCGAGACGATGCAGAAATCGTTGGCCTTTTCAAGTCCCGGTGCTGTTGCTGGTGTCTATTCTCGCCAGCACACAGGTAGGTCGAGCTCAGGACGTCGGTTCTCCAATGACTGTGAAAGCATCCGGGGCTGTTTCCCGCACTGTCCCTGCACCTGCACCCGTTACAACGACAACAGCCGGCGGCCAGCCGATGCAAGTTCAAGCATCAGGGCAAATCGCACGCAAAGTGGACAACCCTGTCATCGAAAAACCACCACTGGATGTAGCTGCTAGTGGAGCTGTCGGTAGACCAAACAACGCCAACGTAGCTGCCCAAGGCGTCGTTGACAGAGTTCCACCTGCAGCTGTTGCATCGCAGGGAGTCGTAGGTAGAGCGCCACAAGGTGATACTGTGGCTCAGGGGGTTGTTGGGAGGGAACCCAGTACACTGGCGGCAGCGCAAGGAGCCATTACTCGAGAACCCTCAGAAGCACCGGTAACCACAGAACCTACAAGTCAACCCACACACGCTCCCACAACGGAAGCACCGGTAACATCAGAACCTACAAGTCATCCCACAAACGCTCCCACAACGGAAGAACCAATCACATTAGAGCCAACAAGGCTACCAACGAGTTTACCCACCGGTACTACAGCTACATCAGAACCAACCGAGGTTCCTACCGCAGTCATGCCGGTGTCAGAGGCTCCGACTACAGCCACGATCATTACTAGTGAACCGACGACAACGACCCCAATTGTCACGAGTCATGCACCTACGCAAGGTGGAGGCACTAGCGAACCGACGGCAACGACAACAATTATCACAAGTGCTGCGCCCACTGAAGGCGCCCTCGCCACGCCCACTACAACCCAACCAACAATTCAAGAAGAAGAATCTACAGGAGGGATCATGTCTTTCCTGGACAATATCATGGGCGGAGCCCTACATTCATCTTCATCGTCAGAGGAAGCTGCAACGAATCAAACGGCGGAATCAGGGCCCTTGGAGGAGGAAGACGAATCCGTAGATTCGGAGGAGGAAGCCATTGAGGCAGAATCGGAGGAGGAAGTTGAAATTGAACCTGATAACCGAGCCGTCAACGATACCGGGTACCAAAGCAAACAAAACACCGAATACCGAAACGAGACCATTGCATTCGAAGACTTTGAAAGTGGAAATGATCACAGCTGGACCAACCAACGTGTTGCAGAATCAGAGTTCTTCACCAACTTCCTTGGTAGATTTGGTCAGGCTATCGACGGAACCAACGCCTTCACAAATACATCCAAGACCTACCTTGTACCGCCAGACGCAGAACGCGTCGAGATCACCTTTGACTTTTACGAATTGGATTTGTGGTGTCACTGCGATCACCTCACCGTGATGATCTGTAATCAGACAGTTGATATGGGTGTCTTCTCTGAAAGTGGAGCCTCCAATCAGTCAGATATTACCCATAAAGGACCACGCAGCATTGAATGGTTCCGCCGGGCAGAGATCCGAAACGCCGATCTTGGGTTTTCTCAGTTTCGAGATGGCCTTCATCACATGGGACTAAGTGTTCCACGAAGATGTTACAAGGAAAACGGAGGATTTTTGGAACTCAAGTTCAACTTGACCATTGATGGAGACTTCGAGATAACTAGCGGCGGTAAGAATGGATGCAACAGAGAACCAGACGAGAGTGCTGTCCAGCGATGTTGATGATTGAAACTGCACTCATGCCCCTTGTCTCTCTCACTCCACAGGAATTGACAACATCAACGTGACAGCCTATGAAATCCCGCCAGAGGACACAGATCCACCAACGATTGCTCCTTCACCCATGGCGTCAGAGCAGCCAACCCCGCATTTGTATCTGGATATCTGTGTCTCCGATGTCATGTACGATTACGCTCTGCGACAAACAGTTCACAGAAAGTGCTTTGATATGTTTGCCAAAGGAGAACCAGCGGATGAAAGCGAAAGAGTTGGAGAGGCCTGCGTCGAAGCCATTGACGACCAAAGTTTCCGATTGCAAGTTAAACCAAAAGGCACATGGGAATTCCAAAATGCATCTGCTTGGACTGGCGAGTCCCTGGATGACGTGTACGTGTAGAGGTGGAAAGGCTTTGTCTTCTTGGTTGGCTCTAGAGCTAGGTGGCTCACTCCTCCGTGCATTTGTCGCTGTCGTTGACTCTGCTTAGCCCCCGAGAACCAGGCACCAACCTTCTCAACCATGATGGTTTCCATGCAAGAAGAAGTTGGGGAGAAGGGGAGGAAGATGACTGGGTCGTCGCTATGCCCCTGATGCACGCGCACGAGCATTGCTATTCCGGAGTAAGCGAATTTGCAGACGTAAGTAACGATTTGACGGTCTTGGGGCTGGCAGGACTCTCGTTGCTGACAAAGAAACTTTATCTTGCAGCTGCTGATTGTCCATGTCACAGCATCAGACTCCAGCGAGGGCAACGCGACATTTTCTCACGAAGCCTATGCAAAGGAGCACTACTACAAACCTGGTGATTTCTTCTGGGCTCACCTTGTCTTCAGGTGCGTGTTCAAAATGGAAAGAGAGCTACACGGAGCCCTATAGCAATTTGGAGAGGCCACTACAGCTACACAAGCGAATCGACGATGCTTTCGCTATCCCTAACCCGCCTCACTCCTTTTTGAACGCAGTTGCCAGTGCGATCGCGACATTGAACTTGAGCCAGAGCCCACTGGCGTTCCTTCGCCGATGCCTTCAATTAGTCCAACTCTATTGCCATCCTCAAGTCCAACAATGGTGCCAACGTCAGCACCTAGTACCGCTGCACCGACAGAGGAGAAGCTTGAGAAGGGAGTTAGTAAGTGCATCGCAAGCAATGATGGGTCGGGCCGAGAATGTCATCCATTGATTGGACAGGACGGGACAAGATTTGGGCGAGTCTGTGTCGAGCTGATCGAAGATGAGCAGGACCCCAATGATGTTTTGAACGTGACCTACACAGTGTACGACCAGTATCGCCTGACGAGAAAGTATCTTTGGGTTGGAGAAGACTCCGAATCCCAAGTCCCTGTCATCAGGAGGGAATTGAGTCAACCTGAGCCCGACCTAGATGCCTTCCCCCACTACTCTTGGTAAGCGTCCCTAAGAGTAACCTGGTCCGCGAAAGATTGTTTGTCACTGAATGCTCAACCACATGCACCTATTTGCTTCTTGATGCAGCAACTTTCTCGGAACACGGAGTTGGGAGAAGCTAGTCCCTATTGGACCTCGGTGTCACAAGGCAAAGGACGGCACCGTAATTCCATTTTCTTTGGTGGCACATTCCGAGGTTGCACCGAGCCAACGAGATGGAACCGTAGCACTAGGAACAATAGGGGCCAAGGCCTTTGCAATTGACCACACCCAAGGGAATGTTGAGGACGACTCTTGGTATGAGATTGTGAATTTCAGAGTTGCCTGTCAATGCCAATACATGAAGGGGTCAAGCGGATGGAGGAAGTTCGAAGGTGTGCCTGAGAGTCCTACCAAACCCCCGGCACCGAATCCAACCGATAACCCCACAACAGCGCCATCAATAGCTCCAAGTTATGCCCCCTCGGTTCGACCCTCCACTACCCCTTCCAATGCACCAAGTCAGATGCCCTCTGCTGTTCCGTCATCCCGTTCTCCAACCCCTGCACCCACCCTCGAGTGCCGTCCTGCTTGGGCAATGCAGGGAGGTCCTCATCCAGGGCACTCTCACTGTTTCAAGACAATCGGGAGCGTCAAAGAGAAGAACGAGACAGTTCCATATGGGTGGTACAACGGGGTTTTTCACTTGCACCAACCGGAGCAGCTTACCTTGTTTGCTGAAGCACCCAATGACAAGGATGCAGCAGGGGATGATGAATGCACGCACGGAATGCGGGTTGGGCAGGTTCAGTTTTCGTACGCAAGCAAGGTTGTGACGGTGAAAATCGAAACTCTAAGCCATTTCTATATGACGGAAACACAAGCTCATGTTGGGCCTGACATGCTTCCAACCGATCTCGAAGATGGAAGCTATATAACCAATCCCATGGAATTTGAGTTAATCCACGAGGGCTTGGGCGAAGCCACGCAAGATTTCCACTACTTGCGAGGGTGCCAGGAGGACAACTGGGTCGTTGTTCGAGCAGTTGTTTGTGGCCCATTCAGTGACTAGTACGTGCAAGTGGAGCATCAGCTTGGCTCCGCATCGTGGGCGACAGACACAGACAGTGATAAACGAGAGTATTGCAAGACAAGATAGACTGCATAAAGCTGCATGAATTAACACCACTATCCATTGCTCCGGTATCCACTAGAGTACACTACAGCGCTATAGCAACATTTGCCCATCCCCCGAGTAGACTGCAACCAAAAAAGGAGCCACTTCCTGCCACGAGACTAAGAAGAAATAGAGATCCGGTACGTACGCTCGTTGACGTGTAAAGCTGATGGCGTACGGCAACAGCAACTCCATGAGTTCCCACGGCACTGGTGAGGAGGGTTGCAAAAGAGATCCGCGGATCGAGTCTACACCAACAGACAATGGATGAATCAAAGAAGTACGTCCTTCATGGACTGTCACTCGTCAATCATTTTAGTTAATTAGAGATGCCTACAATTTTGGCAGCCGAAACTACAATTCGTCTCCTTTCAAGAGATCCATAGTGGTTTTGAAGAGATCCATGGGCTGCACGGCGCTGTGTTCTGTGATAACTCCGTCAGGGCTGATCACATAGTATGTTCCTATGATGATGATATCATTACCAAAAGGGCAACATAGGATAAGTCACAGTACCAGCATGCGCCAGCCAAAACTCAGAAATGAAAATTGAGCAGACTTACCAAAGTTCCATCGGATAGAGATAGGACCAACATTCTTCTTGAGATACTTGTACACCAAGGAAGCATTGACGCCATTGACATCAACCTTGGACATCATCCTAAACTCCACTCCCTGATTGATGGATTGTTGATATTAATTTTGCATGGAGCAAGACAAGCAAGATAAGCCAATTTTGCTGGAGCAATAATCCAACAAATTGCATCATCATCCTGCCAACAACCGACTAACCTTTTCTTCGGCGAATTTCAAGATTTCGGGTTCCGCATCGGGCTCTTGATTTCCAAATTGATTGCAGGGGAATGCCAAAATCTCCACGTTTTCCTCTTTCACTTTGCTCCAAAGTTCGATGAGACCATTGTAATGAGACTCGGTAAAGCCGCATTGACTGGCCACGTTGGTGAGAATGGTAACCTTTCCACGGAGTTGTTCAAACTTGAAGGTCTTGCCATGGATATCCTTGGCTTCCAGATCAAAGAACGAGGCGATTCCTTCGACTTCTTTTTCATCCGCCAGTTGAGCCTTGTGAATTTTGTCGCATGACGTAGCGCAATTCATCAACATGTAGCCACTTTAATAAGGGAGACCCCAAGGAAACAGCGAAAAGTGAGCACCATGTTGGCATTTTGGACTGCATAACACCAAAACTCCTGCACTTACGCGTTCTACCATAACATGATGGACAAGAGCAAAACATAAGGAGAAGAGGGATTCATTAGATAAGTACGATTAGCAGAATCGAATCAAGGGAAAATTAATTGGTAATCACCCAGCATTCTGAGAATGTGGAAGCTGACTTACGGTATCACATTCGCCAGATTCCGCCCATCCCTTACAGTCCTCCTTCACATCAGGCGGGGCTGCCGAAGCAAGGGCCAAGCAGAGAGCCATGAAAAGAAAGACCTTGTTCATCATCATCATCATCGTCGTCAAATAAATTTATGGAAGCGAAATGGGATGTTCTGCCTCTTTTTCTCGATGGTTATGGATCTTCTACGAATTGATCATCACCAGCCCCATGATGAGATCAGTCATCGGAGAGCCTGTTTGGTTGCTGGACACGGCTTTTCACAAGATAAGATCCAAAAGATACAGTACCGTACTGGAGATCAAAGAGATGCCCGGGTGGACCATTGCGGTCTGTTCTCTCCATTCGTACCGGGACCATTAGCCGAGCCATGTACATACCACATGCCAGATTCATTGGGCTGGCAAGCGGATAGTGAAGGGGAGTTGTGTTGGAGTATCGCCTTGCTTTAACTGATGACGACAGTTAGATCTTTATACCGGTGGGACTGATTCACCGGTATTCATGTTGAAGTTGAAGCGCGATACTGAATCCTGAGCTCGTTAATACCAGTGACGTGTCGACATAGTCATTCGGAAGATACCATGCCACCATTACGGATACTCGGAAGCTAGCTCTAGCTAGCTAGACACCCCTACGGATACTCTCTCACAAAACACGAAGTCGACTATCTACAGCAATGATGATGAAGAAAGAGACATGCACTTGCAAGAAGCTGACAGGCTATATGTTGTTCGTAAAAGAGCACTATCATGAAGTGGTAGAAGAGAATCCTGATTTATCCTTTGGAGAGATTGGAAGGCTCTTGGGAGAGATATGGAGGGATTTATCAGATGAGGAGAAGGAAGAGTACACTTAACCCTCTTCCTCTGTATGATCTAGCTAGTAATCGATTAGCTTATGTTTTGTGTTGCACCTCGTTATGTATCTCGATTAGACATCAACTAGTCTTTGCACCTCCAGTACACTTTTTGGGAAAGGAGAAAAAACGCCTCAACCATGGACGATACATAACTCCATCGATCAAGTTTTTCGGTCGACCAACTAGCTAGGGATAACCCAATATGATTAGTCAACTACTACCGTAGGGAACTAATTTATTTTTCAGTCAATCTACTTTCATCGCATCTAACTCCTTCAAAAAAGCATTTACTTGCAACTTTTGCACTTGCTCAATTAACTCCATCGATCAAGTTTTCAGTCCTATTTTTTTTGCGGGAATTGCCCACCCGCCCTTCATTGGGAATGGTCCAAGATGTCATTCATCATGCTCTCAAGCTCGTCTACCCAGGCGTTGAACTTTTTTAGTCGTTCGGGTATCTTCGCAAGCTTGTCCGTCTTGTCTAGATTGCACAAAGATTCGCCAAGTCTCTTTGCTTCTTCCTTCAGCTTGGCGCATTCCTGTAACACTCCAGAATCAATATCCTTGTTTGGCGCCTCCGTGATAATGTACAAGAAGGAAGCCAGCAGCTGCACTTTTGTGTACCTTTTTGCGTCTTCTACAAAAAAGTTGGGATACCGAAGAGCTTTGTACCAGTCATCATCTCCATTGTTGTACTCATTCTTCCTTGTCGGAAGCGATCCCCGAGTCCAAACTCCTTCGTCAATGTCAATGAGGCTGATCTCCTCCTTTTTATCGTCATAGACAAGGTTGTGGGGGAGAACGTCCCCATGCGGGAGATGGTTGCTGAGAAATGAGGCTGTCTCCATGATTGTCTTGAACTGGGGAAGGAGTGCCCTCGCTCTGAAAGATGAAATGACGGTGTCCAGGGGGACTCCGCGATCTCTCATGAGTGTAACCCCGACACCGTTATCAGAGAACGGTCTGATAGGATAGGTTCCTGAGACTGACTGATTTCGCGAGAGCACATCCCATGCGTCATCCATATATCCCATTGGTTTGGGCTGCAAAGATGTGTCTTTGGATCTAATTTTGAGGTAGTATTTCGTATCGTCACTCTCGTTACCGTCTGCTGAGATAAAGGAATCCACCCGCTGACAGAACAAATCCCAGAGCAAATTGTTTGTGAACTTCTTGAAGTGTTCTGCCAGCAACTGTTTCAGGCCAGCTACCGAGACAATGAACACAATAGATAGCGTTCCGTGAAGAATAAGCCGCCGGTTGTCGGGATTGTCTTCCCAAAGACTTGTCGGTAAGGTGTACAGGGAGGGAATCCGTCTCTCTTGTTTCATAATTCCACCTTGCAGCATTTCTCCACTAACAGACCAACGCTTACCATGCAGCAAGAAATGAATCAACGCGTTCATTGGCACGTTACTCTCAACAGTGTCTGTAGTCTCGTAGAATTCTACTCCGATGCAATCCCCAAGCGTAGTTGGCGCAGAAAGCTTGACGAAACCAACAGAATAGGTGCCGTCTTGGTGCTCGCATCTGCGTCCGCAAAAATAAAACCCATAAACAGCGTCAACAGGTTTACCAAGCTCCGTGCGCAGCCAATACATAAGAGCAAGAAGATACATGGTACATTGCGTGCAGGCTATTGTTGTGTTGTAATTGTTTGCATTTTTGAACTCGCCAAATCGGATTTGGATATCAGCTCCATCCTTGGAATCAAGCGGCGCCAAGTCTGGTTTGGAAGTTGTTGTGACGGGCAATCCTTTCATGATCCTCCGCATATTGTCGGACTTGTGACCTTGCGTTTCTCCATATTCGGCCATAAGCGACGCGAGATCTGTTTCTTTGTAGACTCTGCTCTTGTTACCTGTTGCGCGGCGCAACACTTTTGCCATCCCCTTAATTTCCTTGACACTTGATTCTGGAAAGGCGACTCCATGGTCATCGATGAGGTTTGTGTACACCGCATTACGCAGTGTTTCCTCGGAGGTAAACCGGCCTTTAATGGCGTCCTTAAGGTAGCGGGGCATCTCACGATCGGGGGCTTCTGTCACATCCGAAACGTCGACGTCAAAGAACAGCCCGACATTGTGAGCGCGTTCAATGACTATATCAACCTTCCGCCCTTGATCAAAAACCGGAGTTTTGCTTGCAGATATGACCCCATCCTGTACGGGCGGGATGTCGTCGAATTGATGAAGCTTCATTTTCTTTGGATCCCGACCTTGTGAAGCATTTACCTGCAGCGAACGCCGCCGCTCAGATGACAGCTTTGGAAATCCGCCTCTAACACCCAATCCACCACTGTTGGCGTCTTGGTTTGGTGCACCGGTGGGTGCTGTTGTTGGAAAGAGAGTTGCACTCATTGCAAACAGGCTGGAGTTGCAAGTGGCTGTCCGTATGGAGTTGGATAAGACACGATGCTCTCTTTTAGCTGCTAGACACAGTAACTCCCCTTGAGGTATGGTACAGTAGCGTTGTAGCGCTCTCTTTGCGTTGAGGCCAACACGCTGTGTGGCGGAGTCTTCACGAAGTTTCTGAACGTAGTACAAGTACAAGTAGGGCTCTAGGTACGTGTACTGTACAGTACAGAGTGTTGGTTACTTTTTTGCACGTTACAAAATATTTCGCATCCCGCGAACCAGTAAAAATAGAGGTGCTGCTTCTGTACACGAACGAATAAACATAATAATATGGCTGGTGTTTGTTGAAGTTCTTGCCGGTTGCATTCAATCTTGTTTGTTCAACCCGCAGTCCCAACCGGTAACCGTATTCGGAACGTGAACTTCTAACCGTTATTGACGGTTATAAGAGCAAGTTGATACTGCGTATTTGACAAGTCACAATTTACGAGGAAGTCAACTCACGGACTTCCAAAGTGGATCTATCGTTACTGTATCAATAGGAAGGATCTGGTTGACACCGTCCTTCTCAATGTATTCGATTATAGTATACCCGTAGTTAGGGACAAAGGACCTGTCTCCAACAACAATTCCTGTGCTATATCTGCTCTCCTCATCGCATTGAGCCTCATGATGTCCGGAACCCTCAGGATACTCGTGTATCTTACCGCAATAAGGGCATTTGACCTTGGTATCTCCCTGTCGCCTCAACACAGTAGGGATACCATAGTACTCTTGTAAATAGACCTGCATCCGCTCCAGCCCCATAGGCACCCCGTCAGCTATAGAATAATCATTTGCCATGGTCTCGTCTCACTTTTTTTCGACAGAAGGTCCAGTCCAATGTTTCTAGTAACTAGCTTATGTGCCACTCTAGCAGACTATGCGACAATGGTGGAGTTTATGAAACGGGAATTTGTAACTGAAGCCTTCGTTGCATACCACCATCGACATCGCTACTTGCAATTTTGCTGCCTTATCCATGAAGATGAAGAAGTCAATGTACGATCATGGTTTCCTAATTACACTGTCCAAGAATTCGATGATGACAACATAGAACTTGACCAACCAGTAACCATCCAGAGCTGCATGTTGATTAGCATGTCAAACTGCGATCTAATCCAAACCAAGAACCTCAAGAATACAAGGCTCCGCATTTGTGAACGTCTAGGTCTATCAATTCCAGCTGCATCTACAATCGTGGAGCCATAGCAGATTATCGACGGCATTGCTAACTAGCAATGCCAGCGCGGGAGTAGCTACAGTAGACGTCAACAGCTCTTAACCCTAACTATTAGATCTATTCGAAGAAATCGATGTCATGACGTCATTTTCGATAGGCTACGAGGGCTGAAATATTCGTTAATTCTTTTAAATTGTTTAAAGGTAGCCCGGTGGCATCAACTTTTGGCGCGTTCTCCAAGCTACCTGTGCGACAATACCAATAGAATTTTGGGAGGTCTTCGGCTTTCATTTTGCAATGTCAAGTTTATGGCTTCGCCGTTTCAGAGGAGGCCTTCTTTTTCTCCACCTTCGTCATAAGCATTTGTACCGCAGAGGGATTTTCTTTGCATACATCACCGAATCCTGAATCGAACAGGTGGTAGATGGACGCACCTTGTTGGATTATGCTTACCATGCTTTTGACTCTTTCGCGGAAGCATTCCGAGTGGTCATCTGCACCGAACTCTTCAAAGGACGCTGTCGTCTGAATTTCCAATAGGATTGGCTTGAACGAGGTGCAACCTTTGAGGAATACATTACCAATTAAGCGATGCACAGTGGGGATACGCTGACGGCTACTAGTTACAATGTATCCTTGGAGGAGACGGTTGCCGGTGGCATCGTTGCATACAGCATACGTGACATAAAGTATAGTGCTTCGCGAGATCAAACCTGAAAGGTGATCGATTAGCGCCTCGGTAAAAGCAGGTGCGGTAAACTGCCATCGTGCATATTTTCTCCTTTTGTCAGGAGCCATGGTTTCATAAAGGGCGCACCTCCATTGAAGTCAACTTAAAAAATGAAAGTATGAGCATATCCTGGGGTCATCTTGGTATGAAGTATGAACTGGAATGAAGTTTGAATGCTGGCACATTGGTCTAGTATGAACTGGAATGAACTGGAATGAAGTTTGAATGCTGGCACATTGGACTAGCTAGGTCTAGGTCTAGGTCTAGATAGATTGGAATAGATTGAAAGTTTGGGTACGCTCAGTCGCCGCGAGGCTATAGATTGGAAGGGTCCTGGTCCTTGGAATCGCTGTGGGGTCAAACCGGGGGACCGGGGTCAATCCGGGGGACCGGCCGCTTTGAGTACCTTTGTTAAATCTTAGGGGGAACTCTAATTAAAGGCCGGTCCCCCGGTCCCCCAAAAACGGCCAATTACTATAAGAAAAACAGTACCAGGGACCAGGGGACCCGAGAGGGTAATAATAGTCTCCAGACCTTGATAACCTTATTCTTGTGGTTAGGGTTATCGATTGGTCTCTCACGCGCTACGCTTGGCCCCCTCGGGTCCCCTGGTCCTTCCTCTTTTTAATAACTTCGTTCCAGCTAATCTCAGATACGGCAAAAATCATTAAAAAAATGAGTTATCGTTGTTGGCGTTACATTCATGATCTTGTAAATGAGTTTCAAGAACCGAATACATCTTTGGCTAAACGCCATTACAATGACGTCAAATACACAAGCTTAATGTTGTTCAACAAGATAGTGGATGCACTACGCAAGAGACAGAGAGGAGACGGAGCTGGATGCTCGTGGTTTGACACGGTCTTAGAAGCGTCGAAGATTATTGAAGAGACTACATTGATGAGAGAACAAATGAGAGATGATGAAGCTAGATACAAGCAGGATCTGATTAATTGGCATTGCAGTGATGAGGGAAAGATGATGTATCGGATTCCTAATAAGGTTAAGACGTTTAAGCAATTTCGAAAGAAGACTTGTAAAGTGAAGGACTACGCTGTCGAGATTGTCACAAAGATGTATCGATTGGATCAAATCAACCGGAAGGAGATGAACGAGGAGGTTCCAACCCAGTCAAATTTTGAATTTGAAGACAAGCCGGGGGATGCCCAGGATGCTGAGGCTGTGACCCGAGTTCAGACGTGGTGAGGAATGAATACAGATATTGAAGCGGAGTCTGAGCTCTTTACTAGAGGTTGCCGTGTATTAGAGCTTCATTTCTACACTAGTAGGGTCCATGGTTGGACGTGGATGTAGGTCTTTGCAAATAGTGTCCTAAAAGAAAGATTTCCAGTCATCTGGTGTGTTGATTGGGAGCTCTCCTTGTTTCTCAATCTCGCGGAACTTGGGGGTTTTCAGCTGCCTTTCCAATTTGTTGGGAGTGATGATGGCTTTGGGGTCAAAACCAAAGGTGTCGCGGATGCGTTCCTCTGCCGCGGTTGCAATCCTCTTGATCTCTTCCTTGTCTTCAGGCAAGGGAAACTCGTCCGCATGCATCAGCACAGTCTTCACTGCCCGTTTGATACACCCAAATTTGTTGGCGATGCTCTTCCTCTCAGACTTGGACATCTCACCCCAGGAATCGCTCCGCTGATCCAATGTATAGCCTGTGCGATAATCATCCAGGAAGAACGCCACTGTGGTATCAGTCAGGGTTGGGTATTTGGGAAGAAGGTCAACCGCAACTGAAAACTTGATGATGCCTTTGGGTTTGTTGGCTTTCAGTTTCGGGGCTTCTCCTACGAGGTGAGACTCGAGTCGTTGGATGGCCTGGGCCATCGTGTTCATCTGCTGCACGACGAAGGTGCTCGTGATCCTGCTTTCGTTCTGGATTGCATTGCGGATGTCATTGACCTTATGCTCGAGGTTTAGGAGTCTCATGTGGTTCGCCTGAGACAACCCTGCAAGGGTGTTGAAGTGGTCGACGATGCACCTGGGATCCATTAGAACTTGTGAGCCGATCATTGTGCCGCCATATCGAGGGAACATCTCAATTGGAAGGGCTGGCATATTACGTGACAGGAAAGCCTGTCGGGCTTGCTCCACCCATTTTCCAAATAGATCCATCGCGTGCACCTTCTCCAGTGCTTGGTGGATCCGACAGAGAAAGGGGTTATCTCGCACAGTAGAGCTGGTAAAACCATCGGGGGATGGCTCATCTTCTACCAGCTTTGCAAGTGGATGAGACTCGAGGATTTCACAGAATTCGTTGTAACGGAGGAGGAGGGTCATGACGAGCAATTCCCTGACCTTCGGGGACCATTGTCTGTTAGTGTCATCTCTGAATAGCACACTGGTGAACTTCTTCAGCGTGTCAACATCTGACTCAATATCGTCAAAGCTTGGTGGTTGGCCGCCAGTGATGACATCCCCAATCTTTGTTGTCCAATTGGCTAGCGATTTGCCAGCTTGATGAGACAGTTTAAGGGAGCCAAATACATAGTCAAACACGGAATGGACAGACCCAAGCGACCAGCCAGTTCTGAATACGCCTGCCATGCCATTCAATGAGAGGCATTCGGCCATGGCCTGGTTGGAGCCTTTCCTGTTGGAGTGAGATGACAGCTCGTCGTTGATCTCATCGGCCAGGAACTCAAAGGTGTCTCGCAACTGATCGAAGATTTTCGACCATTCTTTGGAGACCTTGCTATCGCTGGTGCCCGACTTGGTTTTCAGGGCGGCTTTGGAGAAGATGGGAAAGGTGTACTCATTGTCGCAGCCGTTCAACACAATCACGTAGAGGAGGGAAAAGTAAAAGTCCTCCAGAACCCCGTCCCTATGTGGGTAGATTGGGAGCTGTTGAGGATCATTATCCTTCTGGCGCTGACAGTACACCGATAAGACATTGTAGCTGTAGGTGAATTCATTGACTTCAACTGTCGTTGTATCCGTGGGTTTGATCAGGGAGACCTCTGAGCCGCGTCCGGAGCAGTGGTAGCTCGTGTTCAACAGATGCCAGAATTCTGCGTATTGGGGTGTCTTCAGCCAAATGCATGCAGTCGCCATGGCCTCCCTGTCCTGACGGGTGCTCGAGGCCTTGCCTCCAGTCGAGCGAGTGCCAGCAGCACGGTTAGATTCACGGTAGAAACCTCTGAGTTTGTCGAGAAGCTCCCTCCATTTATCTCTTTGGAAAACCGGGATGTCGTTCTCGTTTCTGAACTTGTGCACGAAGAAGACCTTCATACCAGAGCAGTACTGTTCAGCGCTGCTCTTTGCCAGATCCGTCTTATTGGCAATGTAGTAGATGAAATTGCCGAATAAGCTGCTCCAAAACTCAGCGATGGCTTTGCTTGATTTTTTGATTTGGATGCCGCGATAAGGGATGTCATTGGCTGTCACAACATCAATGCCGATCTGGATGCAGTAGCCTTCTAGGAATCGGTTGAAGTGCTTCATGGCTTTCTTTCGCCGGTCGGCTGCCGAGGTAAACAGGCAGGTCCTGGCATCAACGGTGAAGGGGCCATCTTCCTCCATGGTGCTTGATTTTTGATCGATGCCAGTGATGGGAGCTGTTGGAGCTGGTATTGTGCGAGAGATCGTCAGATTGGGTTTTTCATGCCAATTGGAGTTTCATGGTTACTGGTAAGTACGAAGGCATGCCTGGCGTGCCAGACGTTGGGATGGCATGGCGAAACATGCCAAAAGATGGAGCTGGCGGGGACTGGCAGAACCCGCCAAAGGCTGGTAAATTCTAGGTACAGTACCGTACTGGAGATCAAAGAGATGCCCGGGTGGACCATTGCGGTCTGTTCTCTCCATTCGTACCGGGACCATTAGCCGAGGTCAATTCAGAACTGTGATTGAACTCTATTTTTCGACTCATTCGACTAAAAGGAGACGTCACCATGTCATTTCTTCGCTCTTGAGTTCCAAGTTTCTATGCTCTCTTCAAACCTTTCCCCTGCATCGCACTTGAAAGTATGCACAGCCGTCAATAATACCGTACTGGCGAAAAGATAGACGAAGAAGCTTAGTTGAAGGATGGTAGAAACTACTTGGCTACGTTGTGATTTGTTTGAGCTTTTGAGGAGCTTTTAACGCATGTAGATGCTTCTCTGGGCTGTGCAACGGCGACGACGAGAAGAGAAAGAAACGGGGAATGATCCTTCTCAGGTACATAAGCTGGTACAGCTCAAGGAATGATTCAATCACAGATCACAGCAGCACAGACGATGCACAGATCACAGCAGCTACAGGTACCACCGAAAGGAAAACCCACTTTGTAATGTGAAGCTGGCCTGGCTCCTTGCTACAGGAGCGACCTCCCAGACCCCCCACGCCTTGAGGAGGATTCGAGTGACGCTGGCTGCAGGTTTTGATTTGGCAGACCAAGACGTTTATACCAGTACGGTAGCCCTTCGCTCTTCATGCTCTTGTCCGGTGCTTTGTCAAGAAGAAATGGTTCGAGTTGGGAGAAAGCGGGGTGGAGTGGAAGCCAAGAAGAGCACCGTGGAAATTGTGGTCTGGCTGGGCTGATCACGGGCGGCTCGAATCTGAACCAATGGTCAGCTGGGACCAGCTACCGGGCACCTGATGCATGCATTGCATGTATGCAAACAGTAGATGAAAGCTTCTAGTACTCTACTAAACGCAGACTTAGAAAGTTCAATCAGTAATGTGCACTCGTTTCGTTTAAACAAGCAAAGCAACTACTACTAGTCAAATTATTCATAAGAAGTGAAACTGGCTGCAGAAACCCATGCTTTGGCTGGCCCGCTGCAGGACAGCTCATTGACATGGCTGCGACTTTGTCAGGCAGCCAGTTCCTGTTGCCCGAGATCCACTGGTAGCGTTAGAGGGATAGGACTTGTAGGTTCTCACCCGCAGCCTCAACTTCGTTCCCGCTGGTGGATATCAATCTCAAAGAACCAAGGTACGTGATCACGGAGTGGGGAGTTGCCTAGAAGCCAAGCTCGATTGGTAGCCCACCATCTCTATTGTTACCGGTGGGTCTGAGAAGCAGACAGCCAGGAGTTGACCTGAAGTTCAGGAAGGGGTCAACTGAAACATTTGAATTCAGGTGCCTACCGGTGAAGCCTCCGATTGGCCTCGTCGGGAATCCGGGCTAGATACGGCTACAACATGTAGCTACCTAATTGGCTTTCGACCTGATGTTCCGATGTCGGCGACCCAGCGAGCATCTCAGAAAGAGCTGCGAACTGTACGGTAGCATACTTTTGTAAAACTTGGAGTGGTACCAAACACAAGGCCCAAGGGCCCAAGGGCCCAAGGCACAAGGAGAAACCAAAATTGCTAAAAATTGACTAAAAAGCCCTTGCGTATGTAGCCTTGGAATTCAAAAAACTGCCTGGGGAGGCTTGGAATGCTCTTTTCTTTTTACCAGTAGAAAGCGCATCTTCACGGCTACAGCCGTAATACGTTCATGTAGTACTTGCTTGTTGTGCAGTACATGCATTCCGGATTACTGGACATGCTACCATGCATGTAATAGTACTATTTTAATAGTGGAGGCTGCCACCGGTGAGAGGACGCTGTGCCAAACTCTGAGTTTTACAAAAAGTACAGCTAAAAAGAGCATTCACCTAAATACCAAAAATAGGATAGTCTGGGCTTTTGTCTTTCTTTGACCCATTCAACGTCCTGTAGAATATTTTGATACAACGTTTTTGCCATCCTCAAGCAAATGTCTGAAGGAGAACTGTGAATCGAGTTTTGCACCGTCAATTGTATCCATCTTCATTTCACCATTTCCATTTCAGTGGACACACGAAATTTGTACGTATACTAGTACTAGTAATTACTCCAGTACCTGGTAGGTTTTGGTACCAGTTGGTCCACTTAATGATCTCGTGCTGTTAAGTGTTTGTTTGTCCACCCTTGTGCGGTTTTCGCATCCCTTTACCGGCCAAGCTCTCCGTTCATCTCTGAAGCTGCTTTGGTCTTTGGTTGGACTCTCTCTCTCTGCTCACAATTTCAATCTTCCAACAACTCAAACAACAACTCAAACAACAATAACAAACAACAACGACAAGATGATTGCCACTATCTCTATGAACGCCTCTCCTTTCCCTGCTCTTAGCAGCTTCCATCAACTCAACAAGACTTCCATGATGGATTCTTCCACGAAGCCTCTTCCAGCCGACTATGTTCCTGGACCCAACTGTGTGATCTGTGCTCGCGGCAATGCTGTCAAGAAACACCCCGGCAACATTCGCTTCTTGCAAATTGTCGACGATCACCTCAAGAAGTACTCTGCAGCAGGATCCAAGCTTGAAAAATCCCTTCTTGTCAGCAACATCATTGACATCATCAACGACTCCAATCCCGATGGCATTGGTTTCGTCAGACAAATTGACGGACAATGGGTCGCCGCCGATGATCACACTGCCAGAGAAAAGGCCGGACAGCGCCTTCGCGACCTTCTTGGAGGACGCTACCAATCCAGCTCCAAGTCCAAGAAGCGCCGTCGTCGTGCCAATGAAGCCATCCTTGCTAGCCGCGTCGATGAGATTGTCGCTCGATCCAACGGCAAAGCACTGGCTGATCGCATTGAAGAACTCACACCATCGGCACTTGCCACAAAGGCATGCTACCAAGCCGACAATGAATTCCAAAAGATCTTCAACCAAGCAAACAGTGAGCTACTTATGCGAATCAAGGCTGAACTAGATGAACACAGCAGCATCAGCAGCCTTGATGACAGCGAACGATCAGATGCCTCCTCCTCCTCCGATGAATACTTCTAAATTGGCATCCTTGCCTCAATTACTCCAGCCTATCATTACATATTATAACCTCCTTCATCTAATCTTCCACTTCATTGCCTCAAAATTGACTACTTGCTAGCTAGCTAGATAGATAGAATTGGGCAACCGAACAAAACACGGAAGCAAGACCAGATCATGACAACACGAGCTACTTTACAAATGAGGAATCATGCGCTAGACCTTCGCCTGCGTTCTGCACAGATTCGCCTCTCCATCATCAATCAAACTCAACAGAAACATCCAACGAAACAGGATGAAAACGAGCATCCTCCTCATACATGGCAAGGCAACCCAACCTGCCTGCACTATCGAAAAGGTGATGGCAAGACACGGCGGGCTTTGCCTTAGTATCGATGGAGAATCACCAGAGTGATAAACAACAGATGCAACAAATCTGTGGTTCCCTAACAAACTAACAAACAAACAAACCCAGCCACGTTTCATTAGGACAATGGCAGCCCAAGCACTGACGAGTCTCGCTCATTGAAGATGAAAGAGACAAGCCGACAACCAAAGCTTACCACGGGCAGCTATCAATGATTCGATTCGGTAAAATTTACTTTAGTTCCGCCAACAAAAGAAATTTGCTGGAATGGTACCGTAAGAGTTACTGACTCGTCAATCCAGAAGGTACCGGTAATGGTGGATACTGCGTGCTGCAAGTATGGAGCTAGCTATCGATAGCAGGGCCCCCCCACTTACGAGACAGTCCTACCGGTGCAGCAATAGGCATCTGCATTATTTGATATGGAAAGTTTTTTTTGCTATTTGCTTCAATCTTCTGGTTTGAAGAAGACACCCAGGAGAATCGAATCAAAGAAAAGCGTGGTAAGCAAACTTGGACCGCCTCCCCACTCATCATCATCAGCATGTTCGACCTTCACAGTTCACTGCAGCAGCCGGAGCCACAGGAGCATTCAATGTAGCTGAACCTGTAGCCCTACAGCTGCCTGGGTGGCTGTTTGGGTTGCTGTGCTTGAGACTTGAGAGGAACATTGGTAGTCACGGTCTTCTTACTACCGGTGCTAGACTAGCTACCGGTAGCTAGCTAGTACCGTAAAGGTTTTTGAGAAGAAAATCAAATCTTCAACACTGAATCGAATCGAATCGAATCCGTAGCTATGGTACTAGTATTATTTTTCAAGCTCCTCTCCAGCATGCCAGTATGCCAGTGGACCAGTGGAGCCATGCTTAGAAGAGCTGGAACTTCAGAGCTTGCTGGCTTGAATGCATATGCATAGATGTAGCAGGCGCCAACAAAAACATGGCTCTCAAGGATCACACCAGATACCGGTACCGGTACTAGCCACCACGAACCCGTACCGGTACCAGTACATGTAGTCAAGATGTCAAGATCACATCTAAAACAGAACCCGCGGAGTTGTGCCTGCAGATAACAGCAAAAGAATGCCACAGCTATCGCACCCGGTACTGGAGCTATCTAGCAAGCAATTGTGCTGTAAGGTCCGATTCGATTCGATTCAGCCCACTGGTCATCTGGGAATGTTGAGTTCGGTTTTCGTACTACAACATGTTGTTGTACCAGTAGCTGTGTTGTCTGTGTACCCCTCGGTGCTCGGAGAAGTAGAAGTGCAGAAAGTGAAGCAGTCATCCAATGAGCAACAACTGCAACTGGTACCGTGGTACGATATACCGTTTTAATTCACTTCTTGAAGTACCGCACACATGTACTGGTACTGATTGGTACCACTGGTTCATCAGGAACACCGCATTAGCAAGCCGAAGCGCCAAAACAAAATGGCTCTACATGTAGCTGGCTCATTGGAGCAACACCGTAATGCCAATTGATGACCTTCAGAATTCAGCAGCGACAGCTTCGACAATACGGTATCGTTGTTCGCCTCGGCAGCGGCTGCAAAGCTATAAAAAAAGCTTAGAAAGAACTACTGCAGTAGCTGGAGGAAAAGGGGGAGTTGCGAGTTGTGGCAGGCTCTTTTCGCTCTTTCTGTCGGGTTGCCTTTTGCCTTTGGGAACATCTAGCTGTTATAAGGTGATCAACAGTTGACCTGGCACTTAACGTCAGGCGAAGACAGAACGCAGAAACCAAAGATAACCATTCTTTGACGACAAACCAAGAAACCAAGTGATGGTAAAGGCCCTTATGCAGTTGGCTGCCTCAGACCCGGAATGACTCTACTCGAGTACCCGATACCGTGCGGTACCTGGTACCAGCTACTCTCTTTCTGCATCTTTTGATCGTTTGTCGTTTGTTGATCAATTGATTGATCATTCTCATAAAACAGAAATCCTCCAACAAGAGGCATCAAAATTGACGGGTCACCATGTCGATTGTTGAATTGAGCAACGAAGCAGTCTTTCAGCTGCATAATGGTAACATCGACTCCGCAACGAAGATCCTGGAGCAGGCACTCAAGTTGATCGTTGCAGATCACAGCGGTACAGCCGCTCCAATGTCGGTAGCAAATCGCTCCTGTGTTGGATACGAAGGACAGACTGTGGAGGTGGAGGCTCCCAGGTCAGTGCCGGTTTCATTGCTCCTCTGCATTTCCCAACAAGCTCCAGATACAACGGCACGGCCTCTACAACGGGGTACGGATGTCAGCCAGGGTTTTTCGTACCAGCCCAGACCCCATCACCTCAGTTGCAGCTTTCTGTATCAACGGGTATTCTTGGTTTCTCTACACGAATCAAGTCCAGATCTTGTCGGGGCAATCAACCTGTACCACTTGGCGCTGCTCAACCATGCCCAAGGGATTCAGAATGGCAACAGCACAGGAAAGCTCTCGTATGCAAAGAAACTTTACCATCATGCTCTTGAGTTCGTCAAGAAGCACAGTCAAGTCTTCGGCTCTAGGCGAGCCCTCCTCGTGTCTCTTGCAATCGCCAACAATCTCGGAGAACTGTTCTGGCAGGAGCTACAAGATGTCGTCGAGGCAAAGAAATGCTATTCGCTCGTTCGTGAAACGTTGCGATACATGGAGCACTTGCGTTCATTCCAATCGGAGAGATGCAGCGAGATGGAGTACTCCTTCTTCGCCACGAACACAATGATTCGCATGGGCACCGACATGCAGACAGCAACTGCTGCATGAACACATGTGTGCCCAGGATTTCCTTCCAACCAGGTTGACAAGGCAGAATTCACCAGGAAGCAAGAATTGCTGCAAGTCCACATCGTCCTGGCTGCTGATGGTACCAATATGGGATTGGGTGTGAGTTCTTTGGAACACAACTACATGTAGACTTGATAAAAAGTACAAGATTGATTAGCGATTGCATAGTGGTCGATCAGTTGCCAAACTTGTGCTGTCCATAGCTCTGGGAGTTCTTGTTTCTTTGCCCCACTGGCTAGCCACCGGTAAGCTATAGCTAATCTTGTGGGCTGCCAGCAGATCACACATTTGCTTTGTGGAACGGTATTGGGCTGTAACGTTCGCAAAAGTTTGCCCGTCTGTTGCCTTGCAAGACTCGACTCTTCGTTTTTGTGGTTTCCAAAGGTGACAAACGCAATGCCGGCAGGGGGCTGGCCAGTTTCTTCTACCGTTGCTATTAATACTGGTACCGGTAGGCAGCAGGTTTAGTGGTACCGGTATCGTTGTATGTACCGGTACCGTACGGTCACTGAAATGCGACCCGAATAGGTGCGTGCCACGTACCTTTACCTGAAGCTCTTACCACTCATCCTACTGGCTAGCAAATACTCAGCCAGTGGTTCCGTTGCCTCTTGGCGTCTTCCGTTTCCAATTAAGCAAGCTCTGCTAGTCGCAATTGATGGTTGCAAAAGGATACAACTGGACAAACTGCCAGGACGACTTGTTGCCAGGATTTGCTTTCCTTTTCTGTGCTGGAACCAGCCAGCGGTCAAATTGATGTGGCAAAACTTTTGCTGGGATACTGCATGGGAAGCGGTAACAGCATCTACAGGATGGACAACATTGATACCAGACCAAGAGAGCCCTGCTGCGGATGCAATAAAAGCCAACAAAATCACCACTTGAGACCATGAGAACGCGGGAGAAACTGGTGCAGAATGTGGATAGTATTACTGATGGTAACTAGCCAGAGGCAGCTAGGTACCGGTAGCTAACTACCAGTAGAACTTACTCGAGTGGTGCAACAACAAAATTATGAAGACGGGACCAGGAACCATGGTCTACTCTAGATTCTAGATTTGCCAGGTTTTAGTACCGGTAGGGAGACGTGAGCTTGGAGCTTTGGGTATGATGTCACTTCTTGGTGGTGTTCTGGGGCATTCCAGGAGCTGACGGACTGTCCCATCCATCAATTATGGATTAAGATCAGAAATATCATTCGTGGGCTTTTAATACCTATTTGAATGTTCATTATGCCTCCTCTAAGTATGCCAGCTGTATGATATTATTATGCAAGGCGTTGCAAGCAATACTATTAATAGTACAGTACCGGTACTGAGTATAATACCTGCATAAGCTCTCCACACTTGCATATTATGTAGCTGGCTACTGAGTCCTACTCAGGTACAGAGTACTCACTTGCTAGCTTACACGAGCTACTATAGCTACTGTACTGAGCTACCATCCTACTAGTACGGTACTGGTACTGTGGTACGCGTCGTGAGACTGAGTCCGGAATCCCTGGCTACTTTCACAGTCACAGAAGCTGTCTCAGCGTACGTGGTTACAACGAGAAGTACTCGGTGCAGCTTCCATACTCGGTACGCTGTACTAGTAGTATCGGTACATGTACTGGCTAGCTAGAGTACGTACCGTATACGTGGGAGCTCTGGAGTGCTCAAGTGCTCGACGGTCCATCTGGCTGTTTTGACAGTTAGGCATAAGTCATCTATGATACTGAAACTGGGATAGTAAAGTCTCCTTCGACATTGTTGGATCACTTGGACAGCTCAAGGACCACAAATGATATTTCCAAAGCGTTTTACAGAACTCTAATTGTCAATGGAAGTGGGACAGTGTGACAGGGGAAGAGCTGTGGGAGCTAACTCATCAGTGCTCGCTGGGTGTTGCCTCTAAATCCTTGTCAAGAGTGTTGACTTGCTTTCGAACTCCAAAGTATTCTCGTCCTTTGACCATTGAAAAATCCTGCGACCATTGAGGTCAGGGGTGGTCATTGCTAGCTAGTACATGTACTCAAGTGGTACGCTGGTACTAGCTACCGGTAGCTACCCGTAGCATCTTATCAAGCATTGTATTCAGAGATACAGAGGCCCTCAAGCTCTTTCGTGTGAAAAATCACACTCAAACAGTTCAAAGAAGCACACAGCCAGAGCTCATAGATTGTATCCCAGCAGCTCAGTTCAAACCTAGCTAGCAGAATGACGACCCCCCTTAGCGACTTCTTCTCTGGCCTTCTCAATGGTGATGATGTCAATGAACGGCTCGAAGTGGTTCACGACAATGCAGGTGGGCATGGCCAAAGAGCAGACCACAAGAGGAACTGCAATTCTTGCAGGGAATCACGATGGATATCTTCGCCAACGGGCAGATCTCCGTGCTCAAAAGTATTGTTTTCATCTCAATCGTCCGAGCACACTCACTCGAATCATCCTCATCAACAACAAAATCACAACCATCAACATCACGCAGACAGGAAAATGCAGGCAGCCAGCAAGCAGCAAAGCTTCCCTGTTCTTCCCAGGCGGACTGTGGATTTTGATCCAGAGTTGCCACCAGAGCTTCCATTTGCGGCATGAGATCCATGGGGTACCATCGTACAGGACAAGACTTGCAGATTGAGCGACACATTGCACTTACTTCTCAGTGCAACCTCAAACAATGAAACGACCATCCATGCATCCATTCTGCCCCAAAGTAGCGCTCCCAAGAGGATGGTGGTTCAGTGTAATGCCTTGACCAAACAAAGGATCGTTGCAACTACGGCAGCGCATGGTTCAGAGACACGGAACAAGTTCTAGAAGTCCATCTTATGTGACCTGGCGGTGCAGACGCAAGACTATTTTCACGTTGGGGATATTAGGTCATTGGGACACCTAAAGTTTTTTCAATAGCACATCACTTACAGCATACGGTAGACCAAAAACAGTAGAGAGCTGTACTCGAGTAATCGTTTACTTCAGCTACGGTAGGATATTTATGTGCAATCTGCGACGATCGAACTGGTACTTGCTGATCAGTCTTGTGGCTGAGGAATTGAATGAATTGCTAAAGAAGCTACCGGAAAGGTCCTCCTGTCCTCCTCCCAAGAAAGGAATGCCACTGCCGGTACCGGTATTGCTGGCTGCTTTCTAATTGTAAAGAGGGTATACCACACCAAACGGATGGTGTTGGTTGTAACCTTACATACAGGCTTACGGGTGAGCTTTGGCTTATTTCGCTGGGATGACCTAGCCAGCACGTGAGGTGATGGATGAACCTAGATTGAACGCACTCTACGTGCACATGCATGTATCTTTGGTTGATTTGGTTCGAGACCTGAGCCGAGAAGGCAGCTGTTGGAGCGTGCGCGGTGTTGCTTTGCAAAGCGGAACACAAGCAATGTCACCATGAGACTGGAGATCACCACGAGGACAAGCGGAGCCATCTCATCGATTCGACTCGATTCTTTCTTCCAACTGTACGTAGTACTTGGATGAGCATTTCTACTGAGTATCGCCCAGTCAGAGCATTGGGGGCAAGGGTGGAGTAGCTTTGTGTCCCGAATTGAAATTTCACTCAACAACCTCAGTGTAAGTAAGTTTAGTGATGTCCCATGGCTTCATGTGTTGATATATTGATGGTTCTAGCTAGAGCTTGCAGATCGATGGCCAAGAATAAATAGCCAGTAGCCAGCCTGGCTACCGGTAGCCAGGTAATAATGTATGTGTTCAGATGGGATGCAGAACACAAACGAACTGATCGTACCCAAGTATCACCCAAGCGATATGTGCTGGCAACCCCAAGGGGGCAACTTCTACCTCACGTTGGTGACCCAAACGTCCAAAAGGTACTAGTAGCAGCATTCCGATGCACAATGCTGTTAGCTTACATGCACTCCGGAGTACACGTAGCGACTAAGAGCGCTACCGTAGAGTACGTCTGGCATGTACCAGCCTTCGGAAAACCCATTGGATCTTCCAAGCTATCATACTAGCTAGCTACAGCGTAGTACTACCAGTAGCTAGACGTCCACATCCATCCCTTCGCGCTTGACGGCTTCACGGATTATTGATCCCAGACAGGACAAGTAAGCGTACGAGTACTGAGTACTAGTACAGTACCGGTACATGCAGCACGTACACTTACTTGCCAAGCGTAACTTAGTCTACTTGGCGCTATCGCTCTTGGCTGCTCGTGAAAGCACAGATCACCATGACGGCCAAGACCTCTCCGAGAAATAAGAACACAAAGTCTAGATTTAATGAGAGCTCTTGGCAATTATATGTGCGACCTCCTACTTAGGCGCAGACACTTAGTCGTGCTTCCTTTCGTTTAAAGCCCCTTGCAACTCGCTCTTGCACTTGTAAATCCGTGGTTTCTCTTAAAGCTTTGCCAGAGGTGAACAAGTCTTGAGGAGTGAGCCTCAGTGCCTCAGTGAGGAAGTGAGTCAAGTGACTGAACCAATTCATTCTTGACAGCTTTCTTGAACTGTGCAGAGAATATCCACCTAATAAAGCCCTTAAAGCCACAGCCCTAAATAGTTGAACTTAGGTTTTTTTGATAGTGCGTCATTGGTCAAATCGTGACTAATCCGTTAAGTACAAAGAGTTCACGAGTTTCGTGGAGCACAAGAAAGGGACTCCCACCACTTCTCATGCGTCTGTAAGTGTTTCCTCGACTTCTCAAACTCTCCACAGAAGTTCACACAGTAGCTTCCGCAGCTCCGCAGGTCTTCAGCAATGAATGAGCCAGGCAACGAAGTGACGTCTGGGAACATCACCATTTCTCCTCCAAAAACCTTTGAGCTCTCAAAATCTGCTCCCAACATCTTCACAAAAAAGAATTTGGGATAGAAGGCATCAAGAAGATCCTTGCAAATAGAAAACCACCAAAAATGACATCTCGAATGATTATTGGACGAAACAACATGGCGGTTGTTGCCTTGCAACAGGGTCGCCATCGAGATGCCCTGGGAATGCTTCGTACGGCGACCATGCAGTTGAATGAACTGTATCAGCGAGGAGAAGACGACGACGAGAAAGTGGTGATGAGAACCGGAGCGGATGGGAAGGCCAGAGTCAGTTGTCGGTCCCTGAGGAGTTGCGATATTGGCACCAGTGGCCCTGCCCAGAGCAGCAACGTGGATGATGATTGCTTGTCCATGTTCCGACGAGCCATTGTCCTGTCCAGAAGAGAAACGAGTCTACCCGTGATTGCTTCGTCTGTGCTGTACAATTTGGGCCTTTGCGAACATGTGATTGGGGCGAATCTGAACATTAGCCGCAAGATCGTGGCTGCACTCAAGTTCTACAAGATGAGCTACCAGATCATTGAAGAGAACAGACACCGCTGCTCCTTTGGTGATCTTTTGGTACTGGCTGTTATCAATAACATTGCCGATGTGTCTTCCACACTCCAAGATTCCAACAAGTCGAGACGGTGGTTCAAGTTCCTCGCTCGCATCTTGGGAGTCGCCAACTCCAATTCAAGATCTCTACCCGCGCTGGATGAAGCCGATTATGCTTTCTTCTACATGAACGCCATGTTGCATGACGGGGAGATGTTGAATGTTGCTGCTGCGGCTTAGACCGACTTTGCAAGACCGTCTGACCTACGCACAGTGTACATTTATTCTACTCGAAAGATACCACATCACGATGCTTCTATTAACTAAACTCCTAACTAATGTAAAACATACTCTTGCATTGATCAACCAACTCTTCCTCGTCAAGTAAGTGATCCGCCACTACTTTTTGGAAGCTGCGGCTGCCCGAAGTCGTTCCAGCGCCCCCTGCTTACTTGATCCACCCTCTTTCGAATCACCCTCCGGTACAAGGCCACAGAAAACTGCTGCTGGGACCGCTTTGGTTGTGATGCCCTTGAATGGCTTGGAGGGACAATCCGTGGCTTCTTTCTCGTTCTCTTCTGCCTTCTCTTCCTCTCCGTCCTCCTCTTCTTCGTCTTCCACGTCATCGATATCAATCTCTTCATCATCGCCGCCGCCACCATTGTTGTTCTCAGTGGCAGCTGCAGATGATTGCGCGGCTTCGGCGGCACCGGTTGCTTTCCGCAACTTGGCGACCCGCTCTTCCACCTGATCCAGATTGGCCACTTCTGCCACGCGCTTGCCCTTGACAAAACCAGAAATTGTGGACTTGCCCTGCTCTTGAACCTCCACACCCTCCCGACTAGCAATCATGCTCATGGCCTCTTCGTTGGTCAGATTGCCAACTTTGCTTGCAGCACTCATGTCGGCAGCATTGTAGTTGACCGTCGAAAAGGCAGCTTCCACACTTCGTTTGATCCTTAGCATTTCACGAAAGGTCTCTTCATTGCCGTAGGAAACCTCAAACTCATTCCATGATTTCCAATACTCTGGATTGATGCGCGGGTCGGCCATTTGAGAACCATACGTCAAGACGGCTCTGGCGCGGGCAATCTCTTGCAAGGATGTCTCCATCTTGGCAAAGTCCTGACAGAGCTTGGCTGCGGGAGTATCCTGAAGCACTTCAATAGCTTCTTGGTAAATGTCGCGTGTTGCTGTCAAGCCGAGATACTTGGTAGTCTTGGCGATATACAACTGATAGGCGGTAAACTTTTCTTCGGCTGGTACCTTCTTGCACATGTCACTATAGACGTTCAAGGCGCGTTTGGTCAACCCATACTCTTCTTCAAACCCTCCGCTCATCATGAAAAACTCCGAGACACCATCTTCGGGCGGACAGGCATCGACACATCGTTGGAACAAATCTCGGGCCCGCTCCACTTTGCTTCCCTTGTATCGTTTAAGGAATGCTTCAATGTACGCCTTCCAAATGGTCTTGGCAGCCTTGTGCGGAAAGGCAAACATCTCGACGCCTCGTTCGTAGGCGGAAAAGGCTTCTTCAAAGTACTTGTGCTCGGTCAAAAAGGCCCCAAAGTTGAGCACATGCGTCGCCGTTGCCACTTTGATTTCGAACGATCGGTTGTAGGCATCCTTGGCGGATTGCACGGTCCCCAGCGATTCCTCCAAATCCAACAAAAGATCCCACAATCGCAAAGATTTGGTCAAGTTTCTGCTCTTGTTGTTGTTGTGTCCACCTTTGTTGCGATTGCGATGTGCCACGGGTGCCACGGCACTCCGAACAATCGACAAGGCGTCGTCCCATGCCTCTTGTCGTAGTTCCAGTTCGACCCATGCCGCGACGCATTCGGCCAATTCATCGGCCTTGGCAAATGGATATTCGTGTTGATTGCAAATTCGATCCAGCAAATCCCGTGCCTTGGCAACCGATCGTTCTTCGTATAATTTGACGAGTTCCGTGACAATGGCATTTGGTTTTCCATTATTGGCCTTGTTGGGATGTACCGTCTTGAGTGCTTCTTCCAAAGCGGCGACTGCCATGATGGGTTCCTTTTGTTTGACGTAAAGTTGACTTCGATTGAGCCATTCACTGACATTGTTTGGATTTTGTCGCAATAGCACTCGATTGAGAAGAATGGGTCGTCGTGCCGTCAAGTGTTCCGCTCGCGCCAATGCCAATTCCAGATCCGCCATGGACTGTGCCGGTTTGTCGTCCTTGTCCTTTTTGCTGTTGGTAGTTCCCAACAAGATATCCCAATCTTGATCATCCGCCGCAACTTCTTCTTGTTCGTCGTCGTCGTCATTCATTTGTTCGGTTAAATTTTCCAAAAGTCCCTCTTCGAATTGCAAATAAGCATCAAATAGAATGGTAAAATCTCGGACACGGGACACGGATTCCATTCCTTCTTCGAGCACGGATCTTGCCAAATCGAATTCTCCTCTTCGAATCCATGAATCTGCCAATTTGGACCACAACAGTCCTCTCATTTCTTGCAAGACGGACGATTGTGTTGTTGCCGCTGCAGTTTTTGTTGTGGTCGAGTCCATGGCCACGGCCGCTCGTACCATGGCTTCCCAGGGCACACCGGCTTGTTCTACTTCGGCAGGATGTGTGGTGCACAAATCGGCCAAGGCATTCCACCATTGATAATATTGCGGCGTATCTTGTACGGCCGGTGTGGCGGTCTGCAACATGTGCTGATAAAGCAGCGCGGCTTCTCCCCATTTGGCATGTTGAATGTATTCTTGACACAACGTGGCCTGAAAAGTGGGTTGTAGCATTCCGTATCGTTTCAAGAGACGACAGCGTGTTTCGACGCGCAAGGGGTCGTCGTTATTTGTATTGTTATTATTCAATACCGCATCATCGTCGTCGTCGTCATCGTCATCGGCCAAAAAGTCATTCAATTCGGCATCGTCTTTCCAACACTCGAGCAGGATGGGCCATAGTTTGTCTTCGTGTTGTGTAATGGGAAGAGCTTGTAAGGCTCGATTGGCCAATTGTCGTAGAAACGTCGTCTTGGTCATTCTCGCACTACTAGTGCTGCCAGTAGTATTGCTGATTGTTGTCGTTGTCATGGTGGGCACGGCAATGACGGTATCTGGGAGCGACAAGACAAACTGAATGTACTCCATCCAGACTCGTGGAAATTTGTGCAGTGTTCGCAGCGCCGTTTCAAAACATTGCAGCACTTCCATGGCACTCATACTGCTAGTAGTTGTAGTAGCATCCGTGCTGCTGTTCTTGTATCGTCGTAACACAAACTCCCAGTGATGTTTCCACAACTTGTACGATCCCGGCAATGCCGCAACACTGCGTTTGCCCACAAAATTACGGACATGCCACAATGGTGGTTGTTTGTGCTTTAACGCAGGACCACTGACATCTTGAATCAGAGAATCGATATCATCCAGGTACTGCCACCATGCTTTCAGGTCGTATGGAGATTTATGGGACACAATTTCTTCGTGATGCAGTAATGCCGGTTCTTCGGCGATTGTCGCAAACGCACGTTTCTGAGAGTCAGACAGAGGTTTGTTGGTGCTGATCAGAGAAGAAGCCCTAGTTGTGGATGGACCTGCCGCTGTCATGGTCGTCGTTTGCTGAATGAATGCGTTGCTTGGAGCGGAAAAAATGGTGTGTGTTGGGTGGTTGTGGATCTTTTTAAAGCCAGCAGAAGTGTTGAAGATCTTTGATCAACCGTGCCAGAGCGCACATCCTCTCATTTTTTGTGGACACAAAAACACTTCGCAGCCATTGGCTGTTTGGATGAAACAATGAAGATCCGGCCACCATCGTTTTTGCTGTTGTTCCTATCACTAATACTACCATGGCCTACTACATTTGCGTTTGCGTCCCCTTGGTGGCCCAGTCGAAATTGGATAGGAAGAATAAGAAGCAGCTTGCATTTGTCCAGCAAAGATGTTGAGAACCCGTCCACAGGAGGAGAAGTTGTGGGTGCGGCTGGGCGCATCGGGTCCCTCTTTTCCGCCACAATCGACGGTACATGTACATGTACTACTACTAGAGCCGTCCCAAGAGGAGTAGCTCCCGGATGTTTGTCACCGGCAGGGACACCCATTTTTGTCGCCACGGCCGCCCAGGAATGGCCTAGTATTCTCAATGCGACTCTACCACATCGACGGAAAGATTTGGTGTGGATTGGCAATGGATTGCCACCTAACAGCGATTGTACGATTGTCGTGCCGCACTTTGGAGTTTTGGAAACCCATGCCGATCCTGTCACTTCCGACGAATCGCCACCCACCTATCTCTATGGAACACATGCGGCCACGGTCGAAACCATCTTGCGTCGTCGAGGCATTCAGCAGATCGAACACGTGTCTTGTCATGCCACTATAGTGTCCAAGGCAGCACAAAAGTTACTCTGGGCGGCTACAATGTGGTTGCTTTGTCATGACAACAACAGTAACAACAACAGCGGACCACTGACGGCACTCCAAGTCCATACAGAGCGAGCTCAAGACTTGGAACTGCTCGTCACAAAAGAACTTCTTCCAGCCTTGCAAGTACAACTCAACGACACCACAACAACCACAACCAAACAACAAGTGCTCGACTATCTGTATCGATATTCCAAATCCATGCCGACGGCCATTCCAAATCTACAACTGGCACGGCAAGAATGGAAACAGAGAAATGCATTCTTCTTGCCAGTAAGAAATCAAGTACCGCAACCAAGGCATGAAGCTCTATTGCAAACTGTTGGAGGTATTGATTCAAGAGAAATTGAAGCATGCGGTAAGGAACAAGAAATGGAAGAAACGACATCCCAAAGACGACAATCCATCCAGGTGCCATCGCTGGGATTCACCTTCTTGGCAACACCATCCAACACCAATACCAGGCAACACGAAAGGAAACCAGTCAAGACTGCCATTGTCATTGGTGGAGGGATACTAGGGACCAGTGTCGCCTTGCAGTTGGCACGACAAGGGGAACAAGTCACCGTCGTCGATGCTTGTGGCCGCAATACTACTACTACTAATGGTCTCACGACACCGGCATCGTGGGCGTGGCTCAATGCCAATGACAAGTCACCGCCGGCATATGCATTCCTGAATCATCTGGGGATGGACGGATGGAGACGGGATCCACTACTGAAACAACATCCCATTTGGTGTGGGTCGTTGGTGCGACAGTCACAACCCAAGCCGCCACAACCGGGATATCGACATCAGGGACCATTGGACTCTAAAACAATTCACGAATTGGAACCATTGGCTAACTTTGAGGATCAAGATCAAGACGACGACAAACAGCCCTATGTATACTATTACCCAGAGGAAGGACTGGTCGATCCATCCGTCGCAGTGAAAGTCATGCGAGAAGAGGCGGTGCGCTTGGGAGCGACGTTCCTTTCCGGTCAAAATGTGACGGGTGTCGTACGAGACAACAATGAGGTTGTAAACGGGATTATCTATACTGCCGTAGATGGCGATCCTGCATCACCAGAAGAAAAGACAATGATGGCAGATGTTGTTGTATTGGCAGCAGGCATCGGCAGTGCCAGGTTGGGACACCTTCCCATGCTGCATCGGCCTGGGCAAATCGCATTTGTTCGTCCAGCAGCAAAACAACAACCATCTAGTAGCGGAAGAGTCCTACAGCGTATTCTGGTCGATACCGTGCGGGAGTCTCATGTACTGCAACGAAACGAGCGAAGCATGGTCGTTGGTGGAGGTGAGTTGGAGGTTGGCGGCGATGGGGCCGCCAGTCAAACGCAAGAGCAACGACCAACAGATACGCGGTCTACAAACCTGCTTTCGTCAGCCGAACAACTCGTCCCGGGAGTTTTGGGAGACTTGTATCGCACTGAGAGTGCCGTGCGCCCCATCCCGCTTGATGGTCTCCCTTCCGTTGGCTTTCTGGAACCTGGCTTTTACTGTGTTGTGACCCACTCGGGCGTGACATTGGCACCCATTTTGGGCGCCATGGTTGCCACCGAGTTATCCAAAGGGGTGGATCTTGATACTCTAGAACCGTTCCGTCCGAATCGGTTCTTTGGTGCAAGATGACGGTAATAATCTACCTGCCGGTATCAAAGCTACCATGACCTAGCTCCCAGATTTGCTGCACGCCTTTTCAAGAAGTTTGAGGCAACCAAAGGTCCTCGCTGATTGAAGCATCGAGTCTGCATACTCGTTTTTCTGAGCAACATTCCTTCGTTGTCCACGCCTCATCAACAAGCAACAGCTGTGTCGCTGGTTGAGTTGCTGCAAATCCAAGGTTGCCTAGCTAGTTAGTTGTGACTAAACAGGGTTCTAAGCCTGGGCAGAAGAAAGGAAGAGGATTTCCAATTGCATAAACTACAAGTCAGGGAAACACAGCAGCAACGGACAACAAAAGAGGGGGAAAGCAAAGCAGATAAGAAGTAAAGAAATTAGAAGTAATCTCCTGGTTCAGCCAACTCAAGTCCCCAGTGGACAAGCCATCAAAACCGCACAGATCCTTGGCTGCTGCTCCCTGCACATTGGATTCACCAAGGTGGCGGCATCCAGAGGGTGTGACTTGTGGCAGTTGGCACGTTTGTAGGAATTGCGATGTCGACAAGACATGAATACACAACATGTACCGGTACCGGTAGTTGTCTATAGAGTAAAATTGTTGGCATTGCCCACCACGACTACTCGAATCTCTTCGTTGGCTGCAACTGTGTCGGAATACAATTTGGTTGTCCCGTAGAGAGGTGTCAACTTTCCACTTTCCGCATAATGCGGCTTTTTTGGTCGATCATCGTATTCTGGCATGTCGGTCGAGCACATGATGAGGTTCTTTTCGTCCAAAGTAAATCGATGGGCCCCCATGTCTTGCTTGTTTTGTCTCAAGATGATGGATCTACCTGGAATGGCCAGACGAGGATCATTGGGTTCAATCATAGGTGGGCGTTGTCGTTGTTGTTTCTTCTGTCCTTCTTCGTTTGCATTGCTTCCTCCCCAGATGTCCAATTCTCCAGGTGCGAATCCAGTTTGAGGATGGCGTTGTAAGATCATGTTCATGGCCGTTCCCAAGATACATGGTCCCGTTGTGAAGAGAATATCGAACGAATGACTCGTGCTGAGGATGGGCCCAGGGCAAAGCATGTCGTCATAATCCACACTGGTGAATCGATTGCGGATATTGTTGACTACAATCTCGATGGTTTTGGCGACAAATGGGTGCCCTGGTGCGACCGCCATAAACCCGTTCCAAAGACACGATTGTTGCTTCACTCGGATTCCAGGTTCGTCAATGGGTGTCATGAATCCAACATCTGGATCAATCGCCAGTTCCAAATTCGTTTCCAACAAAACATCCATGTCGGCATAGACCCCACCTGTCCAAAAAGAAGACAACCAAAGAGATTAACTCAGGCCACGGAGTTGGTATAGTATGTTTCCGTTTTGCCAACTCACCTTGAATCAGGAGCACACAATACCTGAACGATACAAAGCCACACGAGAGCGGGGTGTGTGCGAAGACAGGTCAGAATAAGCTACATCATTATATAATACAAGACACAGGCACGAGTACTCACCGGAACAAATCAGCCTTGAATGCTCCGGGCTGAATGGCATTGTATGCCTCCAAGACTTGCGAGGGAAAGTGCTTCTCCAAGAATTTGGCAGCCGTGGCATCATCATAAAAGTTGTGCTGCCAACCACTGTGTTTCCACGATGACATTAATCGAGACATGTTGGGGTACTTTTCCTGGTCGAGTGGTTCATACCAAGTCTGATGAATGATCCGTGGAATCAACCGTTGCGGTTGCGATGTTTGTTGTTGGTAGAGCGGTGGTGAAACATACCACACCGCTTGGACATGTTTGGGTGGTGGCCGAATATGACAAAGGACTTTGCAGTAGCACGGGCAGTCCTCGGCACATTGATCATCGCATCCAGCGCTGGAAGTAGCCTTTTTCAAACAGGATCGGCATTCCTGCGATGTGGGGAGGCAATTGTTTTGGAGGAGAATGTCAAAAAAGTTGGGAGTTTCCAGTTTGCTCGGAACGACGGCGACCTTGTTCGGCACGGATGTAATGGTGGACCAAGTGGAGTCAGAGTTGGAAGGGAAATGTTGCTTCTCTGCTGTGATGATTGCTGGAGTCTTGGTGAGACCACCAGTAGTGCCAAAGGGATGTTTGACCATAAAGACGGGTGTCTCGTTACCATACGCTGGATTCCACACTTGGCAGCAGTACCCGCCTGGAATCGTGCAGTGCAACCCAAAGGTTGGCAACTTGGTGAATTCGGGAGGGATATTGAATTCCTCCTTTACATTTCTGTTTCGTCTTTTTCGTGCGGATTGTTTCATATTTTGGTTTGATTTTGGTTGCTGGACCAGGACATGATCCGCTGGATGCTGTGTCGATGGTACTTGGCAATTGGTTTGCCACAAATGTTGAATCTTGTCATCGTTTTGAATGTGTTGCGCCAAAGCTCGATAGGTGTAGAGAGGATTGGAAGTCAGCACACTATCTTCTGTCTCCAGCAAGAGTCTTAGCATGTGTTCGGAGAGTGTCTTGGCGTAGTTGTTTCCATCCAACCTCAAAAAGCTGGAATGCACCCACGCCGAGGCAGAAATGGCATTGTCCGCATGGTTGTTGTGGTTGACGAGTAGGGCTGTACTGCGATCCTTGTTACTATCACTCGTGTCCTCCATTTCCCAAATGTCTTGCCACAACAGCAGCGGCACCACTTGTTCACGATCCCAATACACGTTGCCGTTGCCTGTGGCAAACATGCAAAATTTCCAAATTTCCGTCTGCAAAAAAGGAGACGCTTCCAATTCATCGTATCTCTGAACCACGGCATTTCCACTATGCTTCAAGACATCTTCCGTGCTTTCGGTCCAACACTTGTGCCCATTGGCTTGCAGAAATTGCCGCCGTGAGGAAGGCGTGAACCATGCCATGGCCAGTCCATCCTTAACTTGGTAAAAGTCCACATCCTTTTCCAAGGCAGGACCAAACACGCGCATATTGGCACCCGAGTCAGCTAGAGATGACGCCAAATCCAAGTTAGTAGTGGCATCATTGCCTTCTAATAATCTTCGATGATCTCCCGTTTTGTATTGAGCGTCATTGTCATTGCCGCTTATTGGAAGAAGAATGTGTAGCACTGGATGGACCTGGAGAAGCCAATACACAGCCTTCTGGGAATCAGGGGAGGATGACAACAGCAGAAACAACAAGCTCCCAACCACACAAAACCCTCCCAACATCCATGCTCCTACATGTAGTCGATTCATCATTGCCATGAGTTTCTGTTGGAGCGAAAAGTGATGGTCCTTTTTGATCGTTGGTCATAGCAATAATATTGTTATGATCATTTTGTCGTTTAGTATAAGGATACCATAGGTAGCTAGTCTAAGGCTAACTTAAAACCGCAACCACCACCTTGAGATGCGTTTGATCACCAGCTGTCAATCAGCCACAGCTGTTGCCATCATGTATGTTGTTCATCAGAAGACGACGACGAGCCGAGTCGAGTCGCAGTACTTACTATTTGCTAGACTACTAGATCTAGTAGTTGCAACCTGGGTGGTGCGTGGAAGCCCGAGGTTCAGGCGACAATTAGGTGTGGAGAATTGTGGTTCCTAATCTCCGCCAACCCAAGGCGGTCACCACGGGATCTTTGCACCAATCTCAGCCACTAGTCTAGTGCTCTATTAGAGGGGAGAAGTGCCTACGGACAGCTGCTTGATTGAATTCAGGTTGAATCTTTCTCCAAAAGGGGATGCCAACCAGGCCAGACCATGGATTCCCAATCTCTCCAACCTCTTAGTGGCGCTATCTGCGCATCAATCTCAGTTTATGAAAGGGTAGCCTAGACTAGCTAGACTCCCCAAGTTACGACTGAGCCTCTCTCACTGCCTTCCACCGTTCATTTTGGGCATCCAACTTCTGTCCCCAAACTACGGACTACAATAGTAATAATCGAGAGTGGTTGCGTTTATAATGTATACATTCTATGAAAATAGTGGATTCTGAAATGAGTGCCCGTCCGTCAGCCATGAGCAACTAGCTAGCTAGATAGACAGATGCCAGGAAGTGAGGTGGATTGATTGATTGTTTAGGGCATTGGATTCCACCATGCCACATTTCTCTTTTTCTTCTGTTTGTTGTTGGCTTTCTCATTGGCAGGAGCCTGTTCGAATGTTCCCTCGGCCTGTTTTGCCATCATTTCTTGCAACACTCCTGCCACTTCTCCACTGGACATGAGTTGTTGTCCTTCTTGCAATGTCGTTTCGAACAATTGTGATGCAGACGACGATGATTGTGGGTTCAAAAAGTAATCAATCGTTGCAAGGAGACGAGGGAACTTGGACGGTCCACAGGGAAACTCTTCGAGTTGTTGTCCTTTTTGGTAGAAATGGACCGTCGGCAATCGCTTGATTGACAGTGCACGGCACATGTCCTTGTTGGCGCCAAACTCAATGCTTCCAAAGCGCATGGGACCGGGTTGCACTACAGTATTGTCATCATCATTGTTGCCGATCCAATCCGCCTTTTGATTGGCCAGACCTTGGAATTTGACTCCAAAGCGTTGACAGGATTTGCACCAGGCAGCGTGGAATCTGTAAAGTAAGCAAGTTACAAACGAAACATAAGATGTGTGAGGGCGCCATTCAATGAATGACCCTTGAAACTAAATGCGTTGTGATGCAGTACGTACTTGATGACACAAAGTCGTTCGTCTTGTTCCAGAAAAGCCGCCAGTTCTTGCGGGGAATTGATGACCGTAACGGGAGCATGCACATTGGGTGGTAAAATTACAGTCTCTTCATGATGCTGCTGATGCTGATTGCTGCTTTCCATGGGGTTGGTGGGCAATGCCGACGAGACATGGAGAGGCCCCAACGACTTTGTGGGTCTGCTATTGGTACTGGGTGACGGCGCAAACGCACTGCCAGTCAAGGCAGCGGTGCCCAGACCAAAGAAAACAAGTGCTAGTGATGATCGTGTCATGGTTGTTCGTATGCTGTAGAATAGAATTGTTTTTGTTCGAAGCGATTGACTTTCTGTGCCTTGATTGATGGATTGATGGTTGAATGAGAAGGATTGTAAAGCTCGAAAGGAAAAAGGTTGAAATTGTGAAGAACAAGAAGCTGTGTTCAGAGAGCGGCTCAGAGAACAACAGACACAGTTGTGCCATTGGCTGTCTGCTCCAAGCTCGTGCGTTGTTAGTGCGTTGTAAAGCCTCCTGCTTTTCTTCCGTCGCCATGGATGTTCGACCAGCTGTTGCTGTGTTCTTCAAAAGGTATCTTCAAGCACATTTCATTCAGAACACGACCATGGCGTCATTATTGTGACCTCTGAGGAGGGCACTGACGGTCAAAACGAAAACAGACCAAAACAGACCGAGACGAGAAACGAGAGGCGAGATCGATCGAGCGAGGTGTTGGGTGTTGGGGTTGTTGTTGTCGAGGCTTTGTCTTTGTTTGAGCAACACATGTATCCACATGGAGCTACATTTTTTAAAATACTGTGCTGTCAACTCTTGTTAGAACTGTACAGTCATCTCTACCAGCTAGCTAGCTAGAGTTGAATATATCCTCGCCGAAAAACTTCCTAATTGCTTCCACACCACCATTGACAACAAACAACAAACATGTCCGGTACATCCACGGACCAATCCAATAATAGCAAGCAACCTCTAAAGCGGCTGGAAAAGACGACGGCATGTCTTCCCATTGTCTATGGCAGTGTGGCCTTTTTTCTGGGGAAAAAGGCAGACGAATTCAAAACGCATCAATGGACATTGTATGTTCGGGGTCCCAAGAATGAAGATCTCAGTGGCGTCATTGAAAAGGTAGTCTTCCAGCTCCATGCCTCGTTTGCTGAACCCACGCGGGAAATATTGCAACCACCCTTTGAAGTGACAGAATGTGGTTGGGGGGAATTTGAGGCGCAGATAAAAATTGTCTGGGCCAAGGAAGCTCAGGAAATGGATGCTTTGGTGAGTATCTATCTGCCTTTGTTGGTTGGTTGGTTGCACGTTGCTCGGCTCTAGCTATCTAGCCAGCTAGACTAGAGTATCAAGAGTGCTTGACCAACTTGCTTTGTTAAACTTTATCTTCTCACATCATCTCCATTCATTACATAATAGCTAGCTCATGGAATCAAGCTGTACCCACCGGCACCACCAGGGACAGCTCCCTCCGCACTCCCTACATCCAATCCCAATGTGCCCGTGGTCAGTGAATCATACGATGAGGTCGTCTTTACAGACCCCACAGAACAGTATTATCGAGATCTGTTAGAAGTGGGAAAGTTGAAACCAGTGACTCTGAAAGAGGAACGTGTCCAAGCAGCCGTTGCAGAGTACAATGATGAACAAACCTTTCTGCAGCTCCTAGAGGCAAAACAGTTTCTGACGCAAGAGTTGCAGCAAGTCAAATCACGCTTCCAAAGGGTGGACACGGAAACCAAAGACATTGACAGTTCCATACGAAAATTGCAAGAAAAGGTGAGGGCCAGTCGCAAAAAGCCACCTCCGAGTAGTGCAAGATCTGCTCCGGCCACGGCAGCAAAGAAGCAGAAGTCATAGTTGCTGTAGTTACCATACTGACTGCCAATTTGATCCGATGCATCTTGGGGCTGTTGCATGGGGTCTACTACTAGTAGTTTGTTAGTTAGCATCCGTGCAGTAGGGGCTCCCTGCTGGATTCAATTGCTTTCCAGGCCCATCGACAAAGAAGAAGCTCCGAAAATGTGGCATACGGCTGTGCAGCGCTCATCTGCGACAGTTCGGAGTAACAAAACTGTATTGCTTTATTGGCAAATACTACATTTAAATAGATCATGAAGCGGATTCTAAATTGGCTGCTTGGACTGGGATGCCAGTCCTCGGCATCTCTATTGCTTCTCATCTTGCCGGACTCTCTTCGACATTGATAGCGACACCGTACAGTTAGTATGGTGGATGGAACCACCCCACGGTTTGAATCTGAGTCAAATCAGCTGATACGTTGGACCAACTCATCAACCTCGACAAAAGGTTTGATGAACAGGCATCAATTCATCCTCTCCTGGTGGGCAAACATCTTCCAAATAAACTTTGCGCAATTCGTAGGGGGAGAACCTTGCTTTGGTGATCTTCTCCCACTTTTTGCAGTAATGCAATGACTGTTGAACTTGATCACAATCAATGTCCATGTCTTCATTAAAGCCTCGATCCGTTGCTCCACGCATCCCATGCACCAGCCAATCTTCGAATGTTTTCTCTTTCAAATGGATCAATGCCAATCGAGAAATCTCATAGACATTGCTCAATCCCTTTTCCTCACATAGTGCTTTGCTCAGATCAGGAAATTTCTTAGTGCCTCCGTAATGATTGCCAGTATCAGTCTTGTGAAAATGAACCCCTCGGGAGAATGTCTTGTCCATGCATCCAATCTCCTTGGTTTTGACAAATTGAATGTCACACATTTCAGAGGCATATGTGCCCTCTTTGGTAGCAACAGATTTGGCATTGGACATGTGCACGTGACATTCAGAGGGGACACTTTCAATCCAATTCATCTTGTAGGGTTTCCCAGATTTGCCCAGTGATCCGAGTGCATCTTTGAGAGCCTTGCTGGACCATTGCATGCCAGCATCTTGTTTCACTGCGAGCAGCTCATCTACATCAACTGGAAAGACAAATCCAGAATCCTCTGCATAGACTCGTGTCACTTGTGACCACATGGCGGCTTTGGCCTTGAAGGAACCCTCACATTTCCATATATGAGCCCCCAGTTCACCATAATCTTTGAGCAAGGACTGAGTATAGTCATCATTGCCTTCATGATCCATAATAACTAGTGAATTGTAGGGTAGCACACGCGTGTAATGTGTGACAAAGTCTCGTAATTGACGACGCCCATCACGTTGTAGTAGAACGACACGCGCCAAGGTTTTGCGGTGCTTGGGTGGTGTTTGCAACTGACAGGAGAATTGGTTCTTGGTGTTGATTCCGCTTGCTTTTCTTCCACCTGAACCAATTTTGGTGGGCTTGGTGGGGACTGTCACATTGCCTTCTGGAATGATACGCTCCTTCTTGGCGACTTTGACTTCGTCGTTGCTTAGCAGTTCCAACTGACTCATGCTAATACCATGTTGCTGCAGTAGAACTGTGCAGTTTTGGGTCTGGTAGATGGAACCCATCAAAGGACAGAGCAAAAGGACCATCCCTACAAAGGATATCCTCGTCGCTGACATGAAGGTCAGTCTTGGCTTAAGGTTGTTGTCGCCGTGGTTGCTCATAGTGCTAATACTGCTGCCAGACGAGCTGCTACCACCACTGCCAAGGCTGACAATACTTCTGCTGCTACTATTCATGACGCAAAGATACGAATGCGGTCAGCGATTTGGATGAAGAAAGCTTGATACTATAGTCTAGTTGCTGGGATCAGACCGGCATGGCAACGGACCATGAGCATTGGTTTTGAAAGGAGAGGTGATGTTGTGTCCGCGCCATGGTGGCCCTCCTTGAGTTCCTCGTTGATTAACGGCTACTCCGCTGCCTGGCTTGAAGCATTCATTTTCCACGCCACGTTACTAATGTACACATCGAACTCACCGTGGAGAAGCAAAGCAACGAGGCCGAATCATTATCTCAATCCATGAGCGAAGCATCGAAGGGGACGTCAACCCAAGCATGATGACACTCTCTTGTATTAACGACAGGTTGATATCAAGTCCTGAAGAAAGAAGGTCTGAAGATCTAGCTAGCTACCGTATTGTCTATTTCAAAACACACGGACATCATGGCAAAATGCGTGCCGAATGGGGGATGCCCACAAGCTATGAAAAGGGGTGCGAACTGCTGCTGCTGCCTCTCATGCGCCGTCATCCTTGAGGAAACCAGAGGTTTACTTTCTCTAAGCGGAATTTGGACGCTTCGTTTGCACGATTCGAGCATTGCTACTTCCGCTCATCCGAAAAAGCGCATTGTTGTGTTTCTGCTTGCTTAGAACTCAGGTACTAATCTATTGGTTAAGTTTGATTTGGTTGTTTTACATGTACACAGTTTTGCACTTTTTATCTCGTTTTACTACTATCTATCTAGCTAGTAGTAGTAGCCCCATCCCTGAAATGCTATGGTACCCTCCCGTTTGCCATTTGTGTTCAATTCATGGCAAGAAGTTAGCTTCCCTGGTGGTTGGTTCATTCTCTACTGTTTTCCTCGTTCCCTTCTTCCTGTTTTAGTAAGTAGTAGTAGTCATTGTTGTTTGATTGGTTGGTCGCCCCGACATGTAGCTTTGTTGTTGTTTCTTGTTCTCGTCTTTTTGTCTTCTTGTTCTTGTTGCTGATAAGTCCCCACACACTCAAGTTAAATCTCGCGTGTGTTGGTTGTTGTGGATGCCATTTGTTTAGTTAAAACATCATACTGCAAGACACTGCCTGCTGATCCTGTGGTTCCTGGCGATTGAGCTTGCATTGACGCTTGGATGGCAAATTGGGGTTTTCCACGTTCCATTCTCGCTTTTGATCTCCTTCTTCTTCTTCTTCCATGGTGTGTCCAAATTGCATTTGATGCTGTTGCTGTTGTTGCAAGAGCCGCTGCGAGGGTGGCCAATCCACAGCAGTGGTATGAGCCGCCTTGCCAATGGGAATTTGATCTACCGTCACCTTGATATCCATGCGGCGATCATCGAGTGTGAGCTTTTGCGTCAGGGCATCAATGGCACATCGCTTAGCATCGGCACCACAAAAGACGTGTCCGCTCTTGGCTTCGGATCCTCGACGCGAATTGCGATTTCCCGTTCCACCAATAATGCCTTCGGTAAAGACGACTTCGGCTTTGTCAAAGGACGTGGCGCCAAAGACAAACGGGACAATGGTGGCTTGCAACGATCGGACCCAAAAGAGTTTGCCACAAGTCTGAAAGGCATAACTGCTTTCGCCACAGTTGGCGTAAGGAGGCAACAAGAGGGTCTTGACCGTGGCAGGTTTCGCATTATTGGCAGCTGCGGTAGCAAAGATATTTTGATTGGCAAACTCATGGGCCGAATGGTAGGCCACTTCTTCGGCCTCGCGACGACTCGTAAACAAACGACGACAGTCGACACTCGGTTCCACATGAGGACCACTGTACCAACAGCGCTGAATCACAAACAGTTCCATCTGGGGATGTTGCATCTTCTTCTCCTATAACCAAACAAAAAACAATCCAACAACAAGAGCAACCCTCCGTCAAGCTTTCCCAAACAAAGAGGCCAATCGATTTCAATGAATGGCCAAAAGAAAAGACAGCTTGAGAGCTCCCGAGAGATCAGCGACCCCAAACTTAAAAACTTCATCCTTCGCTCCAACAACGAACGTGAACATGCCCCCCAGCGTCAAAGCTGACACGGCTTCAGGCTACATTTTTATCCATCATCCAGACCTCGTCATACAGTAAAGTGAGGGATACTGTCGAAAGATCCAAAAGATCCTAAATAGCCAACGGTTAGCTCAGACTGCGGGTTAATTTGTAATCCAAGGCGATTGGCACCAACGATGGACACTCGCTCTTCGATCCCATGCCGAATTCCGAGAGCTGCACAGCAACGGCATCGAGGGCAAGTCTTTGTTGAAAGAGCAGACCAAACGGTGAATATTTTTATCATAAAGAGAGAAAGTTGGACAGATCATCATTAACAAACAAAAACCATGAAGTCGCCCACTACAGCATTTGCCACCACCTCTGTTCCTGCAAGTCCTGCGAGTGCCAATTCGAAACTCCACGAATTCACACACTATCATGGAATGCTCTGCAGTCCCACCACGGCATCTCGATGCTGCGATGCCTTTCAAGGCGGAACCATCTTGTTCATGCCCTCCTCTTATACACGAGATACCTTTCAGAACTATGAATATTCCGGCAAGGGAGTCCTGACACCATTATCCTATTACCTCTTGGTGCTGCTGTCGCTCACTGGATTGAGTACCCTGCTGAAACAAACGGTATTTCGCATGGCGACCGAAATCCCACAGGATCAGCAAGAAGAAGCCAACGCTGCATCACTCACATCGCAGTACAATGAACACCTCCAAGTGGACGACTACATTCTAGAACATTGCAAACAACACACCAATGCGACATCGCTCCAATTGAAACGACGCTTTGAATATCAATTTCGATTGGTGGGGTTGGATGTGGTCATGCTTCATTTTCAATGCGATCAAAACAAACTCCATTTGGTAGAAGTCTTTCACTTGAACAATCCGTTCTGGAAGACCTGTCTGATGCCAGTCATGGATCTGGCCATCTGGATTCGAAGGAATGTGCTCATGCGAGGAACCAAGAAAGCCAAGAAAACAGCTTAGATAGATACTAGCTAGTAGATACATAACAACGCTTGCTACCAACCGTGCACCTAGAAATGTATCTGTTTCTTCTTTCAGCACTACTACCTCTAGCGAGGTACCTAGCCTTTACCAGCAGCAATAATAGCACCCCTGCTGGAGGGTTTTATATCTATCTATCTCACCGCGGCATTCCAATCTAATCATCAGCCAGAGCGGATCTCCGTATGGCTTGCAGCCACAGTTGCATTCCTCGATCCAGTATTTGTCGTCTCCACGTGGGTGTTTGCTTGTAAAAGGCTCGTTTGGTGGTGCTCTGAGCCCATTGCAAGGCTTCTTGACGCGACGCCACGTGATGAAAGGCTCGATTTTCCAAAATCAGAGAATGCGCCACCAGTAGACCCGGAACCGTTCCAAATTCTTGTGCCGCCGCACAGTAGTTTTGCTCTGGTGCAAACAGCCGTCGAAACAAGCAGGGAGTAAAGCCCATGGCGTCTTCGTACCCTTTGTTGACGTCTTGAGCCTGTTCGGAGAGGTGAGGCATGTGTGCTCCCGGAAACCAAATGGGAGCTTGCTGTTCTACCACTGACATGGATTCCTTGTCGACAACCAGGGAATCCGACCCCGAGGGGCCCAAGCCTGTGTGGACATCGATCCAAGTGACGGTACCCGTGCAGCATTTTGCATTTGTTTTTGTTGCTTCTTCTCCATCAGTATCATCATCTGCTTCAGTTGTGGATTGTTGCTCTTTTTCTGCCAAGAGTGTCTCTTGAAAAAAGTCGTACAGAACACGCAACGATGGCTGCAATTCGTTGCCACCATAAAAGATACCCTTGGGATCGTAGTATTGTCCCGTGACCAAGGCAGCTTTCAAGGTAAAAAATCCGTGGATTGCAAGCTGTTGAATGGCGTGTGCTAAGAGGGTAACGGTGGCATAAAGCCAATTGGGTGGTCCCTTGGGATTGAAGAGTGTATGGAATTGCGCATAGGGTGTGTCTTGATGGGAAGTGGTTGAAATGCTGTGCAATAGTTGTTTCCATTCTTCCGGATGGAGTCCATTGCGATTTAAATCGACATTGTTTTCATTGAATCTGCGATAATGTGCCATACCAAATGGATTGACGGCGTGAATTAGCACCATCGTGGGCAATTCTTGTTGCTTGAGCAGAGGATAAATGGACTCCAAAAAAGCAATCTGAATGGGAGCTCCGGCGTATCCTTCCACGCCATGAACTCCCGCCGTATGAACGGCCAATCCAGGTTTGGTGCCGTACAAAACGGCAATATCAATGGTGTATTCCGTGTCATCGTCATCTGTTCCTGCTAAGAATCCATCCACCTGCAGCGACGGAGGGATGGCAATGGGTAACCGATGCCATTCGGCTCCCACCTTGGAGGCAGCTTGTCGGAATTTTCGTCGTGATTCCACGTAGGTTTCGGAAAAGACGTGACAAGGATCCAACAATGGCAGCTTATTGCTACCCGACGCCATCCAACCTTCCACGGCAGGATCCAGTGATACACTCAACCATTCATCGTTGGTACACGGTGCTGTTGTCAAGGGTGGCGGAGACTCTTGTTGCTGTGCCAGATACCCCAATACAACCGATAACGCCAGAACAACAAGGGGAACTAGCAACGAGAAGACTGCCATTGTTTTGTTGGGTGTTCTGACTTCTACTTTGACAGAGAGTTGTTGGGTATTGTGGCATCCAACCGAAGATTTTTCTTGTGAGGATGCGATGGATCTTTGGATGGGAACACGACTGAGTGACTGAGTGACTGAGTCGAGTGACAGTCACTAGCTCAGTCACTCAATCAACTCAGACCGTTCACTCATTTGACGTCATTGAGCTAGCCCCAACAGACTTCGTGTTTAGCAAGATTTGCCTTTACAGTTCAAACAGTGGCGACTCGGTAACTCTGTGACACGTCGTACAAACAAGCAACAAACCAAAGCAACCATGGGAAATCAAGTCGGCACCATGGAGATTCAGTTGGAGGGAGAGCGACCCGGTGGAAGAGTGAAGCACTTTCAAGCAGGGTCTGATATACGTGGCCGAATTGTTGCCGAGTTGACCTCACAAACCGCAATGCATTTCCAGGGCAATCTCATTTTACATTTCTTTGGAGAGGAACGTTCCATTATTCAGGACAGTACCAGCGGCGCAACTGCTGTTGGGTGGCGGAGGTTGTGCGAGACCAGAGTCTCCCTTTGGCCTGAGGGGATGGGACGTCAACGACGAGCAAATCGACAGCTTTACTTTGTGGTTCCCTTTCAGGTGGAAACATCACGGGCACTCCCCTCCTCGTTTCGGGAACACCAAAGTGGTTTAGGGTCGGAATACCAGTCCAGAAATGGTTGCTCTATTACTTACCACTTGAGGGTCCTTCAAGATGGAAAGATCCTGTCTCAGAGAACTGTACTGGGACGAGGCTGTCCCAAGCCTCAAGAAATCATCCCTGCAAGGATATCGCCACAGTTGCATCACGTTAGTGGGTTCTTAGGCCTGAAGAGCGGATCTCTTCGCATCGCCGCCCGAATTCCAGATGTCCATATAGGACGAGGCAAAGCCCTGCAACTATTTATTGCCTGTACCAATCGAAGTGGAGTCAATATTCAATCCGTTCAAATCAAACTCAAGGAAGTCGTCTCGTGGAGAGCCACCCTACATGTACCATCTGAAAACCGTGCCAAAGAAAAGAAAGTCAAAATCACTCGCCTCCATATGAACAATATCGATCTGCCAGGTATCCAGAAGCAGTCTCGTAACTCCATGCCGTCTCTCGACATTGTTGATGAGCTCTACCAGCTTTTGCAGCAAGAAGAAAATAGGGAAATTGTATTGGTCCCAAAAATATGTCGTGAAAGCTACAAGAGAGGCAAGGTACTCACTATATCACACTACTTGTCTATCACGTTTGTTTGTGCAGGGCAAAACGCCAAGATCAAAATCCCAGTGACAATAGCTGACGAAATGCAACCAGGACACTGGAATCCTCCTCACACTCCCCCCACAGCCATTGCGACTGTCGCTCCATCGAGAAACCGTCCTACTGCAGCGGTCAGTGCACCACCCACGGCGGTAGCCACTGCCATTCATGCTGGACAGCAAGGGACATCGTCACTCAACATTCTTCAAGCAACTGCAGTCTCATCTGATCCAAGGGCTTCTGCACCTCCTGCGCTTGCCACAGCCCTATCCGCTGAATCCATTGACTCTGAAGTACCATTGGCACAGGTTGTGTTGATGCCGAACGATACTGACTCCTTTCGAGCACCATTGGTAACAGCTCCCCTCACGGCTATGAGACTGGGAGGAGATGTAGTGGTGTTGGAAAACTATTCCAGTGATGCCGATAGTCAGGTCGGTGACTCTGACGCTGAAGAATCTTCCACGGATGTCTCATGGGAAGGGTTAAGGAGAGAACTCCATCGTTCCCTGGAAGACTACACATTACTGGTACAAAAAGCAAGCGACCCACAATGGATCCCTTTTCTTGCCTCTCTCACACCCCAACAATACGCCACTGTGATTCTGCTAACCGACATTGAACCCGATCAAATCAAAGTGGCTGAGCTGCTGGCTCGACACATCAAAACCCACAACCACAACACGGTGTTTACATGTGAGCATGTAATTGCAGGTTTTGAAAGCGTAGCGCGATGGGCTCGAACCAACACTTTGGAACGTACACTGCCATATTGTGACCCTCAAGATGTGGTGCGAAATGGGGACTCCATACGCAATCTGCTGACAGATTTCGAGCTGCGAGTTACAAGGGACATCCTTCGGGATCTTCATATCAGTGATGACGTTGTCAACGAGCAGAACAACGTAGAGTGTTAAGAGAAGAGTACAACAAGGAGTGCCAGCTAGCCACTACATGTATAGAAAGCGACCTCAAAATCATGAGCCTTTGGATGCCATTTCAAATTGTGCGCTGTCTGTACATGTCTGAGAGGAGGCAGAGTTAAATAATATCCTGGGCCTGGTGCAGTACTGGTCGGTACGATGAAGACGTCACTGCCAGTGGTAATTATTTTGCTGGAACGTTCACAACGAAGGTGCTCACCTTTGGATGGAGAATCCTGATTTGTTGGCAACATGGAGCTCGTCCAAAGGAACATGTTGAAGCCTTTATTCAAGAGTGGAGGATCCTTGGGTGGAACCCAACCGACAATTCGCCCGTGCAATAAGATACTGACCTGGTACTCTGAGTTTCCCTTCTACTACCGGTACCAGAACTTCTACCGGTACTTTGTCCCGCGAACACACACAGCAGTTCTGCAATGAAAGCAATCATCCTTCCATGCTGGATCCATTGTTTTGCAACGTGGAGCTGTTGGCCCATCTCTTTCCAGTTGTTTCTCACAATGCCATAATAAGCAATCATGACATCGTCGTGGCCATGGATGAGGGTGTAGAGGAGGCGGTAGCAGATCCCATTCCTCCCGTTGACAAGCATGACAAACGTCCAGCTGTGAAAGACTTGATAGCAGAGCACCGCGAAAAGATTGACGAGGTAAGCGAAGGCTTGAAAGACGACCCGCTTTATGATTCGACGAAACACGACGACTTGTGGGTTGTCCGGTTCCTCATGAGCCACAGAGGATCCGCCAAGAAGGCTCTCAAAGCGGCACAAGGTACCTTGTTGTTCCGAAAAGAGCATAACCTTGGCACAGAAGATATACGTCCATTCGATCTAGATCGCAAGAGGTGCAAATCTGACGCCTTGAAACGATATCTAGCACATGCCAAGGGCGATTTTGCAATGGGAGCTGTACCGGACAGCCGCTATGGAGTCATCATCTTTCTGTCATTTGCTTCTTTGGACCAGCACGGTCTTTTCGAGAATGTGGCCGAAGAAGACTGGTTGCCCACATTCACCTATGTGAACGAGTGGTCGTTTCAATGGTGTGACTACGTTACGCGGTAAGAAAATTCAATCAAGTCATCAGACAGAATGGAATGGGACATGATCTCTCACTTTCAACTTTCGCAAAGCACTACCGGCCGCCTGACCAAACTCATCCGGGTGGTTGACGTAATTGGAATGACCATGTCCAAAGTCAATAACGAGGTCAGCAAACGTGACTCTGGGTCTATGAATGCTATGGAGGGTGAGTGCGACAGGATGATGAAACTTGGTTAAAGATATCTGTGGTTGTCGTTACTGCATGGATGGGCAATTCATCCTCATCATATCCTTCTGCTTGCTTGCAATTTCACTGGTACATCCTGCGCAGATTTCTATCCACAGCTGTTGCAAGCCGTTTTCATGTGCAATGTACCCATTTGGTTGCAGGTTCCTTGGCGGGTTCTCCGTCCCCTTTTCCCCGCAAGAATCCTTGACAAATTTGACTTTATCAATCCTGAAGCCAATGAAAAGGAGCGAAAGCGCTTGACTCAGTACATCTCGGAGGAAAACCTACCCAAGCGCTTTGGTGGAGGCTACGACATTTGGCCAGTGGAGTACCACTGCCAATCAGTAACATCATCACCGACGAAGTGGCCTGTTGATTGTCATTCTAGACCTACGCGGCACAACCAAACTAAGCAATAAAACTCTTTTATGTTTGTGAACAATGGTTGGCCGTTCACCGCCCAGGGAACAGCTGAAGCATGAAAGGGTACCGGTCGCTTCTTGCGGTAAGAGCCCAAAGCTTTCATGTACCGGCCCTTGCGACTCTGCAAAGACCTACCGGTACTCTGCCGTACTGGTACGGTGCTTGTGACCCAAGGCATCAACATGTACATTCAAGATCCACCACAGCTATCTTGCTAATATGGTACCCGGTACCAGACCGGTACAAGTCTGGTGTCGGTACCAGGTGGCCAAGTACGCTGAGAGACAGGTTCCAGGAAAGGGTGGCACCAAGACTGAGGAAGTGGTACCTGGTACCGGTACAGTCGTACCGATGAATGCAGTCACTAACATGACGTCAGAAGAATCTTTCTGGCGACACACGATTCAGCAGTGGTAGAAGCGACACGTCGACCAAGGCAACACTTCCCACCTCCACCATGACGATGGTCTTCTGAACGGATTTTCGAGAAGCAAACAGAAACAAAAGGACAGGAGGCCAAAATTTGCGGCAGCCATGGTATCGGCTACAAGTGTGTTGAATGGTGTGATTGGAGACTACTTGGATGCTACCCAAAATGAATTGGCTACCCCCATGATGTTGCTGCGCCATCCGGATCAGCCAGTAAACTGTTCCGAGTTGCTAGGCGAGCTCCAACAAAAGCGGCAGTCCCAACAACAATCGACTCCTCTTCCCATTTCTGTTCTCGTTCATGGACTGGTTTGCGATGAACACTCGTGGGCCTTGGACAAGGGCAGCTACACCAACAAGAATGAAAGTGGTAGCAACTTTTCCATGGCGACAACGGGTGTCCAGGTGGACTATGGCTCCTTACTAGAACGTGATTGTCCAGATATGACAGCTCTTTATCTCCGATACAACACTGGATTGCACATCTCCACCAATGGAAAACGACTCAGTGAGATACTCGAAGCGTTGGTTCTGCAGATTTCGCCCAGTGTTCCTGTGCAAATCACACTGATCTGTCATAGGTAGGTACGGATCGACATTGCGATGTGAATGCGGTATCGTAGTATCCAAGGAATGGTCCCAATCGATTACTTACACTGCTTGTACACCTTGTTTTTAATTTCAATGGCTCCTTCCTGAACGCACCTCTGATGCCCCGCCCCTCTGCCGGTATCGGATTGGTGAGTGCACAAAAGGACCAAAGATGCATCGCCCTTCAATGTTGACTTCGTCTGTACTCATCACACTTAACTCACCATCAATGACAGCAAAACTACGAACTAACTATTACAGCATGGGCGGACTTTTGGCACGGAGTGCTACTCAATATGCGTTGCGCCACGATGCCAGCTGGATTCGTGCCACCACTCGCATCATCTTTTTGGGAACTCCCCATCAAGGCAGTTACTGGGAATGTGCCGGGCAACTCGTCACATGTGCATTGGACTATGTTCCCCTCACGGCCACCAGAACCGTGTCCAAATTGGCCAAGCTGCGCAGTCAAGGCATTCAAGACTTGCGGTATGGATACACTCTGGAGGAGGATTGGAAAGAAGAGGAGCAAGGCAGCAGTAGTACTTGGTCTTCATGGTCGCAAAACTCCAAACAACCAGGTCAAGAACAACTCTTGGACTGGGTCTCCTATCATGCAGTGACTGGCACTGTCATGTCCGATCCAGAACATCCTCTTAATCACTTGCTTGGGGATGGACTGGTCTCCAAGGCCAGCGCCGAAGGACGGTCGGCACAGCCCGGCTACACTCTGTCCTTTTCATCCAAGCGGGAATTCCCAGGCATCCACCACAATGCTCTGCAAAAGAGCTGGGAGGTTTATGAACAACTGCGAGAGTGGATTGTAACGCCCTCCACAACGGAAGAAGAAGAAGATCCGCAAGATCGAGGCTCCCCACCCAAGCTGGATTGGACCAAGGTACCCTGCAATAGCACTACAGTGCAAGTTGTCTACAATGATCAAGATGAGATCGAATGCACTGATAATGGCTTCGTCATTCTGAATGGAAAAGTTGATAAGAAGAACAAGGACGAAGTGGATCGGATTGGAACGTTTGCTCGATGCAGGGGCGTGACCGCGTTGGTTCAAGATGCCGTGGACGCAGGGGTATCGACAGTGGAACATGTTCAGACTAATGTGACCAACGAGGTCTATCAAGCAGTGACCTACGTGACACCGTCCTTTGCGACACCCGTTGTTCGAGGCGTCAATAAAGTACACAATGGCATTGTGTCGTCCATATATTCCACCGTGAAATATGTCAATTATGGCACTGGTGAAACAGTCAAGTGCGCCTTTCAAACTCTGGATTCCGTAGAATCCTTGACCTGGAGAATGTCTCGATATCTTGGATATATCCGCGGCAGTAGAGGTGGAAAGCAAGGAAATGAGGTTGTGGTGTATTGATGCGTGCATGCTAGCATGGTGTCTCACTTTCTTTCATACCGTACTGAGCGCTTCTCTTTCTCTTTGGGTACCGCAAAAGATTTAGCATTTTTATCATGGAAAGATCGTACTCCGTATCTTTTTCGCACGTACGGGTACTGGTAGAGGCAACGCCACAGTACTACCCAGTAGATCTACTACTAGCTAGTACCTGTCGTCGTTGTTATTGACAGCACCGTCTCTGTTGCTCATTTACTTGGAAGCTACCAGGTCCTGGTTTACTAGTGCGACTTTTGAAACAACCCAAGCAACATGCGGATTCTTCAATGGTTACTCGTTTCCGCTGTCCTTCCTTGGCATATCGCCAGGGCAGTAGAGGGAGGTCTCGAAGCTCCTGATCGAGCAACCAAGTTATCACGCGGAAGTGATGGCCAAAAAGATCTGCCGTCGCACTCGTTTTGGACGAGTGACGATGAACCTGTGCCACCGATTACAAATGTTCTTGACTCCTCCTCTGGCAATGCCACTCGCAATTTTGTTAGTGCCACCCTTCATTCCCATATGGTGCTGCAAAGAGACAGGAAAGTCATCTTGTGGGGATACTCCAAGAAGGGTGCCATTGTTACCACCAGCCTATTTGACGACGATGACAGCGAAGAAACAGTAGCTAAGGCACGACTAATCCTATCTACAACTGCTGATGGAGATGATGGACTCTGGCGCCAAACCTTGCCACCTCATGCGGCTTCTCTGAAGGCTTCCAGAATTCAGATCAAGAGCACCACTGGGCAAACGCAGACACTTGAAAATGTTCTTTTTGGAGATGTCTACCTGTGTGGTGGACAAAGCAATATGCAATTCGCTCTACCGGGGAACACCAATGGTACTGAGGAGGCAAACAAAGGGAATGCGTACTCCCATATCCGCATTACTACCATTGGAGACAGGACTTCTTCCTCCACTCCGCTTCCTGATTTGCAAACAGTAGACCATCAATGGAGCAAGGCTGATAACCACACATTGTACGGAGGTGGAATATTCGGCCATTTCTCCAGTGTATGTTGGTTTTTCGCCAAAGAAGTGGCAGATGCTCTTGGCAACAAGGTACCTATTGGACTCATCAGCAACAATTGGGGTGGTACTAAAATCGAACAGTGGCTTCCCAAGGGCAACCTTTACAATGCAATGATTAATCCCTACATGGTGGGACCTATGGCGGTTACTGGATTTACCTGGTACCAAGGTGAATCAAATGCTGGTTCTACAGAGTCTTCTAAGGCATACAGCCATCAATTTCCAGAAATGATTCAAGCCTGGCGTGATGGCTTCAAGCAACCAGATGCCTACTTTGGCTTTGTACAGCTGTCTACTTGGTGTCCACCAACGCCAGAAGCTGTTCCACTGCTGAGACAATCACAGATGGCAGCTCTGAAGCTAAACAATGTTGGATACAGCACCAATGCTGATATGGGAGCTGGATGCAATATCCACCCCCCTCCAAAACAGTTTTGTGGTTACCGTCTGGGCAAGTCAGCATTGGCAATCCAGTATGGCCATCCTATTCACTGGAAGTCACCTTCTTACTCCAAAGCAAAATCTACTGTAGACAGAAAACACAAAAAGAAACCAAAAGGAAAACCTTCTGTGGTTGTACAGTTCCAAGATATCTCCAGTTCAGGATTGTATCTACTGAAGACTCCCTACAATGCCCAAGTGAAGGATTTTAGCTGCAAAGGGAAGCCTGCGGGAACTTGTGCTGGAGCAGCTGTCCTCTTGAACGGCAAAGGATGGGTGGATGCCAGCATCTCCATTAAGAGCAACACTACAGTCACGTTAACTGCTTCCACTGGAGACTCTAGGAAGGATTCTATTGTTGCCACCTCTTATGGATGGGGCTCTGTTCCCATGATGACAATTTACGACAAGGCTACTGATCTGCCAGTTTTGCCCTGGAATGAAAAGATCTAAAGAGTACAATGTGAAGACAAGACGTCCCTTTGAAGAGCAAACGCTTTCGATGGTGGAGATGAAATGAATCAGAATCGGAAGAGGCAATCAACTTTGGTCCTGGGATGGGAAGGAAATTCTTGCCTGGCTGGCTAGGCTAGCTAGCGGGCATGCTTTTTGCAAGAGGAAGTAGCTAGAGCCGTACATGTAGGAGTTGTAAGCATTAGATCTAAGTTGCCAACCGTTGGTTTCTGGTTCAAGCTCTCGAGAGTGTCAGTCGTCCTTGGCCATGAGAGGAAACGGGCAACCGGCGCAATTGCCACAACGAAAATGGAATGGAGGAAGTCCGCTGCTGTGGTACTGCCTGCTTCCAAAACCTTGCAGAGCACCTTGGCTGCTAGCTACTACGGTGTTTGCCTTCCGCTGTCCATCGAAACCACAGTTGCTTGGTGAATGAATGCAATCCCTTCATCGAATCGAGAGATGAATGATTCAATCGAATCGAATGATGAATCAAATATCGAATAGATTTTGCATCGCAGCAAAATCTTTTGCAGGCGAAGAAGATGAACCCTTCCCCATCTCTCAAGTCATCGCCATCACTATGTTTCCCTCCCTTCCTACATGTATGATTGAGTATTAGGCAGCATGTATATCGTTCAGATATTGTTTTCCATTCTTCTACCGTGGCACATCGCCTTGGCAGCAAAAGGAGGTCTCACGACTCCTACCGAGTGGTTGCACGAGATCGATGCAGATGTGCCATCGTTTCATCGCACTGATGAAGAACCTGTACCGCCCATAACTAGTGATCTTGATTCCTCTGACAATGTCACCCGGAATTTTGTTAGTGCCACACTTGGATCCAATATGGTATTGCAGAGAGACCAAGAAGTCACCATCTGGGGATACTCTCAAAAGGGAGCCCTTATCACGACCAGCCTATTTGATCATGAAGAAGACGAAGCGAAAGAAGCTCGTTTCATCCTGTCCACCACTGCAAATGGAGATGATGGACTCTGGCGTCAGACCTTGCCACCCCAGAGTGCTTCTCTAAAGCCCATGAATATCGACATTAAGAGCTCCTCTGGTCAAAGACAAACACTCGAGAATGTTCTTTTTGGAGATGTGTACTTGTGGGGGGGACAAAGTAATATGGTATTCTCCCTCCCAGGGACAACGAATGGAACTGAGGAGGCCAACAAGGGAAACAACTACCCTCACATTCGCATCTTTACTGTTGGGCAAAAGACAACATCCTCCACTCCTCTTCCTGATTTGCAAAGTATTGCGCAGAAATGGAGTGTTGCCAAAAACCACAGCTTATATTACCACCTGCCCGGTGTACCTGGAGGTCGTGTTGCTCGCTTTAGTTTCTTCAGTTCGGTTTGTTGGTTCTTTGGCAAAGAAGTGGCGGATGGACTAGAAAACAAGGTGCCTATCGGACTTATCAGCGACAACTGGGGTGGCACAGCTGTCCAAAGGTGGAAACCCAATGGCGACCTGTACAATGCTATGATTTACCCCTACATGGTTGGTCCCATGGCAGTGACTGGATTTACCTGGTACCAGGGTGAAGCCAATGCCCATAATATGAAGCAGGCAAAGCTATATCGCCAACTGTTCCCCGAAATGATCGAAGCTTGGCGCAGTGGGTTCAAAGTACCTGATGCCTATTTTGGATTTGTACAGCTGTCTACTTGGTGTTCCAAGGTTCCAGAGGCTGTTGCAGAAATAAGACGATCCCAGATGGCAGCTTTGCAACTAAAAAATGTGGGATACAGCACAAATGCTGATATGGGGGCTGGGTGTGATATTCATCCACCTAAGAAACAGTTCTGTGGTTACCGACTTGGCAATTCTGCTTTGGCAATCCAGTATGGCAAGCCAATTCACTGGAAATCTCCCTCATATTCCAAAGCAACAGCTCTGGTGAATGAGGAACGGCAGAAGAAAACGTCAGCCAATCCTTCTGTAGTTGTTCAATTCCAAGATGTTTCCAGTGAAGGATTGTATCTATTGAAGACACCCTACAACACCCAGGTTGAAAATTTTGCCTGCGCAGCAAATCCTGCCGGAACCTGTGCTGGGGCAACTGTACTTTTGAATGGCAAAGGCTGGGTGAATGCCACTATCACCATTCGAAGTTCCAACAGCGTTTCGCTGACAGCTGTCACAGGAGACTCCAGCCAGGATTTGATTGTTGCCACATCCTATGGTTGGGGCTCTGTTCCCTTGATGACAGTGTACGATAAGGGGACTGATCTGCCAGTTTTGCCTTGGAATGAAAGAATGTAAAGAGCCCTTTGAATTTTTTTTGGGTTTTACCAAAAGAGCAAGCAACTGAAGTTTATAGCATGCTGAAAATCTGATGCATTTTAAAATTATTTCATACAGACTTTGAATATATTCTGCTCTGCGCATTAATAAAATTAGGCATCCTTACCCTTGTATCGCTTGCATTCGTCCACCAGCCATCCAACAGCTTCTTCAGGTGTACCCTGCATGACTCCGTGACCCAAGTTGAGTAAATGCTTTCCTGGACCCCCAGCTCGATCAATACAGTCACGGACAGCTTGTTCGATCTGTTCTTTGGATCCAAACAAAATAGTAGGATCAATATTACCAGAAACGGCAATATCAGGTCCCAGAATCTCTCGTGCTTGTGTCATGTCCACGGCCCAATCGACGGCGATCATGTCAGCACCCATGTCACGTTGCTTTTCCAAGTAGGATGATCCTCCATTGGCAAAGTAAATGACGGGGACATCAGGGTGTTTTTCTTTGATGATTTTGATGGCTTTTTGGGCAGCTGGTTTGGCAAACTGTTCAAAAAGGTCAGGGTTGAGTTGGTGGGCCCAACTCTCAAAGACTTGAATAACTTGGGCACCACATTCGATTTGATGGCAGGCATACATTCCAATCATGTTGGCGATCTTGTCCAAAAATTTGGTGGCAGCTTTGTTGTCTCCTCGGTCATCCTCCATCAACATTTTCTTTGTCTCCAAGCAGTTCTTGCTGGACTTGCCTTCAATGGTGTAGGAAGCCAAAGTAAAGGGAGCCCCGACAAAACCAATCAAGGAAGTATTCATTTCTTCAGCTTCCTTGGAAAGATCCCCAAGAATATCACGAATAAATGGTAGTTTTTCATCGAAACTATCCTGTGTGGCAGTGGCCAAGGCATCAACATCCTCTTCGGTTCTAATCTCTGTGGAAATCACAGGGCCAGTGCCTCGAACAACATCAAAGTCAATGCCCAAAGTAGGAAGGGGTGTCAGAATATCGGAAAACATAATGATTCCATCCATTCCATATTTGCGATGGCACTGCAGCGACAACTCTGTGGCCATGGCTGGAGTCTCCGATCGTTGTCGGAATTCATACTTGGTGGAGTATTCCCGAAAGGCTGCCATGTACCTCCCAGCTTGACGCATCATCCAGACCGGTGTTCGTTCCACCGTTTCTCCACGAGCTGCACGGACCAAGATATCACGGTCACCTGGTTCTTGGCAGTGGCTGTGTTCCGTCACTTTCTCATCCACCACTTCGGGCGCAACCGTGGCGCCCATGCGAGTAGCAGAGGGAGAATTTTGAGATACGGAAAAGGCATGGCTGCCGTTCAGCAGGAGCTGTACAAATACGACGGAAAGTGCCGAAAATCTCATCTTTTTCTTGGGGATAACAAAAGACTTGGTTGTTGGATGGAGGAGTGGGGACTACGGAAAGAGCTGTTTCCTTTCGTTGTGTGGTTCCTTGTGGAGGTTTACTTGGCTGTTGTTGTGGAAGATTTGTGATGTGCTGACGAAGTTGAAGTTCAACAAGGGATATCGCTTAGCCCTACTGTACCACGTCTCATTCTTCTTGAAACCCGTCCCGACCGCGACTGCCACCAACACCGAACCCCCGCCGACAACCAAAGATAGCCAGCTAGACACAACGTCGAATCGAATCTATTCAATCTACTACCAGGAAGCGATCATCATGGCGACAACAACGCAATCCTTGACTGACAATCACTTGGTCTACTTCTTGGCTGGAGCTCTGGTTCCGTCCCTGGCGTGGTTCTTCTTGCGGCCGAAAAATGACGAATTCGACCCGGTTGCAATGGAGGATGACGATGACGATGAAGATACAGCCGATGCCACCAAAGGCGGACCGTCCAGCGAATGGGGATACACTGATGCTCCCTACAAAGTGAGTGGATCCCAAACAATGATTGAGTACCGGTATCGGAGGTGTTTTCAGGAACTGTAGTTGCATTTTGTTGGGTATTTTGCTTTTGGGGGTATCCACGTATCCAAATTCACGTTCTCACTCTTGGTTTCTTCGTTCTCCTTTTTGGATTTATCTCTGTGATATCTAAAATTCGATCAATCCACCCGTGTCGTCACAAAAGATGGTACTTTGCGTCAATCAGGAACTCGGCATGGGAAAGGGAAAGATTGCGGCACAATGCTGCCACGCAGCAGTGGGATGCTTCAAACGAGCCAAAAAGCAATGTCCCAAAGGAGTGCAAGCATGGGAGCGGACTGGATGTGCCAAGATTGCCTTGAAATGCCCCACACAAGATGAAATGGAACAAATTGCCATCAAAGCCATTGAACGAGATATTCCATGTTATATTGTCGAAGATGCCGGCCGAACGCAAATTGCGGCTGGATCTAGAACAGTTCTAGGGTTGGGGCCCGCACCAACTTTCGTATTTGAAGATGTCAGCAACCATCTCAAGCTAATGTAACCGCAGTCAACCAGCAATGACCATACTGTAGCAAGAGACCAAAGAATAAACGATACTCCCATCTCGTAACTATATTTGTCCGAGCTAGCTAGTGGGAGAGAACCCAGCCCATTCGAGGTGAAAGCGAGACAGCCAGGACTTCGGGAGGCATAAATCGGTCACTCTACCACTGTTACAACCGCAATCTCTCTTCAACTGAGAAGTCGTTTATCAATTTTTAAATGTTCCTATGTATGTGGTGATGATTGTTGCAAGCTGCTGTGTGTGTGTCCGTGCGCCACCGAATCGTCCCTCTCTATTCGATAGCTTCATCCTGGAATTCGTCGTCGCCATCGTGTTCTCCACCTCCCACTGGTTCGTCCCGATATTGACCAAATTCACCGTCATCCGGATCATCCTCTACAGGAAGTTCCAGTTCGGAAGCATACCGTGCTGGGATTCCACCCGAGGACGAACTTCTACGAGATCGCAGCGCCATTACTGCCACAACAGCAATGATCGCGGCCACAAAGATACCTCCCTTGCAACCCACACCACTGCAGAATCCACCCGCTTCCGCGCCGCCGTCTTCCATGGTGGACGAAGATGCCGATACTTCGGCAAGTTTCTTGTCTTCTTCTTCATCTTCGTCCTTCTTGTTGGGATCTTCATGTGTCACTTCGTTGGGTTTGGCTTCGTTACTGGAAGCTGCTTCCGTATCGGCGGGTGGTGGTGGGGAATCTCCCTTTTTGTATTCTTCACGAGGATCCCAATCGAATCCCAATCCGCTGACGAGATTGGCATAATCACATTGCGATTCGGCAATGCCCAATCTTCCATTGACTTGATCAAAGACAATGTTGTGTCCCATCATGACATTGGCACCCAAGACGGATCCACGTCCTTCATCCGTGTAGAATCGAGGAACGTACTTTTTCAAATCATTGTCGAATTCCATATAATGCGAGGGTGGCATGGCCAAGAGGATATCGTAGGGGTGTTCCGGATCGAGTTGTCCCACGAGTCCCGTAATGGGATCACTGCTGTCCTTTGCCAATTTTCCATTCAAATCGGGGAGTCCCTGCAACTGGAACAAAATGGTGGGCAGTGCATTGAGTTGATCTTCACTGAGATTCACGGGATTGTTGTTGTATGCCTTTCCAGTCATTTCTCTCCATAACGTGTGGAATGCCGTGGCAATATTGCGTGTAAAGTAGGTATCGGTGGTACCGGAATCGACAATGGTCGTCCCCCGGTTGAGATCGGCTTCGGAAATGTCAATGCGTTTGACTTGAACATTGGGATCGGACGACAGTGCCGAATCGCCACCTCCACCGGCTCTCAAGTAAACGTTGCGAATGTGAACTCCATAAAACGCATTGGATACTCCCACACTGGCAAAGACCAAGGGCGACGTGTGCAATCGCGTATCGACACCCCCCAAGGTCATGGCTCCCGCTTCATTTCCCTTTCGATCGGCAGTGGGTTGTCTGGCAAAGCAGAGTGTAAAGATATCTTCGTCAATTTTTCCGGCGGCGCTCATTTGATGCCAAAAGGATTCGTGGGCATTGTCCATACCCATAATTCCGTCGGCGAGCTAGTACATAAAATAAAATAAAAGAGAAAGAGGTGAGTGAACCATTTTGCTGTCTGTCTGTCTGATCAACACATCTTAAAATTGCATCAAATAGCCCGTACCTGCGTTTTGAACAATCCAGTCAATTTAGTTTGACATCCAAAGACGAGGGGAAAGGCATGATTGGCCGCCAGTTTGGGATCAATATCAGCAGTACTCTCTCCATCCTTATCGACATCTTTTGCAGGATCCTTTCCAGCAGGTTTATCCACAACACTGGGCGTCACATCGAGTGGTGTCCCATGCGGTCCTCCAATATAACAGTAGTCTCTTGCTTCAAAGGCAGTCCAACTGGATCCTTCTTGATAGGACATGCCAATTTTGCAATTGTTATTTTTGGCATCGCCACTCACGACGGTGCATCGTCCTCGCATACACGAACTGCAATCGAGTGTTTCAAAACTGGCCGATCGCGATTCTTCAAAGACTTGATCAATGTGATAATCCTTGCCACAATGATCGCGGCAGCCACTGCAGGGAAATGCTGTGACGGCCGAACCCGTATCGACAATGACCGTCTGACGTTGGGGTGTCGTAGTGCCACACCAGAGATCCACATAGTGCGTGCCGTAGCCCTGATACAATGCTCCCACTTGTTGTGCCCGGAGATTGCGATCGTTCATGCTCACACGAGATCGGTGGCGGACTTGAATTTTATCAGTAGCATTATTCAAAACAGCAGGAATAAGAGTATTATCTGTGTCCAAGTCTTCTCCCGCTTCCAACAGTCGGCGTTGTCGTCTTTCTCTTTGGACATGATGGGGAACCAAGGGGAGCGAATGAAAGGCTACCGTGACAGCCACAAGGGTGGTACTAACCACCAGTTGGAACTTGCGCATGGTTGTGTATCTTGAGTTTTGGAGGGGTAATCTCTGGATTATTTTGTTTTGTGGTTTGTGGATTGCGTGCCTCTTGTTACCCAGTTTTGGAAGAAACAACTCTTGGTCGTTGTTGGCCGCGCAAGCGGTGCTTTGTGTTATATACCAGTCAGTGTGCTATCAAGATGATAGTCGGATGATGCCAGGTTCTTTTTGTTGTGCTTTTAGCAAGATTGCTTGTCCGCGTCTTTGTTGTGGCTGTGCGGCTGTGCAACAAGAAGTGCGATTGATCGTGACCGTTGGGGGTCATTGGCACCAACCTGTTTCTATAAGCTAGCTAAACAGTTAAAAATTACGGAATGGAGCCGACAATCCAGAATCCTCAGTCCAACACAGTTCCCAAACAAAGGCTTTGAACACATCATCTTACCCCTACCCAGCTATCCATTCAGTGGGAAGTACAGAAGCAATGGCGGGCCAAGGGAGGCATAACTTCTTCGATGCAGGATCTCTTGCGGCATATTTGCTCTTTTCGCCGGCAAAGTCATCAAAGATTGCTTGTACGGTACCGTACCACACCGGTATCGGTGCGTGAATCCTTGACTGCTATTTTCATGAAACTGTTCACGTACAATGATAGTCAGTACCAGGTAGCTAGCTAGAGCCCAATGTATCGTATCTCCAGCAATGCTAGCTCGTTAGACTTCGTACAATTGTTCACATTCGAAGAACAAATGCGTGACATCGACGACGGCAACAAGTTGATCAAGGAGAAGGATGGTGATAGGCTTGGTAGCTAGCTAGAAATGGGGACAATCTCATGCATGACACCCTTCCAGTATGTGCAAGTTGTGCCACTTTTTCAGGAATCTCAAGGAAGGCCACCACAATCCTGGAGCACTGTGCTTGAAGAAGACCTGAACGAAAGAAACAGAGCAAGCCACCGTCTTGCGATTGTGTTTACAGTACCCCCGAGATGTCGAATGGAGAGGACTTTTTGGATGGAGAATCCCGAACCTTTCACTACCTAACATCACTCTCTCCTGATTGGCACGCTTACTACGTACTGGACAATGACGGAATGGAATACCCTTGTGCTGCTGCCTCGTCTAGACTCATAGTGCAGATGGATCGTCTTTGATTTCTTCTGGCACTCGATCAATCTTGCGAAAAAAGGCCGTCAAGAATCCTGCCGCCATGAAAAAGACGTTGGGTCCACCCACAATCCATGCCAGAAATCCGGCCGACAAGTACAGACATCGCAACCCGGCCCATTGTGAGTTTTGCGATTTGCGCATGATCCGATCGACTCGGGTGGTGTTGGCGGACACGGGAAACATGAATCCGGCATGAGTCATTAATCGGGCGGATTGTAGAAATTGATACCCCGACGCCAACATGCTGGCGGCTACCAGAGTGAATTGAGCGACACTGATTCGTCTGCTAACGGTATGTGTCGGTATGCTCCGGATCATGTCCCAGAGACGACCCGAAATGACAGTGAGGAGGGACAAGACGGTGGTGGCGAGAAATGTTTGGGCGGTAATGGCATTGCGCAAGGTTTGAATGGCGTACAGCCACTGTTGGTTGGAGCGCACGTATTTGGCCCATTGTTCGCGGGTGTCGGCTTGGGCGCTTCGCCACGTGCGTTTCCCAGCTTGTTCTTTCCGATACAACAAGATGTGGTAGGACGTTAACAGCGAGAATCCACCAAGGACTCCCAGTGTATCGGTTGTAATGGGGAGAGGCAGAGCTGATAGCGAGACAGCCCGCGATGTTGTGGGGCCAGAGCTGACAATAATGGAGGTGGAAACTGGAGTGAAGCCTTGCGAAACTGAAAGGTTTGCCAATAAGAAGACAATGATGTCAACCATAAGAGATGAAGTAAAAGCTCTCATTGTTACTCTGTTGGCCTGCTTTTGGGGTTGGACTGGGGTGGGGGTCTCTTCGATTTGGTTTGAGTGAGAAAACATTTCTCAACTAACTTTGCTTTGGCACCCACTTGACGTCAGAAAAATCTTTGAAGTTCCACGTTCCTTCATCTGTGACACCCACTTCGTTTTGCTCACAATTTCCGAATTGTTATCATCTCCTCCTCCCCCTCTTTCTCTAAAGATATTGAGGAAGGAAAGATAAAGCATGATGAGCAATAGCATGAATAGCTCTAGCCAGCTTGACGTAGCCATGGATAGCTCTATTAGCTTGACGTTGCCACGCAAGCTAAGGATATTATCCCTACACTGTACCGTACTATAAAGCAAGCTGCTACTGGATAGAGGAACATGCAAAACTGGATAGTGAAGGCAAGGCAGCTTGTTGACCTGCCACATGGCTCCTGTTCTTTGATCTCGCACAATAATTGCTGACTGAGTTTTTTAAAGTCGTGGCGGCATCAAACACTTGGGTGGCTACCTACTACTGCATGATAGGGAATTGGCCTGAAACCAGAATCGAATCAGGAATGCCACCTGCTCCTGGACCAGTCAGGTTTGTTAGATTGGTGAATACCCAGCAAGGGGGGCTGCAGATAAGGTCTCTCATTGGATTCCTCTCTGATTGTCACAGACATCTAGCTAAGGGGTGGACTCTGAGGCTACAGATCTGGATTGCGGCCCTCTTATTAGTTAGGTCCCTCCCTTTCTGGCTATCATTGGTACCCAGTCTTATGGTGGAGTAGGTGGTCCTGGTATATTCCCCCACTTTTGAAATGAGCAGTTTAATCTTGATACCTAGCTAGCTACACAGTGTAGTATTTGCTAGAGGATGGATCTGGCTACAAGGCTTGGATTTTGGCACATGCATTAGACCTCTGGTCTCAAAGGATGGAACGCACTCTTTTACAAAACTAACAGGCTTTAATGTATCTCTACCTCTACTGCAGAATCTTTTGAAGAGTGCAGTCATTCACGCACGAGGTCATCCAGAATGCATGTGCTATGCTAAACAGGGTCATTACACGTACCCGGCAGTAGCAGGCCCATGGGTATATCTTCCGCTTGGTTGCTTGGTTCGTTGGAAAAGGTTTCTCACAAAAGTGCCGACCATTATTTTTGGAACAGGACTACTTTTGCTCGATAGAGATAATATATGCATATCCGGACCAACAGAAAAGAAGACAGCATGGACGCCTCGGACGCTGAAGCCCGGGCCTTGGTGGTCGAAGATACCCTTTCGGAAATGCGAGCCTTGCGAGAGGATATTCAGTTGCAACGTCGTGCCGTTCCTCCCACCTGCTGTTCCCGGATTCGATGGTGTCTGCTGGGTGCCCTCTCCTCGTTGGGCATGCTGGCATTGCTCATGGTGGCCATTGGGAGAGGAGATGAAGTGGTCGACGTGGGACAAGATATCTACAGCACGGGACGAGATTTTGTCAACATTACCATTCACGATGGTGGCGAAATTCTCAACAAGACTATTTATGATTTGCGTCACAAGGGCAACAATGCCACCGATGCACCACCAGCGCCGGCATCCGCGCCAATAGATAAAAAGGGAAAGCAACCGCATGGCAAGGGTGATAAGAAAAAACATCCCACCAGCAAACCCACGGCGAAACCCACCGGCAAACCTAAACAAACAAATCAACAAATTGAGGAAGAAAAGGAAAAAGAAGAAGCACAGGAAGAACTGGAAGAAGAAGCACAGGAAGAAGAAGAAGAAGAAGAAGAAGGGGAAGATGAAGATGAGGATGAGGACGAGGATGAGGACGAGGATGAAGATGAAGATGAAGATGAAGACGAGGATGAGGAGGAAGAAGGCGAAGGACCTGGGCAATGGTTCGAGCCTGGTCAAGAGGAGAAAAACTCCAAACCAAAAACAAACAAAAATGTTAAAGACAACGCCGTAGATAAACCCAAGGAGAAGGAGACTCCCGAAGTTACCCCTCCTGGAGAACAAGTTGAGGAAACTCCTGCTGAAGATGCAGAAGAAGAAACAACCGTGGAGGAGCCAACAGAGGAAGAAGAAAAGGGAGGCGAAGAGGAAGGGGAGGAAGAATCTCCGGCTGAAGAAGAAGAGGGCGAAGAAGAAGAAGAGGGCGAAGAAGAAGAAGAAGAGGGCGAAGAAGAAGAAGAGACTCCGGAAGGAGATGAAACTCCCGAAGAAGAAGAGAATACTGAAGGCGATGAAACTCCTGAAGAAGAGGAAACCTCAGTTGACGCAGGAACCAACGACGGTGATGAGGAAGACGAAGAAACCAACGAAGCTGATGAAGAAGATGAGGATGAAGAAGAAGAAGTAGACCCAGACGAGGAAGAAGAAGACGGAGACGAGGAAGAGGATGAGGATGAAGAAGAAGTTGACGGAGACGAGGAAGGTGAAGAAGAAGACGAAGCCGAGGAAGACGAGGAATCTTCTGAGGCTGGTCAGGATGGCAATCAAAAAGATGACCTAGGTAAGCACAGACGACCCGATGGCAATGGGGGTTATCTGGACGATGATCTTCCATATGAAACTATTGAAGAAGACCGAACGTACATTGTAACTTACGACAACAAAAATGGTCATAACAGGTCAAGGGGGCGACATCTCAGGAACAAGCCCCGTAAACTCAACTAATACAAGTCTCGCCTACACAACAAACATCACCGACCTTATCGCCAGCGCAGCAGGACTGCTGAACACAACGAACACAACAAACACGACCAATGCAATACAACTCGCTGAAGGGTCGGAGTCAGAATCGGATAGCGAAGACGACAGTCGATACGATGACATCGATGACGCGGACAAGCCATTGACCCTCCGTCCTCCATCGGAAGTATGGAAATACCTAATACGTGGCAAAATTGAGGTAATGGATAAGCAAAAAAGGTATGAACTAACAAGGTCAAAAGGAAAATGGAAGTTTCGAGACCCCCACCCTGAGAAAAGGCCTACCGAAGATTATTGCGCAGAGTACCCCAACCGTGATATTCCCTGGGACGAATTCCCGAGAGACGCATGGCAAAGAGACAACGACTACAAAGGCAAGTTTTGTGAAGAAGGAAAAGCCTTGCTATCAAGGGTGATGGAAGAGATATTGGCTGAATATGGCTTCGGAGCTAAGGATGCTGAGTGGGAAGGCAGAAGCTTTGAAGAAAGACGCGATGCTTCACCCTTCTTCCTAGAGTTTTTTGAGCCCGAGGATGAGACTGATGAGGGTGATGACAACGACTCGGATGGCGACGAGGACTCGGGCGGTGCCAACGAAGCGGGAGGTGACAAAAATTCGGGTGAAAGTGACAAAAACCCTGATGGCAATGAAGGCTCTGATGGCAGCAAAGACTCCGGAGGCCGTCGAAAACTGCGCTCGAATATGAACGGCCTAGGTGGAAGGATTACGCAAGACTCTTGGGACGGATTGGTTCGGCGTTTGTTGCATGCAATTATCACTGGTGATTCTTTCAATCTGGTGCTCGGTGGACATTCGGCGGCTGCAGGCCATGGGTAAGCAATCCTTTTCCGCGTTCACGTGGTTGAAAGTCATTTAATCTGACCCCTCAGTTTCTTGTTCTTGATACTGCCTGCACAGCAATCATTTTCAACAGAGCTACGCGATGCAGTTTCAGAGAATTATGGAACCTGTTTTTGCGAGATTCGGAGTGAAACATTATGCACGCAACATTGGAATGGGAGGCTTGGGCACGGTACAAAGTGCAATGGGAGCACAAGATATCTATGGCAAAGACGTCGATATCTTGATTTGGGACTCCGCCATGACAGAAGATGGAGCAAGTCCCGAGTTCGACCTATTTGTTAGACAAGCCATCCTCGGAGGCGACAGAGCGCCGATGATCTGGTCAGGGACAGATGAACTCAACGTCTATGCAGCGTTGAAGGAGCATGCTGATATTGACTACATGTTTTATGGCAGCGGCATGGACGGCATCCCCAAGATATCGGATCCGACTGTCGTGGATGAAATTTCTTGGGCTGCCAGATACCTAAAGTGCGACAATGAATTCAAAAGTTTGTGCGAAGACAATCGATACAATGGCACATGCTGGATTGATAGACCGGATCATTTCCAGCCTCCCACGCCCCAGAGGGACGAACCTGGGGGCAGGGCTTCCTGGCATGGTGGTAACCGTGAACACCAGTTGACGGGGCGCATTATGGCGTTCAATGTGATGAGAGCCATGTCTCATGCGCTGGATTTCTGGGACCACCAACCATGGCGCAAGGTGGATGATAGTATGTGGCATATGACTGATTACTACGAAAACATCAAATCAAAGGTTGCAAATCTCGATCCCAGTATCGGAAGTTGTCATGCAATCAGCGACAGGTTGTCGACGGACTTCTGCACAATTCCATTCCAGGTAGGCAATGACGGGGATAATCACTTTTGAAACGCGTGTTGGCTTGGCTGGGTGTGTACACGCTCTCCCACAATGACCACTCAACTTTTCTTTTGCTTCCACAGGCACGGACAGAGTTTACACCACGGGCAAACCCAGAACAAACGAGTCTCCGTAGCATTATGAAGCCGTTTGGACCTGATAAAAGCATCCTTGAGCCTGAACAAAACGTTTACGACCCTCCTGATGTTGAAAATCCAGTGTTGAATGTTCCAGAGGGTGAAGTTGATGTCCTTGCTCTTGCCGAACACGGTCCATACGACGCCTTCCTTGCCCCAGTTTCACCACTGCCAGTCCCCGTAGGAAACACGACGAACAGAAAAATCAGAGTCAAAGACGCAGATGGCGAGAAGCTTGTGCCTGGTCTAGGATGGGGGGTTCACACGATGTCGTCTCCGAACCAGTGCAACGGTACATATGACTCTTTCTGCGGGCGCAGCGCTGACAACGAGTGCCTTCTCTACGGCCACAACGACTTTCGTGGTGGGCTTAGTTTTGACTCGTTCAGTGGCTGGGGTATTTTCACACTGACAAATGTGAAGTTTGGTAAGATATACGTGAAGATGGACTCCTGGCGAAAGGCCAAGGACAATCCTGTGACAGAAGGATGGACTGAAGTCAACAATGGAACATCGCATCGATCACTGTTGGATGCCTCTGCAGATGAGATGGAGCTGGAGACTTCGTCAGAGCATGGCTACGTTCGTAGGAACCTGATGAGAAAAGGAAAAAAGAACAAGAAGAAAAAGAAGAAACAGAACGAGGACGAGAACGCGAATTTCTGCCCAGATCTTGTGCTGGAGTTTGCGGTTGGCAACCAGACCATTCAAGTTACTAGTGAGGAAATCTTGGGCGAAAGGCATTCACTGGTCCAACGTGTGGTACAGATATGGACTGTTATGGACGACATTGAGTTGACTGGTGGAAGATTGATGGATGTCGAGCTTGGAATAAGACTGCTCGGCTGCGGCAGGCAGCATGTCTTCTGGCTCACTCACATTTACTGGGCATAAGGCAATGCATTGTGCTCCTCATAACTTACTTTTAGACAATAAACAAAGCTTAGCTAGGAAATAGTTTATGGCATCAATTTGAATGAACTGGCTACAAAAGAGACAACGAAGGGATTGAAGGTGGATGCCCTGTGAAATCCAGAAGCCAGCACCAGACCGTGGTCCGTGGAAATATGCAGGGAAGAGGTGCCACGGCATGTGGGCGTGGAAAAGTTACCAGTCATGTACCAGTACCGGTACAGCTACGTAAGAAGAGAACCTCGCAAGAAGGTCTATTTAAGGAAGGGGAGAACCTCAACAGGAAGCCATAAGTCAAGGGAATACTGTACTTACGGAACATGTACTATACTTAAATACTGTGGTCATTGAGCTGTCTTTGAGATTTGAGAGTCTTCGGTGAAGTCATTGACTGATGATCGATAATAGGCGGTGACCGTACCGGTACCGTGAAATAGTACAATATGAGAGTACTGTGCATATTGTACTATTTTAAAATAGCACTGTACGCTGTACTGACAGATTGCCCCTCTCCACCATCATCCACCATCCACTTTTCCGCTTACTTGATGATCTATCTGTGAACTGGCACACTTCCTGGGGTAGAGGGTAAGCTACGTCTTTTCCAACACTTCTAGTGAGGTAACGACACCAATAGGATAGAATGGAATAACTAGAATACTGTTACTCAGAGTAGATAACTATCTTGTGTTTTGATTTCTTCATCTCCAATACTGTCTCCAATACGTCTCGGTCCAATAATAGGCTCATGCCACTTTGTCAATTGTTGTGTTTCCTCTGTCAGACCTCTAGACACCTCGGATCTCGTCGTCATCGCTATCCGTTCCACTGTCACTGCTGCTACCACTGCCACTGCTACTATCTGTTGAGAGTGTCACTTCATTCTCGTCTTCATAGATCAACTCTTCGTTGGTGCCACCACCATCATCCTCATCAAAGCTCCGCTTCTTAATTGGTTGCCCTTGGCCAAAGACTGTAGGTGGTGACTCCTTGCTTCGCTTCTTCCGAACGGCTGGAGCCGGCGCTGGAGCGGCACTGGAGCTGGCACTGGAGATTCAACTGGAGTAAAGACAGTCTCAACTCGTGGTGGTGGCTTTGGCTTGGCTGAAGGTTTGGCTGCAGCCTGCTTGGGTGAAGGCTTGACCGGAGTAAAGATGGCCGAGGCAACCGGGGTAAAGTTCGGAGGAGGTTTCAAGTTCGTACCGGCAACTGGAAAGTTGAACGAAGGGGCAGAAGCAGGAACAGGAGCAGCTGCCTGCTGCTGCATCTGTTGCTGCATCTGAGCTCGCTCTCGGTCATACTGAGCCTGAAGTGCGGCCTGCTGCTGTTGCATCTGCTGTTGCATCTGCTGTTGCATCTGCTGCTGCATTTGCTGCTGCATCTGCTGATACTGCTCTTGCATCTGTTGCTGCTGGACCTGCCGCTCGGATTCCAGCCGCTGCCTCTCCATGGTCAAAGCCCTTGCTCGCTCATCCTCTTGTTGTTGCAAACGCTGTAGCTGTCTCAACAACTCTGCATTCGCGGGGGCTGGAGAAGGAGCGGGCCTTGCCGCTGCCACCGGAGCTGCGTCGCTCATCAAATGATCAGCCCATTCCTGCTGTCGGCGCTTCTGTTCCTCGAGAGACAAGTTATCATACAGGGAGCTGTCGCGGTTCTTCTTGGATGACTTCTTGGATGACTTCTTGCCCTTGCTGACGCTGGGGACGCTGGTTGAAGTACGGCTTGGTGGGGTAGCCGGTTCAGCATCAAAGTCAGTAAAATTCTCCGCTTCATAGCGATCTTTGAGGCGGTACTCCTCATCGTCATTGGATTTCATGGTTGAGAAGACACAGCACTTGCCAAAGTGGTGAATGTACGGAACAGTTCCAGACTGTTCCTGCCGATACCAGCGGCGCATGTAGTTGTTGGGCTCCGCAAATGGCAGCTGGTTGTCAGGCCACCGGAAGACTTGCTCGCACTGGAAAGGCATTTTGATCTTCCGCTCCACCACATTGGGAAGTTTCTTGAGTGAGGATTTGATGAGGTCGTGATAATCCGTGTCCTCAAGTGCAATCGGACCGATGATGTTCTTGGCAATCCTCATTGAGAGTGGAATGTGCAACCGAAAGAGGAGTGCTTGACCAGCGTCCACGATGGACACTTCGATGTCCTCCCAAGTGATGCCCCCAGGAAGAGCCATGGTGCAGCACAAGAGTGGACGCTTTGGTGCATAACTGATGACTGGATCCAGCTTGTCTTGGACGGTGAACATGGGACGAAGAACAAGCTGATCGAATGGAAGATCACCACCTCCAAGGTTCAGATCCAGCGCAGCGACGCCGCCGACCAAATCCATTGCCGCCGGAGGCTGTTCCACAACTGTGGTGGTGGTGGTTGCTCCGCAGCATCGCCGCCGACTACTGTACTGGCTCGGCCTTGGCGTGGTCGCGGCGGAGTTTTTTTAGCCTCCTCTTGTTGGATTTCTTCGCCATGTCTGCACTTGGCTCCGCTTTTCCGTCAAAAATATACCCGGGGAGTCCGTTGATCTCCTTGCCGCCGCGTCCTTTCAGCTGGGTGGCTTTCAAGAACTCTGTGTCTCCCAAGAAGCCTAGTAAATGAGGAGTGAGTGAGTGAGTGATCAACAAAAAACAACACAAAAAACAACAATCTGCTTACCGTTACCAGTGATCAAATAGATGTGGATGTTCCTGATGAGCTTGCGGCTGTTGCGTCGAATTTTGTCGAGAGTGTTTCGTCCGTATCTCTCGTCCTTGATCCACTTCTCAACTTGTGGCACAGCCTTTCGGACGGACTTGAAGTCGTTTGAGTTGCACTTGCCCTCAAGAACAGCTTTGGCAATCAGCACAGAATCAGCACTAGTAGCATCCCAGGTTTGTTGGGTTTGTTTTGGCTTCTTCTTGGCGGTCTTCTTCTTCTTGGGTGAGTCCTCGCCGTCGCTATCTTCCTCCGTCGAAGTATCCTCTTCGAGGAAATCTGCACTGGTGTCGCTATCGTTGCTCATTATGGTGTGCTACTATCAAACAATGGGAGCAATGGGATGCTCCGCGAGCCTCCTCTTTCCTCTCAAAACCTAAGACTCAAATAAGTATAGCGTCTTATTACATCTACAGACTTGAATATGCATTGGACGAAGAATATTCTAGTTGTCATTGTGCTCGTGCTCCACACGCATAGTAGCGTACCGTATGCAATCGAATCGAATAGGAGTGTATCGGACCGTAACGTAGCGTAACGTAACGTATCGTAACATATCGTAACGTAGTCCTGTTTTTACTATAGCAACAACAGTACAAAAGACCAAAAAACATATCGGAACGTAACGTATCGGACCGTATCGGACCATATCGGTTACGATAGTCGCGTATCGATTACCATAGTAGCGCAGCGAATACATTGATATCGTATCGGAGAAGATCGCGGATCCGAGCCCACCCAACACAACAATGCACAACAAATTTTTGGCACATGTTGCAAATACAGAAGAAACTACAACGCAGAACAATCCAGACCGTCAGTTGGCGCTGGGATTAAGCAATGCTGGCGCCTGTTCGAACCGTTTGTCGTTTGCAGTGTGCTACAACGTAGCACACAACTCGAACTCGACAGGATGGCTGAAACCTCGACTCACCATGGCGATTGATTGGGCTCCTATCATCTATTACGGCTTGCTTCCACTCATGGTGGTGATTTCCTCCTTGGCTGGTGGGTGGTGGTTTCTTTTCCGTGGTCGTGGCAAGGTCAAGATTACTGCAGAATCTGCTTTCATCAACCTTTTCCAAGAAGGCATTTCAACCAAGCCTTTGTCTTCGAGCAGCTTGCTGCGAATGGCTACCTACAAACTCGATAACCACAAGTTTATTACGATTGCTGTGGGGGATACTGCTACCTTCAAGGATCCATTTGGTGCCATCGTCAATGCCTGCAATGAAGGAGGTGACTGTGCTGGTGGCATGGATAGCTCCATCTCGGATCACGGAGGCGATATTTTGGAAGAAGCACGCAGAGCTCTTCCTCCCGTTAGCCACAAGCAAGGATTGGGTTCAACAGTCAAATGCAGAACTGGTCATGCCAAGCTCCTTGGGCCCAACAAGTTTGGCACTCTCGGCACTGATTACGTCATTATTGCTGTTGGTCCAGACTACACGGACGTCACCAAACAGAATGAATCCAAGCAAGCTGAGTACGATCGAAAGCTTCGTCATGTCTACACCAAATCATGCATTCTTGCTGCCGAAGCAGGTGCCCCCAAGATTGTCTTTCCCCAAATCAGTGGTGGACTCTACCGTGGCAACCAGAAGGATAAACACCTTGCCCGTCAAGCTATCTTGGGTATTGGAGCTTGGGCTGGAAAGAAGGAAGCGGTCTCTGCCGTGTTGGAAGATATTATTTTCTGTGTGAATTCCAAAGCCACGGCCAAGAAGATCATTGCGGTTGCTGATGAAGAGTTTGAGACCAAGTTGAAATCGTCTGTTGCCGGTAACTAGTTGATAGGTAGCTCAATATAAATATAGCATCGCTTGTTGTTTGTTAACTACGTCGTACTTCTAATGTGACTAGCGACCAGCTAACTAGTACGGCTGCTGCTTCGGTCAATGTCAATGCTAGATAACGCCAATGCTAGGTTCAATGCTACGTCCCTCTAGTGCCCTCTCGTCTACTTCCACTGCTGCTACGATACACAACCACTTGCTACAGCAGCTAGCACGGAACTGCTCATGGAGCAGCTTTCTTTGCACAAAAACCTTTGCTGGTAAACCTAAGTTAGAAAGATTGGCTCGTGGCCGTTGAAATTCATCAGCTAGCTAGAGGTTAGTCTCATTCTTTTGGAAGAACAAGCCCTTCAGCATGGCTCCTTCTCGACACGCCATTCTTTTCCATGGATCCCTTATCAGGGGCAGAGCCTCCTCCATTGACGAGTGGAAGATGTTCTTTGGAGTCTCTCCTAATGTCATCCTTTTCCTGTGGTGGCTTTGTGGCTTTGACCAAGATCCCAACGTAACTGTTGAGCGCCTTCTGTGGGCTCTCCTCTTTATCAAAGTTTATGGAACTGAGCCGGTGTTGGGTGGTCTCACCGGTGTCACTAGGAAGACCTATCGCAAGTGGGTTTGGTACATTCTTCCCTTGATTGCAGCTGCTAAGCCTGACGTGGTGAGTTGTTTGTTGTCGAGTGATATCTTTGTTTTCGATTCTCACATAAGCCAGATTGCATGGAGGAACCGGTTTCGCAATGACAAGGGCAGGACTTGCCTGACGACTGTGGACTGCTTTGACTTGAAGATCCATGAGCAATTGACTGCTGCTCAATCCAGCAAATCAAAGAATAGGCGTCGAAACAAAAGAGACAAAAGCGGCCATCAGATTACTTGTGACCTAAGATGGTACTCCCAGAAGCACAGGGGCCCAGGTGTGAAGTATGAGGTTGCTGTGTGCATTCAGACTGGTGATATTGTGTGGTTTAGAGGCCCCTTTCCTTGTGGACAATGGTCAGACAAGAAGATCTTCACCAACAAACTCATTCACTGTTTGGACGACGATCGTGAGGAGATGGTTGAAGCAGATGGGCACTACACCGGATATCCCTTCCATATCCGAATGCCCAAGGACTACCTTTCAGAGTCTGATAAGGTTGCCAAAGCAATTGCCCGTGCCCGTCACGAGACAGTCAACAGGAAGATTACGAGCTTCGGAGTGATGAGCCATACCTTCCGCCACCCCCTTTCGAAGCACAAGGTCTGCGCCGATGCTGTGGCTGTCTGCGTGCAGTCTGCCATTGAGTGTGGCGAGAAGCCCTTCCAGGTGAACTATTAGATGGTAATGAGTAGTAGAGGCAGGTTTGTAGTGGCATCCAGCCGTCATTTTCGTCATGGTCGTACTTTTGTGGAGGCTGATTCTTCGAATCCATCGTGACGGGATCGTATATAGTCACGAATAGAACGTAATCGTACTGGACGCACACTCCCCGTAGTTTCGAGCCGGGATTACCCTCTACCCCTGGAGGGCCTCCGCTTACGTCACACTCGGTACCCCCAAAAAACTGAAAGCAATGCCATCATCTACCCGCGAAAACCCGTTGATTCAACCCGCATGCGGGTTAATGCGAGTCTGCAATGGGTCTTCGTGGGTTTGTGCGGGTCTGTGCGGGTGAAGGTGGGTTTGTGACTAGTTTGTGAGTAACGAATCACGGGTAAACGCGAGAGGGTGCGGGTTATTGCGGGTTGGACCAACACAAGCACGGGTTTTTGCGGGTTAGAGCGCGGGTTAAAGATTGTCTATCCGTTTACGGGACTCGTATTCCAGCTATAATCGCCGAACCTGACGTCACCGGAGCCCCTCCTGGGGCATCGCCTTCCAACTTCCAATTAATTTGTTCCACCGCAGTATTTCATGCGAAACATCATCCCATCATCCCATTTGCTTCCCCCGCTCGATCGTTAGTATTGTATTGCAACATTTAGTCTCACCATGGCATCTACTAGTAGAGCTTCTGCGCCAGAAGTGTCCTCCGCGTTTCGTCGGTTCCAGCTCGGGATGAAACGACGCGCGACGCTGCAAGACGGGGAGCTGGACAAGGTCAAGGAAATCTTTGGAGACGATCCTTATCATCTCAAGGAAAAGGAGGATCGAAAGAAGAGACAACACCAAAAGAAACATCCCACACAATCCCGCTACGAGAAAATTCTCCACGGTCCCAAACAGGAGCATCCTCATCATCATCAGCAGCATGGGCAGCAGGAACATCGACATACCGGTACAACTAAGGATTGCTTCCAAACGCCAACGACGGAACTCACAACGAAGAACAAGGATCGAACAACACGACAGTCCGTTGGTACGGAAGTGGTGGGCAAGGAAAACAACAAGGACAAACATCATGATCATCACCACCATCACCACCATCACAGTCGTCACCATCATCATTCCAGAGAATCCACCAAGAAGACGAACAAGAAAAAGACGTCGAAAAAGGAACGCAAGAAGAACAAGCATGGAAAACCCCGCAGTAGCAAACGCACGATACTGCGAGGCATAGAAGACTTTTTGTGCCAGACCAATGATGAATTTACCCAAAAGTACCAGTATGGAGAAGTTCTGTACCGGGGAGACTATTGTCGCATCCATGAGTGTACACTAATGGCCAGTGGCGCCAGTCGGGTCGTCAAGGTGGTCTTGGAAGGACATGACGATGAAGACACGGAGGAGGAAGACTTGAATCGAACAGCAGAAATGTCTACTTCCAGTAATGATGATCAGCACCGCAACAACATATTATGCCATGAATTTGAAATCATGCGAAAACTGGACACACCCTTGGTGCCACAGGTCTATCGCATGTACCGGCAGAACAATCATCACATGATTGTCATGGAGCGGTGTCATGGGAATTCTCTGGAGCAGGAGCTGGAAGAGCGCAATGAACCATTGGATGAGAACCTGGCCAAGGAAGTCATGTGGCAACTCTTGTGCTGCCTCAACTATCTGCAACTGACTGCCAAGGTGGTTCATTGTGACATTCGACCATGCAATATCATGTTGGATCAAGAGCATGATTTTACCAAGATTAAACTCATCGACTTTGATGCGGCGGTGCGTCTAGAACATGCACACGACAAAGTCTCAGAACGTCGAGGTGGGGGAAATGGACAAGATGTTGTGTATCAAGCACCAGAAGTTCACGGCACCAAGCCTCAGCAAGATTTCAAAGCGGATTTGTGGTCTTGTGGAGTCATCATGTATCAGCTACTCTACAACAGGTTGCCTTTTGTGAAGACTCATCACGATGAGGATGGTGAAGAAAGGTTCCCACCAAGCATCAAAAAGATAGAGGGAGATATCATCCGGCGAATGAACAAGGCAACGAAACTTCACTTTCCTCATTCCAGGAAAGTCTCGGATGATGCAAAGGACTTGATTTCATTGCTCTTGCAACCCAAAGGCAAGCACCGTCCAAGTGCTGAAAAAGCATTGCGCCACAATTGGTTCCGTGTGCCCAGCGAATCTTCTGGCCCTGCGTGCTACGGGCCACCCTCGGCCAGCGCCAATCAGGACCCCATGGCGGATGTCAACCGTGTCGTGCATCTTGGAAGACTCGTGCAGCAAAAGCCTAAAAGTCATTTCAAGCAAGCTGTGTTGGCCATTATTGCCGCCTTCATGTTGACCAAGGAGGAGCATGCCGTTGTTCAGCAAGCGTTCCAACAACTGGACCTAAGCCATGATGGCAAGCTACGAAAAACGGAAGTCCGAGCTGCATTGCAGCTGCTGTTTGGTAAAGCCCACACAGAGCAACAAGTCGATGAAATCTTTGCCAGGATTGACACCAATGGCGACAATAGCTTGTCCTACAGTGAATTTGCTTTGGCCACAATCAACGAAAGAGACTTGCTCACTGATGATCGGCTCCAGCGTGCCTTTGATCGCTTTGACAAGTGTCAAAACGGCTTTATTAGTCGCAGTGATTTGCAGCTCCTCCCAGCTTTTGCACTCTGTTCATCCAAGGAATTGGACTCTGTCATTGCAGAAGCAGATCCCACAGGAAAGGGAAAGATCTACTATGATGACTTTGTGGCACTGATGCGGAGTGGAGCTGTTTATTAGGAATGGCAACCATCTTGCCGTGGGAATCTTTCATCTAAGTTTGTAGTCTTTTCTTGCTAATCTATTATTTGCATTAGTAGCCCCTCTTCCGAAAAATTGTGCTGTAGAAGAGACGGTGGTTGTAGCCTCATCAGCCATGAAGTTCGGTGCATCCACTGCTGAATGAAGAAATGTGTTGCACCCCAGTGGTGCTTGGTTCCTCTCACGTTTACCATTCTCCCACCATGCAACGTCGCAACCGAAACCTCGAGCCATTCCTGGACGTGTATGAACGCATCCGCTTGCTTGACAATCTCTTGCACCCGAGCTGCACAGCATGACCGGCCATCTGCAATCAGCTATCCGTGGAATGAGTACTGCACAAAACTAATGGCCTCTCATTTACTTGCTTGAGGCAGCCGAATGCACAAGGAAGGAGCCATCAAAGTTCTCTACCTGGATATTGTCGCAGCCAAAGGTGACAGCAGTACTCCGGGCCCTCGATGATTGAAACGGTGAAGCCACCAAGCGACTAGATCATGATGACTGGGTCTAAAGCTACCAATCCTTCTATATAAGAGAGTTTACTTGCTATCTTAGTCTCTCATTGGAGCTGTGTATGCATCGACATGTATGAAAGTGGCCAGATTCGGTGGCCTCGTCCTAAACCCAGGGCATGTTTGATGATGGTATGCAAGTAAGTAAGTAAGTAAGTAATCGACGCAGGAGTGCAAGGTGTGTTTCTCTTGCTGTCTTGCACTTTCCTTGTTTAGAAAACAGAAGATGCTTTCGATGGGAAGCAATCATTCAAACAGTTGTGTAATGCATCCGGTTTTGTTCCTCGCTTTATTGGATTGCATGCATGGAGCTTCCATGCGCTGATCCTTCTCTTGTTCCTTTACTAGTAGACGCCGTCTCTACAGCACTTGCCCATATTCGGAATGGTATGTAGCACAGTCGGACGCGGTGGGAGTGACATTGCCCGCAGGATCATCCTCGTCTGGAACCCAAACCTTGCATTCTCCAAAGGGCGGAGCATACAGATGCAACGACACGGCCAGAACGTCCTTGGAAGGATTCCCCACCTTGTGCAATCCAATGGAATCATTGATGAAAGCCACTTGTCCTTGCGAAAAGGTTTCATCGGCAATGCACTTCAAGCCAGCGTCGTCGTCGTCGGGGTACTCGTAGCGACACTCTTGGACTTGTCCCTGGAGCACCGAGAGCCAACATCCATCACAAGGATGGTCGTGGATCTTGGATTCTTGTGCTGGATTCCAACAGAGCAGCATCAAGGTAAAAGTCTCATCGTCGGTGGTAATCAGGTTTCGTGTGTAGGCTTTTGATGCGTCTGTGTGAGCATAGGGGGCCCAATCGTGTGGTTGTAGGTTGAGATTCCTGTTTTGCACGACAAAGAGAAAACAGGATGCAAATAGGGTGGAGCAGAGAGAATGGTAAGACATCTGTTGCCTTGTGGGAAACAATTCTTGAATACCGCATACACAGCAAGGAAGAAAGCAATCAAGCACAAAGCTTACCGAAAGAGCGCCATGACGGGATCCTCTCGCGATTGCATCATCATGTCATGCGCTCCATAAGTAAGCAATGCCTGACGAAGCCGAACAGCTTGTGGTACCAGCTCGATAAAGTCACCCAACGAGAGCTGTTTCTCTTGCATCTTGTTCTTCTTCCTTTCCTGCTTGGGATACTTGAATTGAAGGGACTGCATGACATAGGATGATGACGATCGCAGTAGTGTGTCATTGTTTTCGTCTGTACTATCCAAGAACACACTTCGCTTGGGCGCGAAGCGTTCCTGTAGCTGGGGCATGGTGGACAAGGGACGTTGTCCTGCTGTTGTTGTTGTTGTTGCGGAATTGTGAGCAGAAGAAGATGCTGTCGCGAAGAATCGTCGTTCCATGGACACGTTTGCAAGGCGACGGTAGGAACTTCCTACTCGACGCCCTCCCAACAAGCATTTCATGCTGGTCGCCATTGTCATGTACTGTATGCGATCTTTCTTGCTTGGTACAGAATGAAACTTGAATGCAAGAAACCAGAAATGGAAGGAATTCTTGCTTTCTTCCTTCACAAGAAAACTATGAAACCAAGCACGATCGCAACTTCCGCAAAGCAAAACAACCACCAAAGATAGATACTATGTCTGGAATGATGCCAAGGATCCCAATTCTGACGGATTCGACTCTTCTCGTGGTCTCTTTGCTTGATTTGATGTGATGCGATGCCCAAACAAAGCAAGGTAAAAAAGTGTCACACCCTACATCAAAGAAACATCAGACCTCACTCACTGATGAAGCGAAAGTGGTTGATGATGGATGAAGTGCTTCTCAAGTCAAAGAAAATGTCAAACAGAAATTTCGACCGTGGATGACGAGTCGTGGTTCTCGCTTTCGGAACATTAGTCCCGTGTGACGTATTTTGGCCAATTAGGGCAGTTCCGTGAAAACATAATATTTTGGAGCTGTGCTCTCTCAAAAGGGTTTTTGGGCTTCTGTGCGTCCTTAAATCAAAGATGGATCTTTGCGGCCCAAACAATCCTTTGCCTCGTCGTCGCGGCACAACAGCCACAACACAAACCAACGCGAAACAAAGCACAAAAGCACGTCAAGAGATAGACTCAACTTGTTTAGATTGCTTAGCTAGCTAGTTGCAAGAAAGAGAACAGGAAAGCAAGATGTCGGACGAAGAGGATTACGAGTGAGTGCAGAGATCTGATTGTGTGGTCTCGGTGTTGTACATGAGTCAAGTCTATCCACCCAGCCAGTCGTACCGCACTCCTCACGCTTGTTGTTGTTCACCAAATCTTAGATACGAATACGACGATGACGATGAGGAAATGCAAGATGATCAGTTTGAGTACACGGACGACGAAGAAGAAGCAGACGATGCGGAAGTGGCCCTGGAGAATGCGTATTACAACAGCAAGGGTCTGCGCGAAACCAACGTGGACGAAGCAGCCGACTCGTTTGAGCAAGTGATTGTGCAGGAGCAGGAAGAATTGCAAAAGAACAATTCCAACAAGAAATACGGCAATTGGTCCTACAAGGCCATCAAGCAGTTGGTCAAATTGCATCTCCGCGGCGGAAAACATGAGCAAATGATGAAACAGTACGACCGACTCCTCGAGTGCATTGCCGAAGGAGATGTCAGTCCCAGTGCCGTAGAAAAGGGAATCAATGGCATGCTCGATCGAGTCTCTTCCTTGTATCAAGGACAAGGATCCCAACAACAACAACAACAACAACAGCAACAATCCTCGTCGTCGGCGTCGGAAAATAATGACACCAATCCACAGAAAATGGCATTGGCCGTGTATGACGCGACCCTCAAAGTCTTTCATCCCCAGTCGGGTGCGTGTCCCAATGAACGACTCTGGTTCAAAACAAATCTCAAATATGGACAGCTCTTGTACGAAATGAACGAGACACCCAAACTCCAACATGTCCTCAAGGATCTCATGTCCATTCGCAAAGACTGTGGCAGTGGAACGTCCACACAATCCATGGAAATCTATGCCCTCCAAATTCAGCTCTATTCACGTCAAAAAGACAATAAAAAATTACGAGAAGTATTCAACAAAGCCATGGCGGTTCGAGGCGGTATTCCGCATCCGCGAACACTCGCCATGATTCAAGAATTGGGAGGCAAAATGCACATGGCGGCACGCGAGTACGAAGCGGCGGGCAAGACGTTCTTTCAGGCATTCAAAAGCTACGACGAAGCCGGCGATCCCAGTCGATTGCGATGTCTCAAGTATCTCGTATTGGCCAGTATGCTACACGCAAGCTCCATTAATCCATTTGATTCCCAAGAAGCACGGCCGTACCGAGATGATCCCGAAATTGTTGCCATGACCAACTTGGTACAGGCATTTCATGCCAATGAAATTCAGACTTTGTGAGTTATTAAGTTTGTTTGTGATGATGGATGATGACACTAGGTTTTTCGTCATTGTGTCTCATGGACTTGTTTGTTTTGTGTTTGGTATTTACAGTGAACGCATTTTGCGACAGAATCAAGGACGCATCATGGAAGATGAGTTTGTACGAGAGCACGTGGAGGATTTGTTGCGGACCATTCGGACACAAGTATTGCGTCGTGTCATTCGACCCTACACTCGCATCTCCTTGGCCGCCATTGCCTCGGAACTCAATGATATTCCAGTGGCCGATGTAGAGAGCTTGTTGGTGGGACTCATCTTGGATGGATCTCTCGATGGAAAGATTGACCAGGTCACGGGAGTCCTCTTGAAAAAGGGAGAACGTGGGACTGGCAAACAACAGCAACAACAAAAAGCGCAAGTTGCAGCCAATACAGAAAAGAGCCTGGAGGAACAAAAGGTGGAAGCCATGAACAGTCTGATTCAAACGCTGGATGAATTGGCGTCATCTCTCACCAATGCTCGCATCAAGGAAGGTCCGCAGATGCGTGGCGTGGTGCATTGAAAACAGCAGCAGCGATGCGATGCAAACCGACCACGACAATACACAATTTTGCCCGAGAATGCTCGTGGCTTGATCACTCATCTATCTGAGCTGTTGTGGCCTTTTCCGGTCCAGCTGCATCATGCGCCGCATCCTTGGATCACCACCTGTCAAGGGGCAGTAAAAACATGCGTAAAATAAAGAAGGAAATGTTCATGAATAGACTTTCTTTTGGTTTGAATCGCGCCCTCTCGATACTGGCACCTGTCGAGGTCGAAGGACTGAGTCAATCAGAATGTTTGTCTTCGCTCGTCCTGCTGCGACCTGGACCAAATGAATCGAATCCTGCCAAGTGAATCCATGGCGGTTGACTTTTTGGAACCATCCACAGGTTCAGCAATCACCTGTTCCTTTTCCTGCTGCTCGCAAGCTGTTGCTTGGCTTGAACCATGGACAATGTCAGAGGTGCATTGCTGGAGATTTGATTGACGGAGAAAAGCCCAGAAAGGACTCTTGCCATCGCTACCCGGCAGAGTGCAACAGCGCCGCATCTAGGCTTTAGAAGAGGACACGATACTGGGAAATAAGCTCAAAAATCGCAAGAACAGCCATTCAGTTTGCTATCCTCAAAGATCGCAGCAATGGACTCGATTATCATTTTTATTAGACTTTGTGACACTTGTTGTCATCAGTGAAATGTTGCCATGTCTTGTACAATGCTTGGCAATAGCAGAAGTACCGGTATGTTGTCTCCAGGCAGTACTTCTGAGGGCGAGGCTTCCCTCGTCGAGCGTACCGTACCTAGGCGGTGGCTGCACCAAGCTGTGGCGACGAGCTGCTAGTGTTCCCCAGCAATGCCATCTTTAGGTCATCGTCCACTGCCTTTTCACCAAACCACATGCTCAAGAAGGCTCGTTGAAAATCTTCTCCGGGGATAGTTCCCTTGAGTACCCCCTGATCAAAGACCAACGTTTCATTATCCACAAACTTGACTGTGACTGTTCCCTGGTCTTCCATTGCCCCAAACATATTGATGAATGCTGCACGATCCTTATCATATCCTTCGTACGTGTGGGAAACACTCCAATCCAGTTGCTTTTGCCACGCAAACTTGACACGGGCTTGACTGACACTCCTTAGAAACGTAAAACTGAAGACCAAGGGACAGCTGGTGCATGCCAAGGCATCGTGGGCATTTCGAATTGGCATCTCGCTGTAAACAGAGGCCACATACATCTTCATGCTCAATCCATAAAATGTAAAGGATCGAAGACCATGTCCATTCCGATGCAACAGCCTTCCATCCTCCAGTTCATGGTGTGCCGGCAAATGAACTCCCTCCAAAGAGACGGGCATATGATTGCTTCTGTGAAAGGCAGTATGGCTGCTGTATTCTTCCAGGAGGACAGAAGCTTCTCCAGTACCACCAGCCTCAATCGCAACAGTGGCTGTTTGGGTCGATCCCTCGACAAGCCGAGCCAACAGAATCAGGGCAATGACAGCCAAGAAAAGGCGGCGTGTGGCCCGTTGCTGGCTGATCATCTTCATCTTTTCGTTTGAATGGTATGATTGATGAGTTTTAGACCTCCCGAACAATGCAGTTGTGCACTCCGTCGAAGCTCTTGTGTCTGTTTCCCACTTTCAACACCTGTCAAATGTTCCTCGCTCGGTCCAATTGCCGTCGACCTTTCTCACATTGACAACTTTCTGGTGACCACGTAAGCCATTTTTTGGTTGAAGCTATCATGTGCGAATATCCTCAACCTTAGCCATCGGTCACAACCAGTCGCGCCAGAAATATCTTTTCCTTCAGTGTGTGTGTGTAGCAGTACTCTCCAGCCGACATGCAGGACGCGGCTCATGACAACTGCCATCGATCAACCCCACTCGCTCCCAGTATTTTTATTTGGCCATCAACCCCCAGAAGCGCATTTCTGATTGCCTCAGTGACCCGCTAGCTAGCTAGCTAGAGCTAAGAGGCCAGACTTATCTGGTGGTTTTTGTACTTTCAACAAAAGTAATTTCATAATCCAACGAAACCTCTTTAGCCATCACTCTTTGATTCTTTAGAAGTTTCCAACAAGCCAATAGAATCTTCAGCGGGCACCAATTGGTTGGTTACTGGACAGGCTGACCTGCTCAAGTACAGGACCGTAAGTAGCTAGTGCATGCATCGAGCTAGACGATTTCAGAGTGACTGAAGTGTGCTCAGGAAACGCAGGGCTGTGTTACTGCCAAGCGGAACTTCAGTTTACCTGAAGTTAAAACTAATTAGAGCAGCTAGACTACCTGGCCTGCCATACAGTCATGATATCTGTTCGTACTGGTACCAAACAAGGGCCTCTCGATGCCGGTACGATGCCGTATCTTTTTGTCAAGGCTTTAGCACAAGGTAACTCACCTCTCCTTTGGTACCACAGTTGTACCACTGTACCAGTTTCGTCAACTACACTGTGTGTGTGAACTACCGGTACGGTGCGGTAGCTATTTAATTTACTTCAAGGAGAGCGAGGGAAGGGTCGCACGGGAAATGAAAGGCTGGTCAGCTACTCGGACGCTCGGACCGGCGCCGCTGTGAAATGAAGAACCTTCTCCCCGAACCAGCATACATGTACATGCACCACACCACTCCGAACCAGCAGCTCCGTCAAGTCAGTCTTCCGGAAACTCAAAATGCTCACTGTATTTGAAGAAGGCGTTTTGCCACCGTTACGTCATACTTAGAAGATCTCTTGCTCTGATTATGTTTATCACACGTTGTGACGGCGAATCGTGTAAGTCTCCGGTTTTGGCGGGAAAATGAAGATGACAGTTCGTTCCGGATCAGGCTGCGTCCTCCTGGGTTTGCCTCCTTTGCCAACTCCCATTCCAACCAGACTCACTCAATGCCGATGCATTTATTTCAAAAGTGTAGCACTGTCATTTGTTTCAGTGATAGAGGTGCAGTAATAGGCGAACGATACTGGCTGTAGAGGTGCTTCCGCAGAAGGCAGATAGAGCTTTTATCAACAGTTTAGAGAGGCAGATTTCTTTTTGCTTCTTCTCACTGCATTGTTGGACTACTATTGGGGTACATTAGAAGAGCTATTTCAGGTATCAGCAGCTTCATTCAGTAGGCTTCGTGCTTGTCATCCTTCTTCCTTCCAGACTCGATTCCACAGTATTATCCTGTGGTTAACTAATAGCTACCCAAGGTAGAAAGAAAAAGAAGTCCTACCATGAGATATACCCCAACAATCCTCCTTCCACTGCTCTCCCTGTGGCTGGCACCATGCTCTGTGAGCGGCCAAGGCATTCTTCGAAGGGAACATCAAAATCAGATCCGTAGAAGCTTGCGACAAGACCCCAAGAATCCCAAGAGATCCCCCAAAAGCCAACGACGCGAACTCCAACGGTTTGCGTCGGTGTGTACCGACGGTCCCACTGCCTTTTCCACATCCCTTTATGTCACCCTGATTGGTGATGGGACGCCCTTTGGGGAAGACGATTTGAATTCACTGCTACGAATGAGCCTCTCCGCCTTTAATCAAGCAGATGCCGCGAGTTGTGATTCTACCTATCGGACATTGACTTCCGTCAGTGTCAGCGATGTCTACTATACGCAAGGACTGGATTATATTCGATTGAGATATGATGTCAGTGGCTCCTGTGACGGATGTTTGCCCAATCAATTGGACTCGGGGATTGGACCCTTGTTTGGTAGGGCGGAAATGTTGGGACGAGGACGACGATCATTGACCGAGTTCCAACAACCACAGCAACAACAACAACAACAACAACAACAGCAATCCAAGCGACGTATCAAGGGAAGATCCAACAGGTCTCGGCGCTTAGGTAAAGACGACAAGGGTGGAAAGGACAAGTCAGACGATGAGACGCCAGCCGGTACAAACCCGCAAGATCAAGGTCAGGGGCAAGCACAAGGTCAAGGTCAACCCACACAGGTCGTTTCGTATCAAGATCAAGATGGAGATGACGGTGATACGTCTTTTCCGGTCAACGGTGCGGGTGTTTGCGGTTGTGCCATGGGAACCACTGCCATTGTCCTCCGAGGACCCACGCCATCCGAATTTGGACTGCAACTCAACACCATGATTGAAGCAGCTCGGGCCGCAAATACACTGTCGGGAGTCTCCCACGTCGAGGACCTCTTTGAAGCGGGGGTTCCGGGGCAGAGTACCGTCTTGCCATCGGTCCAGGCTCGACAAGTGGCTGCCTCTTGTGCTGCTCCTGGTAATCAAGGCAATTTCAGGACCACGCTTTGGGTGGAAGTGATACCAATTAACCAAGCCGTCCTTGACCTTCAGGAACCAGAAAAGCTGCCTCTAGAAGTCGCAATACTAGAAAGCTACAACGAAATGAATCTGGTGAGCTGTGACCTACCCTTCTTTCGGACGCTCTCAAGTGTGACCCATCAGGAGTCTCGGCGCTCTGGAGACAAGCTACAAATGAGATTTGATGTCACCGGCAAATGTGTCACCTGCAATCCCACTCAAGTTACTCTGTTTGATGATACCATGACCAATACCGTTGATGTTGTCAGCCTTGGCCGGTCGTCGTACTCGGTATTCAACGTAACGGGCTTTCGGCCCCCGTCACAATCGCTGTTGGTGTCGGAAATTGAACGGTTGCAACAAGCACAAGCAGGGCCCACCACGATTTTTCGGGACACCGACGCTTCCTGTTCGTGCCCCCTCAATACAGATAACCTACCTCTCAGACCACCAACCACGGTAGAGTTCACGCAAATCTTGCAAACCACAGTCAATACTCTGAGAAGTTCAAATTACATCACCAGCTTTCAGACAGTTGTCCGGACGAAAGAGATTGAAATGGATGCTGTTTGTAGCGCAGAACCACAGACTTTTGTTTCTACTGTCCTTGTGGACTTTGACGGCCGACCAGACTTGTTGGGTGGTTCTGAAGTGAAGACTCTTGAAGGTGGCTTCATGGACACCTACAATAGTTTGATTTTTGAGTCATGTGACCAATACTATCGCTCCATTTTGAGAGTACGGTTGATCCCCGGGGTCTCGCGTCGACGAAAAAAACGTTCCCTGCAAGCCACGTCGGTTGGAAATGCTGCCAATTCCAGTGACATTCCAGATTTGCAAAGCGAGGCTCCTTCAGTGTACATGGTGACCGGTAGCTGTCGTGGCTGCCCCGTATCTCCAACAGGAACATTCAGTCTTGTCGATGATGCCTTTCGATTTCGCAAGCTCATGGAAGGAGCTGACGATGCAGAGGTCATGGTGCCATTCTACTCGTACGGTTCAATCGCTGAAGCCATTAAAGGCTTTATGAGTGTTGGAACAACCGAAACTTCTGGCGAAGATTGCGCCGGCAAAACACAGCGACACTTGCAAGAATGCGTTTGTGCTCCTGGAACGACAGCGGATGTACCCTTTGCTCCTCAAGCCAACGACTTCAGACTCCAGTATAATGACGAAATTCGGAGGTATAACGAAGAAGGTACCGTCGTCAACGTCCAGGGAGTCGAAGCTTTGTTGGAAATTCCGCCGGGTCTTGTGTCAGTGGGCTTTTCCATCTTCTATGGGACCCTGGAACGAGTTGGCAATGCGACTCGGGAGGATTACCCCCAACTTTTGGCCACCACAACTGCTTTCTACCGAAACAGTTTGAAAAGTTACTACAAAGATCAGGACCTTTCCCTTCGAGCTGTCAATGTCGCCTGGAATGCATCTACACCTAGACAGGATTTGAATATGCTGCGGGTAGATTTTACTGCAGAGTTGATCTTTGAAGATTCTCCCAATATACCGACACCCGAGCAAGTTTCGTTCGTCATGGAGCAGCTGAACTACGTGGACTACATCACACAACATGTCTGGACGCTAAATGCTCAAAACAGCATATTCCGAAACTCGCACAGTGTCCGATTCGCCGGAAGCGAGGCAGTGTTGGTGAAATCGAGAATGCTATTCACGGTAGGAAGCGATCGTTCCGGTGCAGACCCAAATATCGACGATCGAGATGGCTTGACGCAGCAAGTCAATCGCTTCTTCCTCGACTCATTGAGGCTTGCCGGGTTCCGAGTGTTATCGGTTAATGCACACATTCATGCCGAAGATATTGAGATCATTCAGATTGGATCGGTTCAGGTCAACTTTGATGCGGCCGTCGTTTTCTCGAAAGAGGCGCCGATTCCATCTGAGGAAGAAGTGACTAGAGCAATCCAGTCCTTAGATTTGGAAGTGCTAAGGACTCAATACCTTGGATCAGGAGGGCCATTGGGAACGTCTGTTTTCAGCGACCCCTTTGCAGTTGTCTTCGTCTGGCCTTGAGCGAAAGCTTGACTTGGAAAGGGGGCGTTTGTGAAGAGGGCTGATCATTAGTGCAGGATGTATGTTAACTGTACTGTTTGTATGCGACAAAGTTTCTGAGTTTTTGTTTGTTAGTTGGTCATCAGAGCCACTTTTTAACGATAAGATTAGCGCCATTTTGACCACAAAGGAAGGAAACGTTGTAGGCAGGCAAAACAAACTCCTGGTGCGCCCTTCGACGAGGAAACAAGACGAGGTGGATAACCAAGCCAGTTCCTCCTGAAGACCACATCACATGCACCATGGAAATCAAACCCCAGGTGTTGAAGTGGGGGTCACCAGTCCCAGCTCCATCAGTTATTTCTTCACAAGGTGTGAGGATCAAATCCCAATAATGAAGTGTGCCTGTATCACCATTACCATCATCATTTGTCCAGTAACCTCCCAAAGTGTAGCCTTGTTCTGACCGAACAGCTGCTAGTCCATCTTGATCACAAGAGCCATCCCGCTTCTTCTTTGCCTAAGCCTGCCGCTGGCTTCGGTAGATAACTTCCCTACTCCCTACTCTGAACCCCTGGTTTGTAATCAGCTAGCAATTTTACACACGTTTTTTAGACTACAGACAATAGAGTTCACTTCACAGGTTCAAACAGCTCTTTCATGCCCAGCCGCATGGCGCAGCCGAGATTGCATCAATACAGTAGATACTTGGGTTTCTCTCAAAGGTACATAACTTGCTGCTCACGTCGCCGAGGACAGCATACTTCAAAGAGACAGAGGCCACAACCGACGTCGCAGCAATCATAGCCAGCCACGTTCAGATCTCGATCGTCACGACAGCAGCACTCAAAGCAGCAAGCGGCCCAAAGGAGATTTCGTCCCGCATACGAACATTTAGCCCTGCTCGGTGAATACCTCCTGGGGTTAATTTGATATTCAGGGTTGAAGGGTGGGGGAAGGTTTTGGGAATTGCAGCAGACTGCTTCATCCTTGACAACTGTGTAGCCACGGCGACGTGGATCGTTGCAACAGCGACAGAACAGGTAGTAGAATAGGCAACGAAGGATGTTCACAAGGATGCAAAGCAAAACCCAAAGAATCAACAAGAGCAAAATCACAGCGACTGGATCCATATTCTTGACATCGTCCCAATCTCGGGGCAAAGCGTCCTTGATATCACTCAAGTCTTTGGACAAGAGATCTGATAGCTCAGAGTCGTCCGAAAGGAAGCGGGAGGGTGTACCGGTATGAGAACCACGGAGGGACGAAGAAGGAATATTGTCAGAGAGGCCATCCATGATCGTTTTTTTATAGGGGAGGGTGTGTGATTTTCAGAGGCAAAGATGAAAAATATGAGACGATCACTGTCAAACATACTAGTAGCTGGTTTGCTTTCGGCTTAGTTTCCATTGAAACGTCCATTTGTGGTGTGGGACCTGGTACAGTCGTAGTACATGTACATGTAGTTTGAACGCAACTTCGATGCGATTGTTGTGGTTTGCTCTCTGCCCTTCAGGATCTCTGTGGAACAGCCCAAAAGAACAAAAGAACAAAAGAAACTCTACCCCTACTACAAGTGTACTGTCCAAAGGGATTTGTCCGTGCATGTACGGTCAGCAGTAAACCATACCCCAAGTTGGTACTAAGTTCTTCTAAGTAATTTCACTGGGACTCTTGACAGTTACATTAATTAGACAAACCGTAAATCATCTAAACTTGCATGTACAGTCTACTCGCTCTATTATTTATGGGGGGGGATTGCGGATTTCGATAAATATATTAGAGAGAATAAATATAAGGCTTTCAAGGGCCGGTTCCACTAGTAAAGTATGAATGGATAGAGCCGTCGCGTTTACATTTGCCTGCCCTAGCAGCCCTAGCCAAATTCAATGCCCTAGCAAACATGTCAAGATGCACAGTGGCTGCCTGGTTGATACCCAAAGCAGAGGCACTTTCGGATAGCTTATTGAGTGCTTCTTCAGCTTCCGCAAATGAGGCAAACACATCGGCTGGTTCGGGATCATCCTCCATTTGTTCCGGTTCCTCGTCATCAATCACAGCCAGTTCCGCTTCTGTTGTTTAACAGCAGTTTCCTCTTCTGTTGTTTCGACTTCCAGCGCTTCAATCTCTTGTCGATGGTTGCACTAATGACTTCGGGCTCATCCTCGACATCGATCCAATTCTCCGCCATTTGCATCACATCTCCCCAGAGTAGAGATCGTAATCAGCCGCAAAGGATCCTTGCAATGCAATTGCATTCCTTGCAACATCCACCTCAGTTTCTTTGGCTTTAACTTGGAGAGCACTCATGAGGTTGCACAAGTCATCAGAATCCTGCTTTGCTCATACCTTTTCCTTCATAGGGATTGAAGGCCGACCCAATGTCAACATTGATGTCTGTTTCCATGGCGATGGGAAGGATGCAGCCTTTCTCCAGCATCGTCTGATACCATCTTCCTTTGCATAGCGACCGTCTTTGTTCCAAATTTCATTCAAAATGTCCATTGCATCAAGAAGATGAGCCTTGCCTCCTGTTGGGGAAACATACCTGTACACCTCTTTACTATTGACTCGTGATTAATCATCTAGTCCGGTTCGCATGTAAATCATCATGCAAGGAACCAAGGAGTTTTAGTCTAAAGTGTTACGGGGTCCTTATATCCAATTCAATCACAAGAATTGCTATGCACCACCAGAAAATCCTCACTTTTGCTTTTCAGCTTAATCTAAAACCAAATTACTCCCCAATAAGCTGCAGTATTACTAGAAACAAACATGAAGCAAAAGCCCATCTCGAGTTACTACTACCGATCTCGAGATCGATATCAAGGTAAACCATATCAAGATAAAAAATGATAGTTAATAGTGTACTTGAGCAAATTGATGAGTTAACACCTGGCAACAGAGAGAGGTGCACAGAATCAGGCTTCTTAGCTACAATATCAGAGCATCGAAAGCCTCTAACACGAAAGAGGTGCGCGGGAAGAAAATCCCATTTTCAGTCACAGGTACGAGTACGGAACATCGTCTAACAGTTTCCGGCCGGACACTTGGAAGCAACAACGTACACGTACAGATCAAGCGAAGAAAATGAAAAGGTTTCCAGCTGACGCATCGCGAACGGGCTCTTATCCAGTGAGATATCGTCATCCGCGAGAAATCAGGGGTTCGATACGTCACATCACGGCGAGCGAAAGCCAACAGTTGACGATCTACCTATCGACTGTTGTGGACGTTGCAAGGCATCAAACCAATAGAGAGGAAGTTGCGCAACACAACGACAGAACTGTGGCTACTCTTGGAAGCGTCTAACTCCCGATTTTGAGTCAGATCGGTTGATTCGAGTATTCCCTGCTATTGTGACGTGAAACACAAGATCCCCGGTAACAACTCGGAGCTTTGAATCTCCACACGATAGCTGTTCCAGACACTGTAACTCACTCAGTGCACTCATCCAACATCAATACAAGGTCCTGCAGAAAGAAAGCAGAGACAGGAGACCGACAGAGGAAGTTCGCTACTACCCAAGGCTCCACACAAGAACAAAAACCACGAGTTCCTCTGGAATTACGTGAGCTGTGGAATCCAACAGAGGCTATCCAGCCACACCAAGGTGCACCCAAGAGTGACCAAAAAGATGGCTATCCAGCCAACAAGGAAGCTTTTAAGGCACTTTAACAAGGTTAGTGCCCGTCTGTGAGATCCTTCCTGCAGGAGTATCCACACAAGAGCACAAGCTAGTTCCAAGGAACAAGGAAGCACAAGAGTGCATTACCACACCAACAAGACCATGAGATTTCAAGGAAGAGTTGGTCGTGGTGGAGGAAGATACCCTTCTTGGGGGGGTAGGGGTTCAATTCCTCAGGAAAAAGCCATCAAGGAAGAGGCAACAGCTACAGGAACCAGAACAAGAGTCCCAAGCGTCAGTTCCTCTTCAAACCAAATGGACAGGCTGAACCAGGTATTATCCTTTTGAGGAGACCCGGACACACATTGTCCAGGAACTAAGGATCAAGCCTGAGTGGAATGATGTGCCACTGGCTTCAATGGCCATTGAGACCATGACAAGTCAGGCACCTACCCAGCCGACCAAGCCAACACTCCAGACATCACTTTCTGATCCCAAAGCCCAAGAGTACGATGCTTTGGAACTTAGCGAGTACAAGGCAAAGCAATCCATCTATGACAAGTCGACTCGACCCTATGAGAACATTCTCAAGACAGGTGCAAACACCATCCAGGTGACATACTGTACCGACGCCATGAAGTCCAAGCTTCGCGGTCTAGGAGACTACGAGGATGCAGTCAAGTTGGATCCCATTGAGGTGCTCAAGAGGATCAGATTGATAGTGATGCAAGGCTCAAACAAAGAGTTCCCATTGCTTCAATACATCAAGACCATCCAACTTGGCTTGTTCCCAAAGCAATGAGACCATGACAGAGTTGAATTCTACTTGAGAAAAGGTCTACAGCGACGTTGATCAAGTGTATTACCTGGTCGGAACAGAGGTCATTGATGTCAGGACTATCGGTTTTGCTGAATACAATGCCGCACCAGATCACGACGCACAAGAAAAGATACTAGTAACGGAAAGGGCTAGGTTGAAAGCACACGTGGCCTACCATGGACTAAAAGAAGGAAGAAATGGAGATTACCAGAAGACTGTTGAGGCAGGCCTATGCCGATGACGGTACCATCCACCCCCCCCCCCTATTCCCTGATACCCTTGATCATCTAAGAGAGACGCTGTCCAATGACAGATTCAAACCCAGCAAGGAATGGCTGGACCAAAGGAAGGCCAAGGACCGGAAGCCATATTCCAATCCCAAGCCACCTCCTTTTGATCCCAAGAAGATGAAGGAAGGGCTCCCAGCTGCTGTCTTCTATCAGCAGTCCCAGCCAGGCGAAGCCTGCTACTGTTGTGGGAAGCCCAGATCACAAACTTCCACAGTGCAAGGTGAAGGCCAAGATTCCCAAGCCCGAGTGGGCAATCAACAAATTCAATGGCATGAAGAAATCCTTCATGCCGCAGTACCATCAACATCAGATGCAGCTGCTCCAAGGAGTGCCTACCACAGTGGTAACGGCGCCAGCTCCAGCTCCAGCTGGAGACTCTTCGAGCAGGAGTGGATTCAGTGGAGTCCCTCCACCTCCTACGAGCCAGTCGAACTTTCAACAGTTCCCCATGTCAAGCCAAGCCTCCAGGCCAGCGCGGCAGGGTCACTACAGTTCCATTTTCAGCACCATCAAGTCGATGGAGTCCCGCCCCTGATGGGCAGAGATGATTCAACCACCGACAGTGAGCTGGAAGCTTCCATTGACTGGGGTAGCATTCGCTACCGATTTCCTTGGAGGCATCCCACTTTATGCAGAAGAGTGGAGGCATGATGAGACATCATCCGAAGAAAGCTATCACTCCGGCTACGGCCATGATCAGCTTGCTGAGGGAGGTCCTGACGGTGTGAGCATCGGATCCGACCTCATCCTCCAGAGGTACAATGATACACATAATATAATTGTCAGTCGTTCTGCCCACCCTGACACCGTCTTCAACACAGATCCATTCGAAGGAGTCATCTCTCGGAGTGGTCAAGACGATGATCAGAGCTGCTGTTCCGACTACAGCTCGGATACAGAGAATGAATTTCGTTGCTTGTACCGTGGACCCAGCCGGCGTCAACGGGAGAATCAGCGAGGCAACTGTTATGAAGATTTCCAAGACCAAGACTCACTCTCAGTCGAAGAACAGCACCATCAAGTTGCTGTTGAGTTCCCAGGAGTGGCAGATGGCCGAACTCCAACAGGAGTGCAAGAGCCAAATCTTGCAGGAGGTTCGGTCAAGAACCTCATTTCTGATGGAGCCAACACAGTGTATCTCGACAGTGGACGTTCAATCCGAACTGTCAAGAACCAGGACATGATTGTTCGCAAGCGGCTATCTCCCAGACCAATCGAGATGGCACCAATGTTGGAAGCACAAAGCTTACCAAAGAAGGTGACACACCTTAAGGCAATGGTTATTCCAATCCAGGAGGCATCGCCAATCACAACGCTTTTGTCTCTTTGGTTTGTGGATGACTGCGTCATGGCACAGGATTGATCCTATGTCCTCATGGAATCAAGAGTCGACGACGCCATCTACCACTACCGCCCAACTGGGATCCATACCAGGTATGACGGACCGCCAAAGGTCTGTATGGGGTTGATTGAGCAAGACTGCTGGATCACATGGCCCCCACTCAACCAGTTTTCACCGAGTTCCAGCATTTGGTCCAGACGGTGGAGGGCAACCTCGAG